GAACTGGTACAGCTTGCGGAACGTGCGCGTCTTGCCCGAGGTTTCGGTCGCTTCGTAGTAGCTCACTGTCACGGCGAGGACGTGGTTCCCTTCCTCTTTGAGATCGAAGTTCACGATGCGCTGCAGGGTATCGCCCGGGTCGAGGTCCGTCCCCTTGGCTTCATCAGAGGGGTTGGGCGGGGAGAGCTCGAGTTTCTGGACAGAGTTTGCGCCAGGGGTTTTCATCTCCGCCTCGATGCGGACGTCGCGGATGCTCTTGCGCTTCGGGGCGCCAGCCAGGGGTTGTCCTCCCGGGCCTGCTGGTGGTGCGGAGTCGGGGACATCATGATTCGCGCAGAGGGTGCAGCTGAAGACCTCGCCGACGTAGGCGGAGCCGAAGCTCAGCGGGAGGTTGAGGATCGGAGAGAGGAGGAACGGAGCCGGGTTCGTGGCGCCGGTCGTGTCGTAGGCGAGGGAGGCCGGGGTCGGGTCGGCGGGGAGGGTGGAGGGAGTCAGGGGCGCGCGGATCGGGTGCTGGACTACGAGCGAGGGACGGGAGAGTCTGGTTTTCACAAATGGCTCACGAGTTAGAACGAGTTACTGCTTGGTCTACGGAGGAGCCAGGGAGACTACGATGGGCGCGCGAGTATAAGTAGGGATGGGGTTTGGCTGGCTACCTGAGAACTTTTAGGGAGACGGAGTGTGGCTCCTTTAGGGGGTCGTGGGAGGGGTATCTTTGGTGGCTCATCGTGTGCGGTTTTCCTCGTTTTCCCTGGAACTATCGATGGCGAGAGACCAGAGAGTGTGTGGGTTAGAGCAGTCGTCAGAACCCGGGACGGTGGAGGACGACGGAGTGACAAGTAGGGAGAGAGTTTGGAGATCCTCGGTGGGACGAAATGACGATGGGCCTTAGCTGTGGTGGAACCTCTATACGTTATCGATAAGGATGTCGTTGGGGGTTGGAGCATTGAAGGGAGGTCCGGCTCTTGCGGCGGAGCCTTTCCCCGCATCGACCTCCGGGGCCCACTCGATTCGGGGGTTCCGGTTTAGAGGTTCATGGGTTCGGGGTCGATGTCGAATTGGCGCACTGTGGCCGGAGGGTCCTCCGGTGTTCGATTTCGGTTAAATGTATAAATTCGACTTCAGCCTTATAAAACAGTGTTACTTCCATCATTGGCTCTGCTGTGATCCCTGGCGTTCGATATTATCCTAGCTCTGTGTCGAGGTAGTCATCTTGTTGGAAAGGCAAAACAGTATTTCTTTCCTAACTTTGTTGGAAGCCAAGGGACTTGAACACCCCGAATAATATTGCTTACAAACAGACCCAGTGAAGATGCGCATGGTGTTCCAAGATCCAAGGGTAAACAGATGGGAACGCGCAGGACCTGGCCTTTTCCTGCTCTGAACTTCTCTACACCTTCTTCTCTCGGTCTCCGTCATCTGGAAACACGTGCGAGAGGATTACAGCTTCGAGCGGACTGGTACATGGCGTGAATTGCAGTTATATGTGACCTTTCTCTACTCCGCAATATCAAAGACTTGAATCGATAGGACGGTTCCTCGCAGACATGGAAAATTGAAGAATACCGCTCTGTAATGAATCACGCGGGCCCATGCCGGATCTATTGTGATATTTCTATACGGTTGCCCATTGTCTTGCTGTTCAACCCTACGATGTAATTTGGTACCTGTGCGAAACGTCAACATCAAAAGGCCGCGTTCCCAGTAATCCCAGTTTCGTTTAGCAGGCTTCTATCTGACAGCATTTGCATTACTAGCTTTTGTGTATCATATGTCTCTGGTTCGTGAGTTGACAACAAAAGATGAGAAGTGAGGAAGTGTAAGTGACATGACCCTGCGGAGGAGATGGTCATAATTAGCCTCCGGGTCGCTATAAGCCCGTACTTGTGTTGCGTTCTACCAACTTCAGCAGAATTTCATTGCCGATAGCCCGGCTGTAGGAAAACGTCATAAGGGAAGCGAGAATATGAAGAAACCGCCCTTTTACACTGCATTCCACCGTTGTCTGTTAATCGAACGCACTCTATGGAATGTTGCGTGTTAATGGCAATGAATCCAGAAGAGGGCAAGATACCGTTCGGAACTGATTTACTATGTAACCAGCATCCAGGTTGCTGTTGAAACCCGGAACCCCGCTCCTCCTACTAGCTCCCATGTTGAAAAAATGGCATCGAACGCCTCCAGGTGCATGGGTTAGCAACATATTGTTTCCTGGCGTTTCTGTAAGACTGACTGCTTCAAGTTTGCTCACGAGTACTCTCATCGCTGGAAGTGGTTACCAGCAGGTGTTCATTCATTATCAATGATCTGTCAACTCCACAAGCCTGGGTTCAGGTTCCAACCTCCACATACTGTCATGGATTTCGCAGACAAAGCCCGGAAGAAAAAAGGGATCATTCATAGAGTACTCGTCAGGCTGTGTGTTTCCAAATGGTTGCGTTTCCCCGAACCGTGTAGCTGGTTTCTCCGCGGTCCGATACGTGGCTTGCTTGAGTGATGTTACCTCTCCTGTGCCTGATCGTTGTACCATACTCTGCAACGAATATACATGAGGCACCAAAGAGAGGACAAGAAGATGAGAGGGGCTTGGTGACATGGATGGAACGCAATACTAGGCCCAAGGAAGCGCTGGCAACGTTGTCTATCCTACGTCAATATACCCACGTCTCCGGATCGTAGAGGCGGCTGCATGAGAGTTTCCCGTCGATCCGACGTTGCCCCAGAGACCGTAATCGGAGAAGGTCAGACAGCTTACTAGGCGGGGGTTTCACCCCTCTCCGTCGTTGTCTCTCCCGTGCTTCAGGCGGGATAGACAAGATACATGAGAGATAGGAAGATGACACATCACGCCGTGCGTGTGCGCAACTGCTGTCCATGTAGAATAAATCATACTCCAAGAACTATCACCGGCCATGGATGTTAACATTACCACAGTGGCCTGAAGAGATGCCAACGAACCAAGTCTGACCCCAATCATGGAGGCCAACAGCGTTTCATCACTCAGGGAAGTGTTGTATGCCCCGGGATAGCTTGCAACACCCAATGTCTGTCACTTCAATGTGTAGTCGAGCCACCGCGGTGTGCAGTTTCCATTCGACGGCATTACGACCGGATAATCGTACCAAAGGTTAACTGCATTTTACGCATATCGATAAGCATCGTTAATGTCCGGTAAACAGGTAACCGAAACCTGGCTAAGGTCTGCAGAAAACCGTAGTCGGGAGTATCATAATGTTGGTTATATCTCGTTTTACTGGAATTCGATATCGATGCAATCTGCAAGGCTTTGAGTGGGTTCATATTACTATGTCTGTTTAATCATGTACAACCACATCCGCTCCTCAGTTCCACCATGTCTATGTCATCTGCGACGCCTCATGCGTTCTTGTGAATGACGTCTACAACATTGTTTCTCGTCACCAAGCTATAATGTAAGAGTGACCTGAAGTCCTGCTGGTCCCTTTAAAGACCCGGCGGGGGCGGCACCTGCCATGCACATTAGCAATAATGATCTATTAGTTTCAAGTTCTCCATGAGCACTCACTGAGCCGTATGCTCCAGTGCCCGGAGGCGAGCCCGATGGAGGTGGTGGGGGAGCAGAGCTCGGAGGAGGTGGCGGCGGAGCTGCCTCGCTGGGCGGAGGTGGGGGGGATGCGGATGCTCCAGGGGGCGCGGGCGAGCCCTGCTGTTGTGCTTGTGCAGCGGCGTAATATTGTTGGTACATTTGAACGTAGGCAGCGTAACCACCATACGCTGCGTACGGGTCCTGTCCGCCGTAGTACTGCGCATACTGGGCAGCGTAGTCGGCTCCGGCAGCAGGGCTGTTAGAACCGCCAGGAGGAGCCGGGCTGGCCGATTGAGCAGCTCCGTGGCCGCCGCCATAGCCACCGTGACCACCTTGACCGCCGTGGCCTCCATGTCCAGAGTTGTAGCCACCACCGCCATGGCCGCCGTGGCCTTGATAACCACCGTGGCCGCCGCCGTGGCCGCCATCGTGACTGCGAGATCGGTCGCCATAGCCACCACCACCACCGTAGCTACGAGGCGGTCTGCTCTTGAACTCCTCGTATTGCTCCTTGACGTTCGCAATCAAGTCTTCGCAAAGCTCCTTTGCCTTCTCAACCATCTTAGGATCAGGCCCACTGTCTCATGTCAGTCATGGGCATTAGGGATGTTACATGTATGAACTTACGCCACGTGAAGGTACATGTCTTCGTCGCTCTCGCGGTTGGTGGCAGCCTCCAGGTACCCAGAACCACGGCCCTTGATCTGGACACGGCATTGGGTCTCCTGCTGAATGTGTTTGACGTAGGCACCTCCATGACCAACGACCTGAGCGCGAAGGTTGAATCCCGGGACGGATTCCAGGCCAATGGGGATCTTCTCCTCGGGCCATTTGCGCTACAAGATGTTAGAAGAGAAACTAGAAACCAGTTGGGTACATACTCGGCCGTATTCGTCTCTCTCGACTTGCTCTTGATCACGGCGACGGAAACGACGCTCGTCGACCAGCGCAGGGAGTTCCTGTTTCATGAGTTCCTCAATCTTGGCAACGGCTTGCTCAAGACCCGTCTTTGATGTACTTGTAACGTGCAGGTACAGAGGCGGATTCTATCAAGGCCGGTTAGTACGTGTTTCAGAGAACGGACATATGCAAACATACCGCGGCGGTAGCCATGCTCTTGTCGGGATAATAGTTTCCTCGGGTAGTAACATCTTGCAAAGTCAACCTTTGTTTCTAACACGACGTAAATATGGGAGATGTTGCGTACCAGCACCAGTCTCTTCTTTGATCTAAATCAAGCAAATGGAGTCAGCAGGTGCCAAAGAGGGGTGATCTGTGCGAGCTATCGTGCCAAGTAAGCAGGATGATCTCGACACAAATCTATGGATATGTAGGAAAGCGGAATGCGCCCAAGGCGAGGCCTGGGAGGGAACAATGATCAGTGGTTTTACACAGGAGTATTTACCATCTTCTGAGTCGACCCCTTGGTCAAGAGGTATCTGTTGCGAAGGTCGTTCACTTCAATGTCTTTGATGTAGTCGCCGTCGGCAATGTACATCTCGCCATTGATCGTGTTGGCCGGATCGGGCGATTGCGCACCGCCAGCCGGAGGAGTCGCAGTCTTGATCGGAGGAACATCGACGTGTTGAATGCCTTTCTTCGCTTGGAGCTGCGCATTGATTCTGGCGGCGGCGGCGGCTGAAACTCTACGTTAGCCACTGGGCTTGCTCTACAAAGTATACAGGACAATCCGTACCGGCAGCAGCAGCGGCATCCACGGGCGACTTCTTCGGCTCAGTCACGTGGTCGGCCGCCAAAGGGCTACGATCCCTCGCCGACTCCGAGCGCCTTGAAGGCGGCGATCGTGAGCGGCGGTCGAATCTCGACGCCTTGCGCGGCTCAGGTTCGGTTTGGTCGAAGCGCGAGCGCTTGGCGGAGCGTCGCTCGGTATCGTCCATGACGGCTGCGCGCGAATAGCAGTAACTCCGTGTACGATCGTTGCCGGGTGATTCGGATTGAATGTTGGCGTGCGTCTGGAGAATGCGCAAGCGCCTATGGTGTGATCAAGGGAAGTGAAAGGTTTAGGTAAATTTTGCCAGGCTTGAAGCTCTTCGTAGGTGGAGCCTTGCGGATGGCCAGGCCAGAATATAGTAGCATGGTCTGTGCGGCGAGACGGTCACATCCATCACGGACCTAGCGCCTCAGGTGTCAGATGTAGCTGCTTCTTTGGCCTGCACCAGCCACATGGTAGCATCGGAGCGAATATCGGTAGGAAGGTGCTGCGGGTGCGCATGACCGACCACCCGGCACCGTTTCACGGAGCATGCACCTTTCCAATGACTCCCAATTGACCTCGAATGTGGACTGGAGTATCGTCAATTCCACTTTAGAGTAGTTTGCGACGCATGTAGGCATGTAAGAAACCTTGCCTTGCTGTTGATACCAACCTATTTAGGTGTGAGAAGCTAAATCGGAAGCACCTAAGGATCTCACTTCCCTTTCGTCTCATGTTCCCTCTCTTTCACTGTACTTCGCCGCCGGGATATTCCAAGCTATTCTGCTCCTTTCGCGAAGCCTTTGCTAATGGATCATCTCGAGAACGTTTGTGAAGACAAAGTCATCACGGGTGGTGTCCGGTATGGTTGGTCGGATACATCGATGGAGCTCAAGTAAAGGTTGCGCTGCATGGCTCCAAAACTTTCCCTTAGGTTTTACGACTGAGATCAACTGAGACTTCGAGATTGACAAGCTCAAAGGTCGAGACGAGCAGTAATTGAATGGTTGCTGAGCAACAAATGTTTCCCGTTTCGACAATTCAGATGATCACCCTGGACACTGTCGAGAAATGATTGGTGAGCCTACATAGTAAGGCCGTTTTGAGAGCCTCTTCACCAAGTCGATGCATGGCCTGCAACCACCTTGTTCAATAGATGGCAATTACTTTGCAAATTGTACAGGCTAACGACTGGCACAGTGCAATGTGCAACCCCGCACCCTCCAATTCCGACCCCGCGATGCAGAGTCACTAAAAGTCCACTCGCTCGGTGAAAATCCTTGTCGGTAGCTGATCCGTGCCCCATCGCCCCTGCGAACGGCCAGCTCCCCTGCCTCCGACTTGCCTCCGAACAATCATCCCCCAATCTCCTCAAATTTTCCCAGTGGAACTTGACACAGACGGTGAGTCAGTTGGTTCTTATCTTTCCAGTTATTGACCCTCGAGCTCATCATACATCTACAGGTCTAGAGATCCGTCCTTCATCTGGTCAAGAGAGCAATTGGTTGTTCTCGCAATTGATCAGGAAAGATGGCGTCTCGCCGCCTCGTTTCCACCTCGCTATGGCGGGCAGCCGCCGCCCCGGCCCAAGCGACATCGCTCTCCGCCGCCGCACGATGGAGCTCAACCACCAGCTCGACCTCTGCCATCGCCTACAAGGCTCTTCGACGCCGTTCGGCGCCTCTGCCCGTGAGCGACAGCCCGCCCGCCTGGTCCGCCCAGGCCGCTGTCTCCAACATCCTCTACGACATGCCCTCCCCATCGTCGCAGCCCCCGAAGCGTCATATCCTCAACTGCCTCGTCCAGAACGAGCCCGGTGTGCTGTCCCGCGTTTCCGGCATTCTCGCCGCTCGCGGCTTCAACATCGACTCGCTTGTTGTCTGCAGCACCGAGGTCGATGACCTGTCGCGCATGACCATCGTCCTGACCGGCCAGGATGGCGTTGTCGAGCAGGCCAGACGCCAATTGGAAGACCTCGTCCCCGTCTGGGCTGTCCTGGACTACACCAATGCCGCTCTGGTTCAGCGCGAGCTCCTGCTGGCCAAGATCAACATTCTGGGACCCGAGTACTTCGAGGAGCTGCTCGCTCACCACCGTGAAATGACGGCCGCCGACCCTGATGGCGAACATGCCCCTGAGGCCGAGCAGCAGTCGTTGGAGGAGGTCGCCAAGGACTTCCACCCCAGCAAGCTTGCTGTCAGTCAGGCCCTGCGCCACAAGCACGAGCATCTCAAGTCTATCACCTACTTCGCTCACCAGTTTGGAGGCAAGGTTTTGGACATCAGCACCAACAGCTGCATCGTGGAAGTGTAAGTCAGGCCCTCTGGTGACCGAAACCGTTCGCATACTGACTATGACGCAGCTCCGCCAAGCCGTCCAGGATCGACTCTTTCCTGAAGCTCATCGGACCTTTCGGTATCCTCGAGTCCGCCCGTACTGGTCTTATGGCCCTGCCCCGCTCGCCGTTGTACGGACCCAACGAGGAGACGATTCTGAAGGAGGCAGATGAGGTTGTTGATGCTAGCCAGCTTCCTCCCGGTTAAGCGGTTTTGTATGTAAAGAATATCCGGCGTTGGTAAAAAGGGGGTATTGCCATCTTTCAATGCTACCAAGTTGCTATTCAATCTGTACCAATTTTTTTGCCAAGAAAGAAACGCCTCGCCTTTTTTCGTTTTGCAGTGATTCTTTTGAACGCCAGTACATGTGCCATTAGATCTTGCCCTTGTTAACAACAAATCCCTCGAGGGCAGCTTTTTGATTGTTAGCGTAACTAGTCTGCTGAGGGACTGGGGGCACACTTACAAACAGCAGCCCACAGACGGTTTTCCGCCTCAGGGAAAACCAAGGAGCGAGGGCTGTAGAAGACCTCGTCGGCAACCTCCTCGGGGTGACGGGGCAGGCAGTGCATAAACTTCCAGCCCTCGTTAGCACCGCCGCGCTTGGCCAGCTCGTTGGTGATCTGGTAGCCAGCAAAGGCCTTGAGACGCTTCTGGGTCTCGGCCTCCTGGCCCATAGACACCCAGGTGTCAGTAACCAAGATGTCGGCGTTTTTGATCGCATCCTCGGGCACGGTGGTCTCGCTGAGCTTGCCGGGAGAGGCAACGCCGTGAGCCGCAGAGGCAATGACAGCCTTCATGGCGTCAGGAATGCCATAGCCGGTGGGGGAGGCCACGGCGATGTCGACGCCCATCTTGACGCAACCAATGGCCAGGTCAAAGAGGACGTTGTTCGAGTCACCAATCCAAGCAACCTTGAGTCCCTTCAGGCCAAGATCGGCCTTGTCTGAGGTGGCGGAGGCTGGGAAAGCTTCGTGAATGGTCAAAAAGTCTGCAATGATTTGCAGAGGGTGGTAGTCATCAGACAGAGCGTTGATTACGGGCACGCTCGAGTCCTTGGCGAGACCGGCGACGTCAGAGTGAGGACCGACGCGAGCAACCATGCAGGAAGTCATGGAAGAGATCACTTTCGAGGTGTCGTAAAGAGATTCGTTGACCTAAATGAGTGTGAGCCGAATGTATCCAATGTAGTGAGAGCTTCGGTCTACATACCCCAAGCTGGATGTCGTCCTTGCCCAGAAACATGGGATGGCCACCCATTAGAGCCACAGCAGCCTCCGTTGACACACGAGTGCGGGTGCTCCGCTTGCTAAACATCATGGCAACCGTCTTGCCTGTCAGGCTCGCGGCGAGCGCCTGGGGAACGTTGCCGGACTTGACGGCGGACTTATTTGACGCGGCATTGCGGACGAGGGTAGCAAACTCGGCGGGACTCAGGTCGGCAATAGACATCAGATGGCGCGGGCCGGTTGACTGTGAGTAGGCGCGGCTCTGGACGCCGTTGAGAGCTTGACGAGTCACTCGGAAGGCTGTTTGCTTCATGCTGGGCAACTCAATGGTCCGGGTTTGGAGAAACAAGACTTGAGGATTGAGACTGCTGTCGGAAGAACGAGGTTGCTTAATTGAGTGCTTGAGGGCTTTTGCTGAAAACAAGACGAGCAAATTGCAATGCTCACTGAGTCACAGTGGTGGTCAATGGATGTGTAGCGAGAGCTGGTCGAGTCACAGATGGATGGCTTCAAGTGAGGCGATAAGGACTGGGCCCTCCACAAACTCCCATGCCCCAAGCAGCAAACTCAACGGTCGATCTCACCGCTTTACACCGAAAATTTCAGAGTTGGAGCGAGCACAAGACCTTGTAACTTCAGCGCGCTGCAGAGCATTGAATGCAATGTCAGTGGGTGCTACAGGCGGGGGGGGGCCAGCTGCAGGAGCCCAGACCGGTTCGGTGCGAACGCCGTAACCGGAACATGCCAATGTGCATTGTGGACCTGTGGTACTTCGGCCGCCTGTCTCTCCACTGCAGCGATGGCACACTGGCGGCTGCGTGCCTGGGAAGCAGGATGGAATAGGGGTGGCCCGTGCCCACCACCCCCGGGCGGCCCTGCCAGGCACTCAAGCACATGGAGGGAAGATCATCCCCAGCCATCCACTCAGTGCAAGTCGGCCCTGCTGACCAGATCTCGCCTTATTGGTTTCAGCTGACCTCCACCCCAGCATCCTCAACTGCCCAGCCCGCCCTAGGATTAACCAAGTTACTTGACATCATCACCATTACGAATCCCGACCATTTGGGTTCTCGGGGCACCATCGGAAACTTGTACACCTTTTCTCTGCATCACTTCCCTCTGTACGCTTTTCTCTGTTTCACAACCGTCCTCGTTCTCGACCGGCGATGACGGACTTCTCCCTACTCTAATCCGACAACCCACCCCGCCAATTGCCATTACGATACCCCTCTATTCCACTATGGCCGAAGACGAAGAGAGATCGCCACTGCTGGCGCCCAAGGGCAAAGGAAGGGCGGAAGACGATTCTTTGCTGTCCGAGTCGGCGCCTCTGCTTTCCAGCTCGACTGCGACTCCCCGATACGATGGCGAGCAGGACAACCCCGAAACGTCTCGCGCGCCATCCCTGGCCTCGAACCCCCCAAAGAAAAAGAGCTCTATACGATGGGCGTCTCTTATTTCGATATCCGTGTTGATTGTATTGGTCATCGGCATCATGGCTGGCTGCTTTTTTGTGCCTTCGGCTGTTCAAGAGTACGCCAAGCAGGCTGCAGTCGTGGAGCCGACGAATCTTGCCCTCGAGTCCATCACTGCCAACGGCGTGCGAGCACGTGTCCAGGCGAATTTCAGACTCGACGGCTCGCGGGTGCAAGATACAACATCCCGAAGGATCGGAAAGTTCACGACGTGGATTGTGAGGCAGCTGGGGACGGAGAAGACCAAGGTCGGCGTCTATTTGCCGGAATACGACGGCGCATTGCTTGGCACCGCCGTGGTGCCGCCACTCACCATCAGTATTGTCAATGGCCAGACCACTGCTATTGACTTCGTCGCTGAATTGTCGCCTGGCGACGCCGAAGCTTATCGAAAGATTGCCAACGAGTGGCTGGACGGAAAACTCGATCAGCTCAGAGTGCTTGGAAAAGCCGACATCCCACTCAAGTCCGGAATCTTCCCGCTTGGCACCCACCCAGTCAGCGAAGTTTTGGTTTTTGAAGGTCAATCACTCTACCGCTCCTTCGCTTCCTTGTATTTTGGAGAGAAAGCACTGCTTTGAATATCATTATGCAATCATTCACCTCATTCTTTCTGAAGCTCGAGACTAATGCCTCACATAGCGAACCAAATCCCTACGCTGCCGCAGTACAACATCTCGCGACTTAATTTCCGAGATGTACCAGACAGGGATGGGCAGCGTACCGCAGTTGGTGCCGACGTTTCCATCACGGCGTACAACGAGTTTCCAGTCAGCCTTGACGTGCCCGAACTTGGTTTCGAGGTTCTTGTCCCCAACTGTAATTCCTTCGAGCCCTACATCCTCCTCGCGGACGCCACCACCAAGCCTCTCGCTATCAAGCCGCGGAGCGTTGTGACTGTCAATGTTTCGGGCATCATCCGAGAACTTCCCAAGTCCCTGACACGGGTTTGTCCTAACTCCAAGTCGTCGCCTCTGGACAAGTTCCTGGAGCAGTACATGCACGGCGAGGCTGCCACCGTCTACGTCCGGGGCCGGAAAATGCCCGATTCAGACACGCCTCACTGGGTTGGGGACATTTTGTCTGAGATCACTGTGCCTGTGCCCTTCCCGGGACAGGGGTTCGACAATCTCATCAAGAGCTTCTCTCTCACTGATGTGAATTTCCAACTCCCTGACCCAATGGCGGATCCCGATGACCCGGATGGAGCTCCCAAGGTTTCTGGCACGGTAGAGGTACTCGCCAGCCTGCCGAAAGAGATGAATTTTGACATCAACGTCACGGACTTGCGGGCCACGGCAGACGTGATGTATCAGCACAAGAAGCTTGGCGAGCTTAACCTTGACAAGTGGCAACCCGCGAATTCGACAAAGGTAGAAGGCACCGAGAAGCACGAACCACTCCTGAAGATTATGTCTCGAGTCGTCGATGCTCCCCTTAACATCACCGACGGCGACGTTTTGACGGACGTGATGCAGAGACTCCTTTTCGGCGGCAAGGAGGTCTTGTTGGACGTCAAGGCCGGTGTTGACATCCGCGTCAAGACGGCTCTTGGAAACTTGGTTCTGAAGGATGTCCCTGCAGAGGGCAAAATCCCAGTAAAACGTCCGTACTAAATCTGACACTGTTCGTCTTATCGTGGGTTGATTTCTTTTGTCCCTGCTCACTAAGAGGGACTGGCGGATCACCATGGCTTACACTGGTGTAGCTTTACCTGGCGACACTTTGGGCAATATTCGCCCGCAAGTTGGAGATGTCAAGATCATCAGTACCTCTTCGTCGTCAATGACAATTGAGGCTTTGGTCAACATCACGAATCCGACACCGTACACAGCCACTGTGCCGTATGTTAATATTCACATTGTGAGGGACGGCTTCGTACTGGGTAGTGCAACCGCGGAGAACATGAAGGTTGTTAGGGGCATGAACACGAACTTAGTCGTCAAGGCAGCATGGGATCCCGCGGCTGGCGGCGAAGCTAGCCGAAAGGCTGGCAGCGACATGATATCGGAATACTTGTCGGGTCGCAACATTACCATAGACGTCAAGACTCACCGAGGAACCATACCGGCTGCACCCCTCATTGGCGAGGGCCTATCCAAGTTGAACATCAGCATTGCCGCTCCTAAGCTGGACCTTCCAGGAGAAGGCGAAAAGAAGGGGCACTTCATCAGAGACGCGACTTTTCATTTGCTGTCTTCCACAGCGACGTTTACTCTGGTATCCCCTCTACGATATAACACCATCTATGTCGACTGGATCAATGCTACCGCACTTTACAACCATACAGAGCCGGTTGGACGAATTGTCTACGACCTACCATTTGCGGCGCCTCCCGGAACATCTGTCACACCTAAGTTGCCCGTAGACTGGTCTATGGGATCCGTGGGCTACGACGCCGTGAAGAAGGCGCTTGGAGGAGCCCTGAAGCTTGACGCAAGTGCGAATGTCACGGTCCGAATTGGTAATTGGAAGGATACGGTCTGGTATGAGGGTCAGGGAATTGGGGCGAGTATTCGTTTGTAAACGGCTATTGGGTTCGGCGTTGTTGGGTCATTATTGGGTTTGGGCGGCAGTCGTAAACGCCTTGCGCGCAAAACGACCTGAAAATACAGTCACGAAAACATGTGTCTGAGTACAAAGCATAGAACAGCCTCATGGCTTTGTGATTACATGAAGAGACTCACTTTAGTCAGATACCTCGTTTATCAGTATAACACGTGATGGGAACAGAGTATTCACTAACTCCGCCGATCTAGAGGAGGAGGTCATGGGACTGGAATGTTCCTCGTTTCTAAGATGAGAAGCGTTCGATGTGTAACTGGTTTAGTGGTGGATTGCCAAGTCTGGGGGTTTGACTCTACCTGATGCCATAGGCAGCTTATGTTCCTGTCATCTTCCCTATAGAATATTCAGTGTAAATGAACACCATTAGACGCTCTGCGAATTTTCCTGGACGATAGCGATTCTATTCTCATCCCTTGGGAAGTTCGTGGGTTCGGGTACATGGCATTCGGTCTTGTTGCTTGGTGTGCTGGCATTAGATGGGCTTCCCCGAGAACACAGGATTCTTACTTGGAAATCCCATCAATTTGACGAGTACTTTGTATGGGTAAAGAGCTTGAAAGAAGAGAAGAAAAACCCCGATAACGGGCCATAAGACGAGGCGAGCTGGACTTCGAGATGCCGCCCATCTGGCGTTCACACGAGCCTGCAATCACAGTGCGCTGGGACAGTGTCGGGATCGTCCCCTTGGCCCCGAGGGTCCCACTGTTGCCGAGAACCTGTTCCAAGATCACTCGCTCATCTCCCCGTTGCGCGTTGACTTCGCCTTCAATTAGGATCTACCATTTTCACATTCTGGTACGGTCAAAGTTCCGGAAAAGGTCAAGCAGCTGTTCCATGATAGACCGCGCCGTTCAGGTCCACCGACGTCCACAACCAACTGGCACAAAAAGTCACCTACGGTTCGCCACTGCCCGTGCCATCTGACCACCTCCACCTAACGACCCGAAGCACGTACGCTCTATTTCCATCCCACCCGCCCGCGCGCGCGCCATTCTCCCACTCAGAAATGGCCAACTTCAAAGGCAACTTCTCGCCCTACGCCCCACGCCGCCGCCGTTCCCCGCTTGTGGTCCTCACCTGGGTCGCAGTCTGGCTTACCGTCCTGACGCTGACGTGGTGGTTCACGACCGGGCGGTCTGCCGGCATATCAGCGGCGGACAGGGAGTTTGCGGACGCCGTGATCAAGGGCAAGGAGATCCCCCCCGAAGCTGGTGCTTGATTCCCATGGTCTCTTGGTTTTTTTCCTTTCTTTTTCTTTCTCTTTCTCTCTGGATGAGTTCATTTGAATTTATGGCGCCGTACTGGTCTGGACACTGTCTTCAACCTGTTTCCTTCTTTATTCGCGTTGTCTCGGAGACTGGGACAATTGGAAAGCGCGCCCTGCCGAGGAACCCACGGAGAGCACCGCCGTCAGGAGACCGAAGACGCATCCGTCCGACGAGGACGGGCGAGAATGCTGATGGAACGTGTGGCGCTACGGGGATCGGGCCTGCCAGCAGGGAAACCTCACGATGGTGACGTCGGGAAACAAATTGTCAAGGACCCTATTCGCCCCTTGACACACCTCGGGCTTGGAATAAAACCCATTTGTGTTACGTTGGTGGTGTAAAATTGTTTTCTAAAACATGAAGGATCGATCGTGGAGCGGGAAGGTTGACCGTGAAGAAGGGGTGATGAGGTTAAAGGGGACGCTGGAATGCAATTCGGCCGGCAGAGAGACGGTGTTTTCTGGAGATTAAGGTCGCCCAGGAGGATCTATTGGCATTCAAGGGAGACTCAGACCATGGGCATGAGACGGAGGTGAAGGGGAACAACGCAAGGCGTATCGCAATCATGAACACACGCTTCTTCGTCTCTTTGCAAAAGGGAATGACATAACATGGGCGTTTCGAAGCCAGAGCGAAAAGGGAGGGTAGAGCGTGTGTGAGGTATCGACAAAGTCCTCAATATTTCATTTCTTTTCTCCCTCCCCTCCCCCACCTCCTTTTCCAACTCACTGTTTTTTTGAGAGAGAGACAATGTTCGACCGGACCTGAAGATCGCACGTGTACTGTTCTCCTACTTTAGTCCACCGCTGTCCTCTAGCTTCGCCTAAACCAAGCCAACGCCACATGGCAAAATAGGGTCCTTTGTCCGAACCGCACCGACTCCAGGATTAGCAGGACTCGCCACGTACAGCTCAGCGGCGCCGCGCGTGGCCAAAAGGTAGTAAGGGACGAAGCGTTTACAAAAGCCTCGGAGCCTCGAAGCCTCGAAGCCTCAAAGAGCGGGTGGGAGACCAAACGCGGCTAGAGGGAAAGCTATTGCCCGTCTGTACCTGAACTGGTCGCGCCGGAGAGTGATACCAGAACGTGTTGTGATGCTGGCGAGCAGCTCTTAAGGTACACATTCAGTCATCTCTTCCATTCACGGGAACTACACTCACCATCATCTCAGCATTGATACCTCGCGGTCTGAAAACACGCCTGGCCTAGCCATCACGGACAGGGCTCCACACCAAACTTTCTCAATCCCGGGTCAGAGACCCGAATCACGCATAACACACAATGAACGGCACCAGCACCGCAAGGCCGGTATCGATGCTCAACTTCAAGGCTGCACACTCGGACATCTTCGCACATGGCGCCCGCGGGTCGCCGGCAGCAGGAATGGAACACGAGCTTCACGGGAACGTTGTACGGGACATTATCAAAAAGCGGCGGGATCAGAGACGCGCACGGCTGCAGCAGCGGTGCCGGACGCACAGCAACGACGCGACGCCGACAACACCAGCATCGACGAGCCGCAGCGTCACGCCCCTGAAGCGGCAGCCGAGCCAGAGCAGCAGCAAGGCCGATAGCCCGTTCTCCTCTACCTCGTCCGAGTTCTCGTCCGAGTTGTCATCTGAATACTCGTCTGAATACTCGTCGGATTTTTCGCCCTGCGTCTCTCCGCTGATGGAGGACCTCATGTTAGAGATCAAGGACGCAATTCAGAGCAGCGGCACGCACCCCGAGCCCGGCTTGTCGCCGAGGCGGACGGCGTCGGCATTCGACATGGACGACATATTTGAGTTGATCGAGGAGGCACAGAGGGAATATGAGAGCCTGAGTGACGAATCACCTGCGCCGCAACGGAGAGACGAGCCGCCTCGACCGCCTCGGTGGAGCTGGGAGAGCCTGCTGGATCATTCGTAATAGCAAAAGAGAGCCACTCGGCTTTGACCAGATGACTCGCTGAAACGCGAAGAATCGTCTCGACCTTTGCTGTGAAGGAAAGGGGGGTATGCAAGGGAGCTTGGAGTACGACTTGTACTCTGGCCTTTGGGGGGATGGAAATCAAAAAGAGAGCGTCACCAAACCAACCGGGTGTCTGAAGAATTGTGCGTTGTGTCAGCATGGAAGAAACTTCATCAATTTGGATTGTACATATTAAAGGGTCTGCACCTTTTTTCCTGGTCCCCAACCTTCAACCTTGATAGCCTTTATTGTAATCGAACACCGGCCTGCCGCTTCGCCGATGATGAACTCATGTTTGCGTTTTCGCTCGCGTCAAAGGTCGGCTTGGCCTCGCGTCGCTTCTCCTCCTCAATCTTCTTCAGCAGCTTGTCGGTCTTGCCCTTGCCGCTGCCCTTGCCGTGGAACTGGTGACTCATGTGCTTGAAGGCCTCTTTCTGGTCGAGGGACCGGCCGTGGTCATCCACGTACTTGAGCTCCACGTTGGGCTTGTAGTGCTTCTTGAAGAGCTCGTCGACGACGCGGGACTGCTGCAGTTCCCGGTGGGCGTTGGCCTGTCGAGCGCGCTCCTCCCTGTCCCTGGTGGACATGGCGTCCAGTCGACCGCTGTTCCTGTCACGCTCGCGCTGCGATCTGGCTCGCTCTTCTTGCTCCCGCTCAATGCGTCTCTTCTCTGCCAAGAACTCGGCCTTCTGGCGCTCGCTCATGTTCAGCTCGGCACCGTGAGCATCCTTGAGAATGCCACGTTCTCTCAATAACGCCAACGTTGAGCCCATTCCCGTGTTGATGGTCTTCTCCTCGTCAACTCCCGTCGCCGCAATATCAGTGGAGGCTTCTCTGGCTCTGTCTTCTGAAACCTCGCGGGTATCGTCACCCATCGGATGGTCTTCGTCGCCCGACTCGGCATCCATGGCCGTGACGGGCTCTACTGACACGGATTTCGGCCTCTTCGGTTTGCGTTCTTCTTCCTCTTCTGGCTTCTTCAGATTGGACACAAACTCTGAAATCTCGTCGATCACTACGCCGCCCGTTTGAGCCTCGCCTGGCTCGTCTGCTTGTTCTCTTAGTTGCCGAGCAATGTCTTCGGGGCGGGCCCTCTTTCTCTTCTTTAGAGCGTTTTTGCGCTGGATGGCCAATGACGCCTGCAAATCTTCGTCATCGACAAAAGTGTCGTCCTCAACTTTGCGCTTCTTCTTGACAACGGCTGCGCCGGAGTCAAGATCCATCATGTCGTCGTTGGCTGGTGTTGTGTCGACGGGGAAAATGTCATCCTCATCAACAGGCTTCTGCCGAGTTGACTTGGACTTCTTCTTCTTGGGCTTCTTGACCTTGATCTCTGAGATGTCGAGATAATCTGAAGTGGGCGCATCCTCTGGTGAAGAAATTAGCGAGGTTCCATTTCTATCAGGTTCGGCTGGGCAGTACTTACGAATGACATCGAGGTCGATGTTCTGCAGCTTCTTCGACTTCTCCGGCGCCCCTAAGATGTCGCCCAGTTCTGCAATCGCACCAGACCCGTCGAGGGTGAACTTCTTGCCCTTCTTGCCGTAGATCTCGTCGTCGTACTGAGCCAAGATGCCACGCTCTGCCCCTTCGTCTGCTGCAGCAAACACGTCGTACGCTGGCTTCTTCTTTTTGAGATCCAGCCGTTCTTGCAGCTGCTCCCTGGCCTTGAGGTCCATATTTTCGAGCTCGTCGCCCTCCTCTTCATTTTGATCGATGGTGGCGTCTTTGAGGGTCAGAATCTGCTCATCACCATCGAGAAAGTTGTCGAGTTCGTGCGCAACCTTCACACCGGCCAGGTCCTTTGACGTGTACTCAACAGCCGCCAGCGCAGCAGCTTCGGCGGCAGCCTGTTCCTCTTCCAGCTTCCTCGCCTTCTCGATGGCTTTTTGTCGCTTCTTTTGAGCCTTTAGCCACGCCTTCGCATCCACGTCGGCTTCCTCTGCTTCGCCTAGACCCTTGCCCTCGAGGATTGCGTGGCGCTGCGCAGCCTCTCGTTCCCTTTTCGCAGCGGCGGCTCGCTCCTCTCGTTTGCGCTTGGCGGCTTCAGCGTCGCGGACTTTCTGGTAGTTGTCGTATGCTTGCGCCGAGCGGCTCTCGAGGGTACTCGGCGCATCCTCATCATCTGAAGCGGAGTTGTCACGTTGCGTTTCAACTGGAGCGGCGCCGGGCACTGGCAACGGCTTCATGCCCAGCGAAACGCGGATGCGATTCGTCTCCTCGATGGTTGCGGCGTCCATCTTGGCGGGTTTTCGGGTAACGGATGGAATACTAATGGTCGATACGTCGGGTCGGCAGTGAGTCGTATCGAGATGATGTGGTTTCGAAGATGGCGATTCGTGAGCTGCAGTTACAAAAGTTGTTGCGCAAACAAGGTTGGAGTTGCTGGTGCAATGGCGATAGCAGGCCCCATCCTTTCGTGGCCAACCAGAAAAGTTATGCGGCTCATGGCACTGTGCCAGGGTAGTCTCCACCAACAAGCTGGAAAGCTTAGCTAAGCGAGGGTGGGTCTTTGATTTACTACATATCGCAGCCTTGCGAAAATTCTCTTCTCGATTTTCTTTTCTCTCTTCAACAAACACGGGTCTGTGCCCAGCGATCCTCTGCTCCCACGGGAGTTCAGAGTCGAACGCTGAGGCAGCTCGATCACTCAAGGAGCCATCAAATTTCATGATGTCAATCTTCCGATCGACAGATCCAAGAGAGACCGGTCTTTAGGAAGCCATGTTCGCCGTAAAAAGCTTGAGCGTGGTGGAATATCGCACTGGGGACGTCATATTCCGTACCCTTTTTCCGAGATCGTCGATCTTTGAGGTTAGGGAAAACCATGACTTGCCCACATACTTTCACTCGGGGAATAACTTGTATTTTTGTTGCTGTAAAGGGTCCTTGTTGCGCCGCGCGTCGAGCGATTCGCAGCTTCCTTTTTCGTGCCTTGCCCGGCGCGAAAACATTGGTCATACAGGCTCTCGACGCGATCCCCACGAGTGCTTCGGAATACTGTTCGCGCTTACCTGGTTTGGCAACCACGTCGTATTATGGTTCGTTGCGTGCCGGTCAGAATAATAAGCCCGTCCGTGTATTTGCGCAAGTAAGCTTGCTGTTCACGATGCGGCAGGAGAGTCTTCGTGAAAAATCGTCCCAAGTGGGGACCATCCCTACCTGACATGGCATGTGAAAATTTTGGGTTGACGTCGAGACGAGCTGTGAATTTCTCCACGGTCTCTCTCTCGGCGCATCCCGTGCCTGGCGCCTGTCATCTTATGCCTACCATCCCACGATGCATATTGCTCCTGCGTCACGGTGCCCACCCCTTTCCTTGCTTCGCTTCTAGATGGCATCAAGGTTTGTCGGTTGCGGCGCAGAGTCCCCATTCTGGGTATCCCGGCCGGCCCTGTCAACGTGCGGGGTGCATCCGTGTGATCTGGGGAAGCTATTGGCGTCGTCCGGCCCGATATCAACAGGAGACTCCGCCGTACCATCCATCACGCATCACACACTTTGGTCAACGCTACTGCACGGTAGTAAATGAGCAATGATGCTCGGCCTTGGAGAGTAATGTATTCCGCTTCGTGATGATGAGCTGATGGTATCATGCCACCAACAAACTAGTGCTGTCCGTCTGCGTCCAACCCAACCATAAACTGCTCAGGTGGAATAGTGTCAGGCGTCCCAATTCATACAAAGCTTCCAGAGACCGCTTTGAAGCAATCCAAAACAATGCTACCGGTCTTTCCCCCAAGTCCATCTCATACTAGTGTGGGAATGCAAGACACAGGCCGTCCTGTTTTGAGCCGTGTTTGGCCCCCCAGCCATGTTGGACGTGTCTTGGTCACTCGATCAGCTTAAGCCGCGGGACGGAGAGTGCGGGGAACGCTTAAACCTCCTCCACCTAGGCAACCCCAACCTCGATGCGGCCCTCGCATCAAAACCACCAATAACACCTGCAGTTCCTGGCGGATAGGACCGACACATCACGTACCTAATTAATCTGCTTGCCGAAGACATTATACAACCCCTGTCACTATCCTTGGCCCCTGAAGGAGACCCTAAGCTGACTTTCCCAAAAGACGAGTTGACTGAATCACGGCGGCCTGCACGGCACTGCTTGAGCCGGGGCCAGTGTTACCCTCCCTTCGCGACACTGCTCGACATCCTCTGAGTGGTAATCGCCGGCGTTGGTTTCACTCGTTGCTGAAGGGAAGACCAAGAGAGACGGCGACGTCCTACGAAGGGTGAGCGGAGGGAAAACCACAATAGGATTGGGGAAGTCGTGGGACTAGTTTGACGATTCGACCGAGTTCTGTTACTGTTGAGCCGACGTAGCCCCAGTATCCAGAGTGTGACGAGGGACATCTTAGACATCAAGGGTCTAATGCAGATCAACTTGACAGCTCGGTGATACTCTAGCATTCGGGCCTTCGAGGCACATCGCTTCGAGCCACCCTGGACGGTTACCTCATTTCCAAGCCTCTTTGAGGATATATAAGTCACCATGGTTTACCTCCAGCATGTTATGTCAGGAGCACTGGCATCCAACACCACCGAGCATCTCACACAGCCCATCATGAAGCTGCTCACCTCCGCTCTCCTGCTCGGCTCGCTTGCCACTCAGACCATCTTTGGCTACCCAGGAGCTCAGATCGTCAAGCGAGATGTTGACTCCTTCATTTCTACTGAGACCCCCATCGCCCTCAGGGAGTTACTCTGCAACATCGGACCGAACGGCTGCCATGCCCAAGGTGTGAGCTCCGGTATTGTTATTGCTTCTCCGGACAAAGTAGACCCTCCGTGTAAGTTAACACTTATCCTTATCATATCAACATATGAGCACTGCCCATATCTACGTGGCATTTGAAAAAGTAGCTTTGTCAATCAGAGACCATTGCTGACGTGTGGCAGATTTCTACACTTGGACCAGAGGTATTTCTCGCTCAACCCTTATCCAGGTTCTCTCTGGGCTTAGAAGCAGAAACTAAGTGAGATCCAGACTCCGGTCTTGTCTTCAAGGCTATTGTAGACATCTTTACAAACAGCTATGACGCAAATCTCCAGACCAACATTCAGAACTACATCGCTGCTCAGGCTCGTCTTCAGGGGGTTTCGAACCCTTCGGGAGGTCTTGGCGACGGCCAGGGTCTTGGCGAGCCCAAGTTCGAGGTAGACTTGAGGGCTTATACTGGTGATTGGGGTAAGACAAACATCTGTTCTTGCAATTCCGGGCTAAGCTGATCACCGATGCAGGGCGACCTCAGAGGGACGGCCCGGCGTTGCGAGCGGTTGCCATCATCGGTTACGCCAAGTGGCTGGTGGCTAATGGCTACTCTTCCACTGCCTCGTCGGTCTTGTGGCCCGTTATCCGCAACGACCTGAACTACGTTGCCCAGTACTGGTAAGACACTTTAAGGTAGTGTTTATTGGCACCTCTAATATGTTGCCAGGAACCAGACCGGCTTCGATCTCTGGGAGGAGGTTCAGGGGAGCTCCTTCTTCACTGTCGCCAGTCAGCACCGCGGTATGTATTCCTGAACTCTGGTAATGGACAGGACTAATATTACATTGCAGCACTTGTTGAGGGTAGTGCGTTGGCTCGCTCGCTGGGTCTGTCTTGCAACGCTTGCGATGCCGTTGCACCCCAGGTTCTTTGCTTCTTGGGTAGATTCTGGAATCCTGCTGGCAACTATATGGTGGCCAACAGTGAGTCAACGGCTTACACATATTCCACATGAAAACTATGAACGCTAACACTCTGTGAAGTCAACGGAAACGGAAGATCTGGTCGTGATGCCAACGTCATCCTCGCTTCCATCCACAACTTCGACCCCGCCGCGGCCTGCGACGCAGCAACCTTCCAACCATGCAGTGACAAGGCTTTGGCTAGCCACAAGGTTGTCGTGGACTCGTTCCGCACCATTTATGTACTCAACAACGGAATCGCGCAATCTGCAGCCATCGCGGTGGGAAGATATCCTGAGGATAGCTACTACGGTGGCAATCCTTGGTACCTCAACACCCTCGCCGCCGCCGAGCAGCTGTACGACGCCCTTTACGTCTGGAAGCAGCAAGGGTCCATCACCGTCACTCAAACCTCCCTTGCCTTCTTCCGTGATCGTCTTGGCTCCGTCGCTCCTGGGACCTACGCCTCCGGCTCATCGACCTACACTTCTCTCATCAACGCTGTGAGCGCCTATGCCGACGGATTCATGAACATCGTCGCGACCTACGCCCAGACCAACGGCTCGCTTGCCGAGCAGTTCTCGCGCAGCAATGGCCAGCCTCTGTCGGCCGATGATCTGACCTGGTCCTATGCCGCGTTCCTCACCGCCGCTCAACGTCGTGCCAATGTTATCCCCAAGGGCTGGGTGGGCTCCGCGACATCTGTCCCAGGCACTTGCCAGGCCACCTCCATTGCCGGATCCTACTCCAGCGTCACAGCGGTCTCTTTTCCCGCCAACCAGACACCCCAGACCAACGTGCCCACCAGTACGCGTAACACGGCGACTCCAACTGCCACTGGCTGCCCAATTGCGAGCTCCGTGCTCGTCACCTTCAATGCCCGTGTCGTGACGCAGTTCGGACAGACTGTCAAGCTTGTTGGTAACATTCCTTCGCTCGGAAACTGGAACCCAAGCAACGCTGTCACTTTGAGCGCTTCGGGATACACCTCTGCCAACCCCGTCTGGTCTGTGACAGTTGAGCTGCCGGCCGGTCAGGCTATTCAGTACAAGTACATCAACGTCGCCAGCAGCGGCACGGTTACTTGGGAGAACGACCCCAACCGCAGCTATACCGTCCCGTCGTCTTGCGCGACCTCGGCCACCAAGTCTGACTCTTGGCAGGGCTAGACGTTTCAGGAGTTTGAAGGACCTCTGAGATTAACAATCTTTCACCTTGTTCGGGTTTGCTTCCATGGTGGATCTGGTGGAAACGAGCGAAGCACATATTCCATAATTCTTGTACATATTTGCTGAATATTTAGTTGACGATATGCATGGCTACTCAAGACTGCCCAGAAGCCCGCTTCTCCAACTCCGTGATGATGGTATCGACAGTCCACTCCAAAGTAGTCTCCATATCAATATCGAGCCCCTTGCCAACTTGCGCCTTGATATTCTTCTCGCTCAGGACTTCTTCATTCAACTCACCCTCTACGTTACCATCCTTGAAAAGCCACGCATGGGACTCCACGTAGTTAGGCCAGACAATCTTGTCAACATATCCAGGAGGGTCCTGCCAGAAGCCCTCCAAAGTGACATAGCCGTCGCGCGCTTCACGACGCTGGGTTGCCTTGGCACGGCTTACCAAAAGAAATAGTTTAATGTCGATAAGCTTCATCGTGGTCTCCATCTCCTTGCAGTAGAGCAGGAACCCATCAAAGAGGCACACGTTGAGCTTACCTTCGGTGAAGATGGCGTGCCCTGGGTTTCCAGGCTGGAGCCAGGCTTCGATCTTTGCCTTGACGGCTTCGATCTTGGCGTCAGAGACGGGGCATCTACCGACAGAGTTTTTATCTTCTTTGGAGTCCACGAAGGGCTGGTAGGCCTTGTGTAAGTAACGAAGCGACGAATTGCACATGTCCGCGACGGCGGCTTACCGGAAACGTCCCCTTCTCACGGATGTGAGTAAGGGCTCTCTCCATATCTGGGATGGAGATTGCTTCTGGGCAATCCCAGTCTAAGAGTCCATGTTTCGTCGGCAGCCTGGCTGAAGCGGTAAGTAACAGTCATATATGCTCGATCTTGAGCTTACTCACTCAGACTCTGCCTTGTAAAAGTCGTCTTCATGCAGTATGAAGGTATTAGGAAAGACGTCTCTAAGCAGACGAGCCAGTGTTGTCTTTCCGCTGGAAGAGCAGCCACTCAGCCCAACAACTACGGCGTTGTTCCCTGCCATCTTGAAGGTTCCTCCCGATGAACCTCTGATAAGAGTTTCTGTGAGCGAGTGAGTCTATTGTTTCGTCAAAAGAAGCAGGGTTGTAAGACAATAAAACACTCCTTTTTAAAATGGGTACTTACTGGTCTCGTCTGAGGGCGTGTCGTTTAGCCAAGATGTGAGCAAGCGGGAGAGAGTCAGAGCCAAGTCCTCATCTGAGATCCTCACATGCGGTACGGAGTACCTTAGCTCAGATCTCACCTTAGTTAACAAACCCCACCACTTACCCCTCCCTGGTCCAGAGGTCAACCGGTGGAGACATCTTCCGCTGAAGGGCCCCCGACAGCAGTGGTCCAGGGGGTTTCAGCCACATCCAGACGGGTCAAGACAGGGCCATGCAAGCCCCTGACGTGCGTCATCTGGCAAGGCACAGCGCTGTTCCACGACGCGAGCAAAGAGGCAAGCAAACCCGATATCTCCAAAAATCCCATTCCCACAAAAAGTCGCAGTTCGTCCCAACTCTTCCGGCCGCTGCATCTTACACTCGTGTCGCCGTTGTACAGCGACTCTTGACCCAACTTCTTCAATCCAGCCTGAAGCCTTCCCAAGTCTCAAAAACACTCACCCGCAATGGCCTCCGACGCAGTAGTTCTTTCGACTTCCATCGTCGCCCTTATGACGGGCTTCATGCTTGGCGTCTACTCAATCCGCGGCTACCTCATCTCCCCTGAGCTGCGCGCCGAGGCCCGCGCCAACATAGATGATCCTGTTGAGAGCGACGAGTCCGACATTGACGATGACGATACCGTTCTTGACCACGCGCCCAATTGGGCCAATGGCGTGGCCGCCGACCGCCGCGACGGCCTGCGCCAGCGCAACACTGCATCCTCTGGGAAGCCTGCCTCTTCCAAGAAGCCCAACCCCGACTCTGTGCCACTCGCCGACTCCAACGAGGAGTGTAAGCTCGTCCTCGTCGTCCGGACGGATCTGGGCATGACTAAGGGTACGTTTGCTCTCTATGCAACTGCCAACTCCTGAGAACCTATCCCTGCTAACGCACTCGCTACAGGCAAGATGGCAGCGCAAGCATCACACGCGACACTCGCATGCTACAAGTCTCTCTCGCGCGCCGCGGCGAAAGACCCATCATCCCCGGCGGCCAACATCCTCAAGCGCTGGGAGCGCCTCGGCCAGGCCAAGATCGCGGTGCAGATCAAGAATCAGGACGAGATGCTCGAGCTCATGGGCAAGGCGCGGAGCCTGGGCGTCACATCCGAGGTCATCGCCGACGCCGGCCGCACGCAGATCGAGGCTGGCAGCCTGACGGTGCTCGGTGTCGGTCCCGCCCCCCGGAGCCTCGTTGACCAGATCACGGGCCACTTGAAGCTGTTGTAGAGAGGAAAAGGGTGTATTTTGCGCTCGACGTGGATATGGATAAATTGTCATGGAACATAGAATTCTGGGAACATACACGAAATGGAGCGTAACGGCGTAAGGTATATAAAAGTAGGCGATGGACTTGAGTGTGTATTTCTCTTTACATGTGGACATGAGGTACGTCCCCAAATGATAATCAAAAGTCAACGCTGAAGATGTGTTGAGTCGAAACTTGATGTGAAACTGAGCTGAAAGCCAGTGGCGGCATACTTGAAGATAAGCAGTGGGGTTACAAAGGCGTAGCAAGCGGCTCATAGGCCAACCCTTTCATACATTTGGCCAAGTTGGAGAGAATCAGGATATAGAGAAGAACCCTCAGCTTTGGGTATTCGTGGTCACTAAGGGTGAAAATGCCTAAACGCCTCTTACATGCAACCAACTCCCCGTCCAACTTTTAGTCACTTTTACAGTAAATCCCGTGCCACAGATTATTCCTTGCGCGCGAATCTTGACAGCGCCGGGCCGAGGTCGGCCTCGACCTCCTGGTTCTTCTTCTCCCTCTCCTTCTGCTGCTTCTCCCAGATCTCGTCGACCTTCATCCTCTTCTCGTCGATGATGTTCTTCTTTCTCTGCTTGCGCAGGTACTTCTTGAGCGCGCCGTTCTTGCCTCTCGCCCGCTTCTTGATCTCTTCCTCGATCGACAGCGGCTTCGCGTCGAGGTCCTTGTCGGCCTGGCGCTGCTTGTCCGATCGCAGGTCAATGTTACCAATGAAATTGGGGTCCAGGGCAATCATCTCGGGCTGCAGCTTGTTCAGCAGACCCTTGACTTCGGCCTCCTGTCTCTGCTTGGCCGTCTCGAAGGGGTTGACCTCGAGGGCGTCGAAGTTGGCCTCTCCGGCGCCAGGAACAATAATGGACGAGAACCCTTCGTCGTGACCCATGCCAAGAATATCCTCGAAGGGGCACCATCTCACCCGTTCGATGCGCTTGCCCTCGCCGCCCCATGACATGTACGGGCTCTGCACCTTCTGCTGCACGGGCTCGTTCTTTCTGAAAAGGTCCTTCCAGACGCTCGTTTGCGTGCCCCATCCGACGGCTGTAAGACCCGAGTCGGAGATGGCTACCGAAGACGCAGGCTGTCTCGTGAAGTACTGGTTCACCTCCTTGAACATTCTGATATCCCAGACCGCCATCTTGCAGTCTTGGCCGGTTGAGACCATGTACCTGCCCTCCCGGTCAACAGCTAATGACCTCACAGGGCCTCTGTGGGCCAGAAGCTTGACAAGGGGGTCAGTCTGGTTCGGCGACCAGAGGGTTACTGTGCCGTTCTGATGTCCGACATGGAAGACAGCGTTCCACGGGTTTTGGGTCATGGCTGTCGGGGGACCAAGCTTGGTAGGGATCTCGGAGACGATGTTGCCGGTCGAAACGTCCTGGTACTTGAGGAAACCAGTCGATGCCTGCGTTTGTTAGAGAAGCCCAGCATCATATCCATTGACGGTACTCACCACCGTGCCCAAGAGGAAGTGGTAGGGGAGAAACTCCATATGCGTGACCTCCATGTGTTTCCTCAAGCAGTGAATCTCCACACCGTTGTGGTCGTAAATGTAAACATACTTCTTCTGCGCGACGGCGAAAAACTGGTTGTTGTGCAGCCACCTCGCATCCCTGATCGTCTCGCCGAGCTGGATCTCGCACCCCAGCTTGCCTTCCCTCCAGTCGAACGTCGCAAGATGACCCTTGCGTCCCGCCAGCAACAACTCTCTGCCGTTACGGGTGTACTCGCCAACATACGGGCCGAGCTCCTCCAGCTTTAACTCGAAGCGCTTCTGCGCCGTCGTGACGGCGACACCGTCGGTGATTTCATCCTGGCGAACCTTGTAGGTCCTTTCGAGTTCCGTTTCAGGTTCGAGGAAGCCGCCCGAGTTCTCGAGCAGGATCTCGGCGTCCTTGGCCTTGATAGTTGCGTCGCGGTACTTGCTCTCGAGTCTCGAGAGATTGGTGCGCAGCTTCTTGTCCCGGATCGCCTTGACGTTGATGTTCTTGCCGCGGCCGTACGACTTGTTCGCCTCCTTCAACCTCCGGATCTTCTCCCGTTCCTCGCGAGGGAGGAGGTCGGTGCGCCTCTTCACCTGAACGGCGCCATTAGAGTGTGTGTTCTTTCGGGATATCGTTTGCGTCTCGGGGGTATCGACTTCCATGATGGGCGGCGCTGTCAGGTTGTAGCAACCTCTTTTCGTAGAATACCGTCGCGAAATCCTAGCGGAGCAAAAAAAGTTGACCGACCTACGAAATTTCACCCAGTTGTTATCGCCTGGGCGAATTGGTTATCGATAAAGACCATCCAATTGGCCATAATAAATTTCTAGTGGACCTTGCGGGGGTACCGTCTTAGCGATAAGAGATACGCAGTTGCCCACGCACGAAAAAGATTTTGATAGGCAGGACCCCGCGATCGCAAAACCGACGAGAAGAAAAATACAGGGCCAAATTGCGCCGAACACGAGTTACCTCAACACCCCATCCACGAATCTGATCAACAGGTAGCCTTCGCTCAACCTGGCTTCGTTACCATTCCGATTTAAGGCTGGGGGAGACGGGAAACCGCCCGCCGCGACCATGAGTCACTCTCACCGACCGACCACCAAGGTCACCCACAAGCCCTTCAAGTCCAAGCATGCGACCAAGGGTGCGCTGAGGGACGCTGCCAAAGGTTCGCCCCCAAAAATCTCACCACTCCTCACTCAGACCTATTCATACCCGGACAAAGTATACTGAATTCGTTTTCGTCAACAGGCAGACTTCCCGGCGAAGAACGCGGCCAACGAAAGACACCCCATCAGCAAGTTATGTCTAAGTTCGACCGACGAAATCAGGCCAAGCAGCGCCAGATTTCCAAACGCAAGGAGAGACTGGAGGAGGCATCGATATTCGTTGGAAAGGATGGTGCCCCGAGAATCGTCGCCGTCGTGCCCTTGTGCCGAGATGGCGACGCTGCGGCCGCTGTTAAGCAGCTGAACGACAGTGTGGACATTGAGACCGAGGTCGAAGAGACGCCGTTCCGAGTCTCGGTTGACCGATTCAAGCAGAAGGTCCAGTACATCCCCCTCAAGCGGGACCTGAACGCCGTTCTGGACGCCACCCGGGTTGCGGACTTTGTGGTGGTCATGCTTTCGGCCGACGTCGAAGTCGATGAGTTGGGCGAGTTGATGCTGCGTGGTCTGGAGAGTCAGGGTCTGTCGACCCTGTTCACTATCGTCTACGGACTGGACAAGATTGAGCAGGCTAAGCACAAGCAGTCCACGCTTGGCTCCCTCAAGTCTTACATCACCCACTTCCACCCTGAACAGGAGAAGCTCTACCAACTGGAGAACAGGCAAGAGTGCGCAAACCTGATGCGTTCAATCTGCAACACAACGCCCAAGGGCGTGAGGTGGCGCGAGGACAGAAGCTGGCTCCTGGCTGAGGACATCAAGTTCTCCAATTCCGGACTTGGCTCCACGGTCATCACTGGCGTTGTCAGAGGAAGAGGCCTGAAGGCCAATCGTCTGATTCAACTGGGCGACTATGGAACGTTCCAGATTGAGAAGATCACAGCAGCGCCGTTGCCTAAGAAGCTGAAAAGGGGTGAAATGGCTGTTGAGGAAACCGAGACTGAGGAGATTCTTGATACCCCTGATGAGGACCAGGATGACCTGGCAGAGTTGGCCCCCGACGCCGCGATGGAGGACGATGAGATGGAGGCCGACGGGCCGCCAGAGATCAAGAAGGGTGTGCTCCTTGACGACCACCACTACTTTGATGATGATTACTATGAGGCCGCGGAGGCCAAGACAAGAGTACCCAAGGGAACTTCCAACTACCAAGCGGCGTGGTACCTCGGTGACGACGTGTCGGACTCCGGCTCTGACATGGAGGACTTCGAGATGCAGAACAACTCTGAGGAGGACGAAGCCCGCCCCGAGGACGGTCTTGAAGGCCAAGCACCAAAGGAGCCCACCGAGGCGGCGCCCTCGGAATACGCCAAGTCTGAGAAGTTCATCGAACCGGATGAGGAAGAGGATGCCGCCGGCCTAGCAGCTTACCGCGCCAGGAAGTCCGATGAGGTTGAAGACGACAAGGAGTTCCCTGACGAGATTGAGCTGCACCCCGGCGTCCTCGCACGCGAGCGCTTGCAAAGATACAGAGGTCTCAAGAGCTTGAGGACAAGTGAGTGGCTCGAGAGCGAAGACCGGGCCTACGAGCCCGAGGAGTGGCGAAAGCTCCTGCAGATCCCAGACTACCAGGCGTCCCGCTCCCGCTCCACGCGCGAAGCCCTCGTCGGCGGCGTTGCCCCCGGCACAAGAGTCCACGTCTACCTCAAGGGCGTCCCGGCGTCATTTGAGAAGTCATACCAGCCCAGCAAGCCAGTAACCCTCTTCTCGCTGCTGCGCCACGAGCAGAAGAAGACGGCGGTCAACTATCTCATCAACCTGAGCGCCGACTACCACCGGTCGATCAAAGCCAAGGAGGAGATCATTGTGCAGTGCGGACCCCGCCGCTTCACCATCAGCCCGGTCTTCTCCCAGCCGGGCAACACGCCCAACAACGTCCACAAGTTCTGCAGATACCTCCACCCAGGCCAGTCCGCGGTGGCTACCTTTATGGGCCCCGTCACCTGGGGAGCCGTGCCGGTGCTCTTCTTCAAGCGCTCCGCGCCTGTACCGGAGGGTTCCGAGGAGGCCGAGAACGAGTCGACCGTTGGCCTGACTCTCATCGGCACGGGAACGGCCCTGCCGCCGTCAACCTCCCGTGTCATCGCCAAGCGCGTCATTCTGACGGGCCACCCGTACCACATTCACAAGAAGATCGTCACAATCCGCTACATGTTCTTCAACCGCGAGGACGTCGAGTGGTTCAAAGCCCTGCCGTTGTGGACCAAGCGCGGCCGCACCGGCTTCATCAAGGAGCCCCTCGGCACCCACGGATACTTCAAGGCCACCTTTGACGCCCGCATCAACCCGCAGGACGCCATCGGTGTCAGTCTGTACAAGCGTGTGTGGCCGCGTAACGCCGTCCCGGTTCAGGGACCTCTTCTCGAGCCTGGTGTCACTAGCCAGGCCGAGGAGGGTGATGTGATGATGGATTAAAATGGATACCAAGTGAGACGGAAGCCCAGAAATTCGGAAATGATGAGATGGAAATGTCAAAAAGGGGGCCCCGGTCGAAGAACAAAAAAAGCATAGATATTAGCAGTAACGTCAACTATAGATATAGGTCTGATGCCATCCTCCGGAGTTTAAAAAAGGATAAAATGGTCAACTTTTCTTCACTTTGTTCTTTCCTACACGCTTCAGTGGTGACCAACAATACAACGCTTTTCATTTTGGCTTAAGCCTTGAGGCTGTCCAGGCCCTCCGTCGGCCGCGGGCCGCCCGCCGCCCTGCGGTTCTCCTCGGCACCGCTCGCCTTCCACGCGCTCAGGATCAGGTTGACAATATGGTCCACGGCAACGTTCTTCTTGACCTGCGCGAACACCGTCGGCCCGCCCTCGCGCATCTTGCGCGCGTCCCTCTCCATGACACCCAGGTCCGCGCCCACAATCTCGGCCAGGTCCGTCTTGTTCACCACCAACAGGTCGCTCTGCGTGATGCCCGGGCCGCCCTTGCGCGGGATCTTGTCGCCGCCCGAGACGTCAATGACGTAGATGATGTAGTCGGCCAGCTCGCGCGAGTAGTTGGCGGCCAGGTTGTCGCCGCCGGACTCGATGAGCAGCAGATCCGAGTCGAACTCGCGGTGCAGGTCCTCGAGGGCGGCGAGGTTGGCCGAGATGTCCTCGCGCACGGCGGCGTGCGGGCAGCCGCCCGTCTCGATGGCGCGGATGCGCGGCGCGGGCAGGGCCTTGTGGCGGGTGAGGAACTCGGCGTCCTCGCGGGTGAAGATGTCGTTGGTCACGGCGGCGATGGAGTACTTCTCGCGCAGCGCGAGGCAGAGGGCGAGCATCAGGGCCGTCTTGCCGGAACCGACGGGACTGAGACGGAGGTGTTAGTCTGTGTTTTCTTTTGCCCTTGAGGTCGTTCTCTTCCAATGAATTCAAGAACCTGCGCTGGGTCTTCGTCCCAGTTGCGAAGTGCTGCTACCAAGACGGGAGGATGAGCGGTTTTCAACCTGCCCGATGCAACTAGTAGCAAAACAGCGACTTACCCTCCGATACCAATGGTAAAAGCCCGGTCACTCCAGTTCCTACCTTCGACAATGGGCATCTCACGGCCGAGGTAGCTGCCGGGGCCGTCGAGGATCTCATGCGAGTGGCCGTGCTCCTGGGCGTTGAAGCCGCCCTCGTGGGAGTGGGAGTGGCCATGAGGCCCGTCGTGAGAGTGCTCGTGAGACATGTTGTGCGAGTGCTTGAACAAACCTTTGGTCGAGCAATAAACAAAAGGGTATGTGAAGCTGTTGTGGAGTTGCTTCTAGAAGCGCAAGGTTACAGTTTTTGAGTTCCAGCCTGGGAGCTCTTTAAAAAGATGGAGGGGTTGTGTCAGAGCAGTCCGAGGGATCGCGGGGTTCGACAGCTTATCGATGCGATAAGAAGTGGGACGCAGGGTCCCTTCCCCACGGCCGCCGCCGGCGCACTCAGTGCGGAGATGAAATGCCATCACTCCCCAAGGGTTGGTCAGCGTGAACGATGTACCAGACTTCACGATAATAAGCAACGATGCCGCGGGGCTATATGATGGCATCCAACCCTCCCTTATATACCGAATCGCATCCAGATGTCTACAGTGCGCACTGCAAGGGAAAACACCATCACGAAATCAGAAAAAGGCATGTTTCCCACGCAGAGTAAGTCATCTCTACCTGTATGCTTCTAGCATCTACCCTCTTTGCCCGTTGCGCCCATTCCAGGGACTATGAGTCTGCATCGGTCATAATAATCATCCCGAATTCCCTTTCAACGCCAATGAATGCAAAGTCCACCTTCCCACTCAAGCCTTGGCCCCAGTGCCTTTACTCCCCTCACCCGCCTGGTCCTTGGGCTTGGGCGGCTTCGGCACCTTCTCGTACGCATTCGGGCTAGGCCTCCTCATCTTCTTCTCCTTGTCGTCACGACCGCCCTTCCTGCCGTGCCTGTGGCCGTTGTGATCGTGATCGCCGCAGTCGTGGTCATGGTCCCGCTTGGCGCTCTTCCCCTTGCCCTTGTGGTCGCCCGAGGGTACCCTGCGTCTCCCGCCATCATCCGCTTCCGAGTCGGACGAGTCTGAGGATGAATCTGAGGAGGACTCGTCGGTCGATTCGTCGACTGCCTTTGGGCGATGGTAGATGCAGCAGACTATGTGGCCGCTCAGTCAGTCAAAAGCACGGAAGAACGGACAAAGAGAGGGCGCTGTTGCGGCAGACCTTTTGAGCTTTTGCGGCCTAGGCCCTCATTATCCACCACGTCCTCGGCCCAGCGCACCGACTGCCGTGACGGCGCATGCGCGCCCCTCAGCCGGAGGATCGCTTGCGTGCCCGTCCTGCTCTGCGTCTCCGTCTGGGTCTGGGAAGGGCCAGGCGCCGAGCGCTGTTGCGAGCGGTCTTGTACGGCCGCCATTGTGGCAGCGTTTTGTATGTGGTATGCGATCTTGTACGTAAAGAGAGTCTGCTGATGGGTAGTCGTGTGCCAATCGCCCCTATTAGGAAGCCGAGGCGGTTGTCACACCGACAAAGCCTCAAAGCACAGTCGTTGACCGAAATTTCTCGAACAGAGAGTCTGCTGCAGTCGTCGGGGTCTAGTCGCAGCAGGTGCTCCGGGTTGTTGAGTCGTAAAGATCTGTCAGATGGCAGGCGGATCGGAGATATTCAGGGGTCGTGAGGGGATTGCTGATTTCTAAGTTGGAGTGGGAAGGAAAGGGTGGCATGCTTTTGTTATTTTTTTTGGAGGAGGGGCGGTTCCAGGCCGATTGTCACAGTTGGGTACATGCCAGGCTACCCACGTCATTCCGCGGGACCCACAGCCATGACCGCCGGACGGCCGATCTAGTGGTCGGAGAGGCCCAGCCATTTCAGGGAACGCCGGCGCCATAAGAGGTTCCGGGTTCGGTCCCATCCTTCTTACTGGTAACGGTCCGGCCCGGTGTGTCGATGGCTAAACGCCTTTCATTTTTCAGTTCGCATGCGGGACTGTGACGCGCCGCGCATCATTTCATGTTTAAAGTGATTTATGAGAAAACTGATGTCATAGCTATCGTCTTTCCAGTTGATGACGGATTTGGGTCGATGACGTCCCGCAGCCCTTGTTTTCAAATATTGATACGTAGTTTTTTACATGATGATTGTACATGAGTTTCTAGATGGTATACAGAGTGTGGAGTTGATAAAAGCAGCTACGCAGCTACGCAGAGGCCTCGGCGGCTCTCTTGGTGCCTCTGGCAGCCTTCTTCGCCCCTTCATACTCTTGCGAGGACGGCTCTTTATGTTCTTCTTCGGAGACTTGTTGATCAACCACGCGTTCATTGGCAAGCGAGAACCGACAAACTTGCCCTCGGGAGACCAAACCTCGACAACGGGCCAGTTTGGCTCGTTAGGCTTCGTTTCAGGCTTCTTCTCAACCTTGGCCACGGACTGGCTCTCCGCCGCCTTCTCCATCTTGGCGAAGGGATCAGCCGGCTCGGCCTCGGGCTCGGGCGCACGTTGCTCCTCAATGAACGGCGCGCAGCCGGCAAAGAGGTTCTTGGTCCGCACTTGCGCCACGATCTCAACCCATCCGCAGCCCTCGATGAGGATGTCGGTCGCCAGGACGCGCCAAGGCAGGTTCTCGACCTTCATGCCCGCGACCTCCTTGCGTGTAAGCGGACCGGCGCGCTCCTTTGTCACGTCGTCGCGCAGCTGGAATTTCCCAGCAAGCTTAATCTTGTCGGCGATCTCGGGCACAGCAATGTTTGGCACGCGGTGGGACTCCTTCCTCTGCTCCTGGAACTCAATAGCCTTCTCGGTGGCTGTTGCGTGTTCGGGGAGAGGCGTGAAGTTGTAAGCGAGGAAGACCAAGTCTGGCGTAGTGGGAGTGATGCGAATTAGGCTGCCCAGCAAAAGAGACTGGCCGGGCTTGAGGGAGTGCTGCTCAGGCTTGATGCGGTGGTGCATGATGAGATCCTGTCGGTGCTCTGGCTTGACGTAGTTTTCGAGATCTGACCGAGCGACTCCAGGCAGGTCGATCAGCTCTCCCTTTCCGTTGCCGAAAGGAATCCGGATAGGAGAAGCCGTGGTGCCAGGAAGGGAGGAGACAGTCGGCATTTCCGGGAAGTTGGTTTCATTTCGGGCGGGCGGCAGCAGCGCGTTCACGTCCAGGCGATCCGCTTCGCTCTCGAATATATCGCCCGCTGAGTACGTCGTGCCATCGCCGTCCTCCTCCTTTGCGAACATGGAGACCTCGACGTTGTGCTTGGAGGGAATACTGGCCGTCGTGCCCTTGGGGAACACAGACTCGAAAAGCTGACTCTTGCCAACGTTGACCTTTCCCACCATCCACCCAGCGCCTCCACGCTCGTAGATTTCTTCCTTGAGAGTCTTGGTCCACCACCCCCGCTGCGCGCTGACGCACTTGACGTTGCCCAGCCTGATGAGCTGACCGAACTTTCCAAGCGACCGGCGCAGCACTTCTCTCAGGTACGGCATAAGCGCATCGACTTGCTCTTTCTTCGGCGCCAGCAGATCTGACCGGGTGATAATGAAGCTCATGTCGAACTTGCGGTCCTTGAAGTAACGGCCAGCCCTGTTCCTGCGGTTGCGGTGCTTCAGATTGGCGTCGAGGACCTGGTGCAATCTCGGCATGAAAGACATGGGGAAGTCGGCGGCGTCAATGACATGGTAGATGTGGTTGTTCTTGAACGGCGACTCTTCGATCGTCTCGCGCAGAGAGTCAACGGTAGGGTGGTAGATTGGCTTTCCGGAGTGGTGGTGGACTAGGTTGTGGCATCTGTCGCAGAGCGGTGCTCTCTTGGTCGCAGGGCGGGATGCTATGAATGTGTTAGTGGTCGCGAATGTCATTGCTAGCTAGCGACACATACCAGATCGGGCCGTCTCCAACTCCTCCCCGTAGCGCAAAGTCTTCGGGTCCAAGCCTAGCTGTGCAAGCTGTTCCTCGCCCAGATTTTGGAGAGCCTCATCGACGACCTTGTCCTCTTCGCGAAGCTCCTTCTCGGCATCCTTATCACTTGCAGGCGCAAGGAACTCCCTCACGGCTTTCCTGCTGAGGTCGTAGTAGCCAGCCTGCCCGGCATCTGTCGTTTGAGTCAACGCGCCGCAGCCGCTACACTGCAAGGGGAGCTTTTTGGTCGAGAGTTGCTGTGTCGGTTCGGTCGCGGGAGGTGGCGGCGGTGCTTCAGATGCTGTGCTGGCCTCGACGTGTACGCACCGTCGCTGTCTGTAGGGAAGTTTTCGATGCGCCTCGGCGGCCGGCGCAAACGAGTGTCGAGCGGACACGGCGCTGAGGGACGGGCAGAGGTAAACCGGCACCTCAGCTAGGGCGGCTCGGTCGCCGATGCTCAGAGCGCTCCTGAGCCATCTTGACGACAGCGCGCGATGCATCGTCGCAAAATGAAACCAAAGAAAATTTCGAAAGTCGTTGAGGAATACAATATCCCCTGCAACTTTTTGCTTGGAGAGCTTTCCAAATTTTTAGATCATCGGTCGAGCTTCACAGGTAGAGCGATAAGATAAGCACCTGATTCGACTCAAGCTCGTCCCGGCCTATTAAACAGCGGACAAACCAACCCCCGGCCCCCGAAAAAGCAAGGGTCGCGGGCAATTTTCAGAATCTCAACCACGCGACTGACAGCATTCGGAGGTGTACTTTGAAGGTTTGGCAGTGATACCCCCCCCAGATTGTGATATTTCTGGAAAGATTCGTCAAAATGGTTCGCGTAGGGCAAAGATGGCATGCTCTGAGAGCTGTAAGTTATTCGACAAAAGCCCCCCATTGCAACATTTGTCAGAATGCACAGCTAATACTTGCCATTAGAAGGTACATACGATCACTCGAGAACACACCCGATGTAGCTCCTAGGACAGCTTCAATTGACACGAGAGAAACCCACCAGATCCTAAACATACGCTTCGGCCCCGGCGCCGCAACGCTGCCCCCAATGTCACGAGGATACACATGGAGTTCGCCAGGCGCGCAGAAGACGGCCATTTCGGTCCCAAGTCCGTTCACCCCCCTACCCGACCTTCCGCCCTCGAGCGCAGCGTACGGAAACACAGACAACTGACCCATTTGGAACCTACAGAAGATTCTGGCGCGACATGCTTCCCCGTCTAAAGTACTACAACCCCGCCGTCCCCATGATTGTCAACCGCAAAGCCAACAACGAGGGCGCCGCCGTCATGTCCGTCTACTTCTCCACCACCGATGCACCCGTCGACCCGTCTACCTTGCCGCAACCCCCTTCCTCCGCTATCGACAACAGCAAGGCCCAGCCCCCGCTCGAGGGCGTCGAGCGTGTCGTCAAGATCGACATGAAGGGCAAACACTCCCAGGAAATCCTCGACCGGTTCCTCGCCGAGACCAAGGCTGAGGCCATCCTGCCCGGGCCGGAGGACGAGAACGAGATGAAGGCTGTCGAGGAGCTCAGAATCAAGGGCGAGAAGGACCGCCAGCGCAATCTCAAGATTCGCGAGGAGGAGAAGAGGGAGAAGGCCATGTTGGCCAGGGCGCGTGCCGAGGCCAGCTCGTAACAGGGTTGAGAGAAGACATGTACGAGTCGGGCGTGGATGGAAATAAAAAAAGTGTATGAATATCCTGTACAAAATGTACCAAAAGAATCTCTGCATGAACTGGTATACGTTAGGGAATCTGACTGGTTTGGCCAAAAAGTTGGTCCAAGGTAGGCAGTGCATTCGTTCAGCTGTACAGACATGACATCGAGTTTATGAGGGGTATCGTGGCAAGATGTGAAGTATTGTTCATTGTAAACTAATCAAGGACTTACGACCATGTACATCCAAGAAAAAAGAAGAATAACCCCCCATTGCCCAACCAAGAAACCAGACGCTCTGTAGGCTGGAGTAGGGTCGGCCAGCCACCGCGTAGATGCATGCTAATACCCTTAAGCAGGCCAGTGGGGCCATTGTCCTTCTGTAACTCCAATAGTAATGCTTCCCGTAGTTGATTTGGCGCATGAAACGCCTACTTCAAACCAAAACCCTCGCTTTCGTGTACGGCGGTCCACAGCATATGTTCCAATTTCTCCCTCGAATCATAACGCCGCAACGCCAGCATATTGAAGCAGGTTCGAGCAATAGGGTATCTGTTCTCGTCGTCTCCCAAGCATGTAATCTTTATCGGAAGGAGAGCAGCGCCCATGGCCGGCACTCTGTCAGTGCCAGTGATGAAGGAGAGCAATTTTCTCTGTTCGTCCGGGGAAGCCTCCTTGAAGGTGTCCCAGAACCATCCCACGACGGGTTCCACGCCATCAGGGTTTCTAGTTCCCCAGTTGTCGTACTCGGCGACTCCCCTTAGGGCATCCACGTCAAGAGCTGTATCGGACCCTCGAACAAGCAACTCAATCTCTTCGGGCCGGAACAATGACAGAGCGTTACCACCACAGACTGTGTAGAAGCCGCGCTTGAAAGGCTCGAACTGCCGAGCGACTGCCGTTTCAAGGAGATATCTGACGTGCAGATTGACATACTCTCCTCTGTTTGCGTTGGTGACTGGTCTTGTCTCGCCCCCCGGACAGAGTGGGACTTGCATCACAGTCCCATACTTCTCGACATCAACAACGAAGTCCAGCTGAAAGGTCGTTTCAACATCGCCTTCATACTCAAGGAGCTGTTTGAGGCCGGTGGCCAGGCGCGGACGGTATTCTGCGAGGTCCTCCAGGGTATAGCTCATGGTTGGACGAGGGTGTGCAGACGAACCAGCCGATGCGCTAGGTGCCGATGCAAGAAGCTTTCGGAAGGCAAACGGAGGCAGCGCCACATCTAAGATGGTGGAGTTGTAGATGGCCAAGCCAAGCACAACACCGACAAGGAAGAACTGGTCTGATGTTTCAAAGGCATTGGGGTTGAAGTAGCAGAACTGTGAGTCTTCGTCGTAGATGAACATACCTGATGTTCTTGTTAGAAAAACATACAGATATGAACGAGAATGAGACGTACCATGTTCCGGGTTGAACACCTCACGGACGAGAAGAAGAAACCATTCTTTCTTTAGACCTCCTGCATCAAGGCCCTCCTCGCCCTTGAAAACGATGCGCAACCCCTTCTTGATGTCTTCGCTCCCGCTTCCAATGACTTCACTGACAGCCTTCAAACTGTCATCGACCAAACACTCTCGCCGCACATCGAGCACCAGGAATTGCGTGACATTTCTTCGCGTCATGATGCTGTCAAAGAAGGCGTCTCGCGCCTTGGTCATTTGTTGCCTGCGCGCGTCGTGCTCTAATATTTGGGACTTTGCCCATATGCTCAGCAGAAACGGATACTGGCAGAACGAGAATCTGCCCCGTTTTGACTCCCAGGCTTCGAACTCGGCCACCAGATCGGTATAGTCGATCATGGTGTTGTAAAAATCACTCGTCGGGATGATCTGCCCATGAGCCTGGATGCCGCCTCTATGGGTACTGCTGCTCATGTTCCTTGACGTCTGGTCCGGGCGTCGAATGTGCGTCATGTTGTTTGCCGCAAATACCAGAGATAAGACTCGCGCGGCCGCCCGGATCTGCCAGTCTTCATTGTACACCATCTTCTTCGGTTGCTCCTTTTGTTTTTTCGAGGCGGCACGGTGCGTTCCCAGCGCAGCATGCAGCGAAGCTGCCGAGTGCCCGGCACTCATGTTCGGAATCAGCCCGGCTGTAATGTCCACCTTGACCTCGTGCTTCTTCTCGTTTTGACGAATGAGTCTATACGTCAAGAATCCCGCGGCCAGATCCTTGATCTTGACGAACCTGGATTCGGAATACCGAGCGAACCATGTGGTCAAATGGTTCTGGCACGTACTGGAGGAGTTTGAGATCAGGCCTAGGATTCGTTTGATGATGACAGAGTGCTGTCCAGACACAGGACCAGTTTTCAAGGTCGATCTGTCTTCTCTCAATGACTCGTCGCGTGCCAACGACGGGCGTCTGTCGCTATTCCGCCTTCCCTGAAAAGCGTTTGACTCCCCATGTAGCAAAGGGTTGTCTAAAATGATGAGGAGATACCTTAAGTCTTCCGGTTCGGTCATCGGACGACCAGGTCGCCTTAATAGTGCCTCGGTAGCCTTCAATAAAGTCCTGTGGGCGTGGTCCTGGCCGAAGAGTAACTGGGATTCCAGGGCTCGAAGTTCTGTGGCTGAGAGGGGATCAGCCCCTGATTCTTGCGTCATCTCCTCATAGATAGACATCCAAGATTCTGCTGCATTGACCACGGATCTGTACCACTCTGCAACGTCGTTCCATTCTACCTGTGGTGAGCGTGGCGTAATGAACGAAGGCACCTCCTCGGTCCGTTGTGAGGCCGACCGCTTATGACGCGCCCCATTCGGTCCCTGATTTCCAGTCCACCACGTGCCATTCTCAGCGAAATCGCCGAGCAGCAGAAGTTTTGGATCAAGGTCACAGATTGGGGATTCGGTGTACTGCTCAGCGTACTTTGCTTCAGGTCTAGGAATGACTGGCCGTCGGGAAGCAGACTCGCTTCCTGACCGGACAGCGATGACAGGTCGCCGAGACGAGAAGGACGAATTTACGCAATGGAATGAGCTGAAGCAGGTCGTGATATAGTCTTCCAGCGGTCTGAAGATCATTTTCGGGTCGTCGACATTCCAGTATCTGGAGTCCGCCGGCCGGGCACCACCACTGTCTGCCGTGAGCTGCCGCATGGAAGGTCTTTCGGGGTATGAAGATGAGAGAGATCTTGCCGTTGGCGGTGCGCGAAGCGTATTGGGACGCAGCGTCGGCTGCTCGGGAAAGACGTAAGCTGTCCCATTGCCTTGACTTTTTTCTCGCCTATGTTGCAGGACGCCAGTAGTCCTCGAAGTGCATGGTCGGCCACCATGTTCTCTCAAATGGTCGGAAGGCCCATGGACCTCAACGTTTTCGCGGTGTTCATCCTCGGAGCTTGAAGACCTCCTAATCGCCCTCGCCAGATGTGCATGAATACACTGTCGAATCAGCCTTTTAGTCTGCTCGAGGGAAATCGGTTTGGCCTCATTTCGTTCGGCTGGGCGGGGCGGTTGTTTCTGAGGGGACGTCGAGTCTTGGGAGGGGCGCTGAAGCCACTTGGGGCCGCTGTTGGCTTTGGCGCTTTGCTGGTCTGAATGGATATCGTTGATAGTTACACAGACGGTGCATTTGAAGACTTTCAGCTCTCGCGGCCAACGCACGAGTGAGCCGCAAGTCATGCAGTTGCCTGTGGCGAAGTCCCTGCTGCCGCCAGTTGCACCTCCTCTCTTGTGTGTACCACTCCCTAGCGGCTTCGTCATGACGGTCACATCGTCCTCGGAGTCGGTGTCATGGGCAGCGTCTGGGCGCTTCTTCTTGCTCGAGAACAGCGAGGGAAACGGATGGCTCATGGAGCGGGAATGGGTGGGTCGGCGCGGTCGTCTTGGGTGGAAATCGGATTCGGAGGAGCTCGAGTCGGCTTGGAGGTGCAGACTATCCAAAATCGCATAATCGGGCAGTCGTCCCAGTTGGCCAGGTGGTGCAGTGAGCGAGGGGGTGTGTACTCGGGAGATCAGGTCGGCGGAAGTTTGACGGAGAGTAGAAGGGCGAAGAGGTGGAGCATGACGTTGGGACCAAGGAGCCATGGTTGCGAGCGACGTCGTCTAATGTCTGCGACAACGACAACGGCAGGGGCATGGAGGCAACTTGATCTGTAAGCAGCAAATCGGCATGGAGAGAGAAAGATGTGCAGGAAGGCAGGTTTAAGCTTTCCACGAAAAGCGTACTGCCGCCCCCAAGGAAGGTAGTTGAAGTATAAAGACGATACGATTGAGATGGGGGGAGGGGCGGCTAGAAGACGGAGGGAGACCTGCAGTTTGTGTGTCTGCGTCTCTCTTCCAGCCAGTGCGTACGAATGCAGGATGCATCTAAGTCAAAGGGCGAGACAGAACAAGACACCACCGCAGGGGAAAGGTTCACGATGAACGACGATGCAGGCAGGTGTCGATGCACGAGGAGGACGACACGGATGCGCCAATGCCGGGAATATGCTGCAGTGGTCGGGTCTAGCTGCGAGGCCATAGAACCAACAGACGCCGACACTGACTGCCAAGCGGCTGAGAGTCAACCTGAGCTGCGGACAAGGAAGCGCAACGTCGTCGTTGTTTTTGTTATGGCCGCATTGGTTAGGCCAGGCCGACGTACTGTAGGGGAATTGACCGCCTCTAGTGCCCAAGCCAACAATTTGCGCCGTGCACGCGACGACATTAGACGACGGGACGGACATCCCAAGACGATTCGGATGCCAGGCCTGCCAACTGAGCGCATCGCTTGTCGGGCTTCCAGGTCCCCAAGTCCGTTCCTCGAGATGGAGGCCGGACTGGTCGACCAGGACCACGAGACGCGCGAGTCGGGCTCGGCTGAGGGGCCTGAACAATGTAACGACGGCGGTCACCCGACCCAAGACAGAACCCAGCGGCCATGTTCTCTCATCATACTCGCCTCGTATTCGACGCCGGGCATGTGGTTCCCAGACACAGGCAGGCCAGGGCCCGATATATTACCACATCAAACAGCCGATCCCCGCAACGCACCCGTGGCTGGCGGGCTGGCTGAGCGCCATTCCCCATTTAATTCCATGAGGGTTTGTCTCCCTGGTGTGATGTGGCCCTTAGTTGACTTTCAAATTAAAGATTGTGCAGACCCATTGTCCCTAGCGCGGATAGCTTGCATTTCCTTGCATGAACTGCTAAAGAGCTTGCTGTAATTAAGGTCCCAGAAACATCAAACGTCGTTCCCAGAGTGCCAAAGATGCCATCCTAAAGAGAAATAAGTCTGGACCGTGTGGAGTGATATAATGTTGCAATTTCAAAATTGCGACCGACCCCCATGTCAGCTCAGCTTCAACCAATTTTCTCTGGTGTTCAGGGTCTTGAGCTAATCATTCAAGCCGGCAGGGGGGTTCTCTGGGTCCTCGCTTTCCAGTGTAACCCAGCATGAAGACTTGCCAATCCAAAACAAACGAGGCCGTCCGCGGCTGGAGAAACCTGCAGGGGCAGCACTCCAGCGTGCCTTACCTCCCGCTATTGCCTTGCCTTAAGGTACCTAGCACATCCTCCGCGGGCTGCAACTAGCGGTCCAATGGTCGCACTTCCCCGCGGCCGGCACACGGCGGATGTGCGGTCTGTTCCTTCCCCCAATCCATGTTTCCTCCTTCCGAGTCCCGTCGATGCCAATCTGCGCCAAGCTCAGCTAAATTCGTAACGGGGAAAGAAGCCCATCGTGGATGCCCCGTTTTGTCCCTGCCAGGCTCCGCGATTGGATCTCTTCCTCTACCTATTTTGTCACACTTCCAACCTCGATCACAGGTTTTGCAGACAAGACACACACACAACTCGCAACATATTGCCTCGGCCGTTTCAGCCTGCCCAATCCATCCTTGAATATACTTCCACGTCGTGCGAGTCTGGCTTCCTCAGCGTCCCCGAACAGCCAGGTTCCCCAAGGTTGTCGGGAAACCTAACCTTCGGCTGAACAGCTCCGGGCTGGGCGGATCCCGTGACGTCAACTGATGCCGTTGTAAAGGTCGCCAAAGACGAAGAACGACGAATACGCATACCAAACGAGTAGACGACCACAAGGCTGATGGACATGCCAAGCAAACGCTTTTCCCTGGAAAACGTGGATGTGGAAAGCTGCTCATTGGTCGGGCATCGCTCGCTTATCTCCGCAGTATTAAGAGAGACAGATCTAAGCATCATACACCAAGAGGAACGCAACATCTTACTGGATGCAAACATGTTCATATTCTCATTCGTCATAATGTATGGACAGCTAGCTGTCAACCGCCTCCGATGCCCTATAGCATCTGGGCAAACTGGGGCGTTACAGAGAACGGGGTGTCGATATACTTGATCGTCTCGTTACACCAGTTCGACTCCTGAGTACCGACACCCACCAATCTCGCCTTGTCTGTGGCCTTGGCGCCCTTCTTGATGCTGCCATGGAGCGTGCTCTCAAAGTCACCCTTCACAATCTTTAGGTCACCCTTCATTTCCGCTAACACTTCACCGCTCTCGCTGCGGAGCTCAAACATGCTGACGCCATGGTCAATCTCCAATGGACTGGGGTTGTACACCTTCATGGTGTTGACGAATGTACCGCCTCGCTCTTGAGAGTTGACCTGTGCGACTCTGGGGCCGCCCATGCCAATAATGGGCACGTCCTTGGCGTACTTGACTCTAGCTGACATGCCGAGCGCCTTGATTGTGCAATCGCCGTTGTCGAGACGCAGCACCAACTCGTTGTCGCACATAATGGCTTTGACGAACGCCATGAAGGCGGCGCGGTCGACGATCTTGATGAGTTGATCGCGAACAACCACCTCCGTTCCGCCTGACTTGGTCTTGACTTCGGGGAGGTCCAGCTTGCCAAAGCAGCCGCCATTGAACATCATGTCGACGGTCATTGGCGCCATGGTCGCGCCCATCGGTCCGGTGCCCGTGACCCTGCTCACAATGGTCATGACGAAGGAACTGTGGATTGCAAAAGTCAGCAAGGCATGATCTCGCGGCGGTGCCCGGTCCGGGATTACTCACTCCGCCGTGGGCTGGGAGATCTGAATATGTTCCACCTCCAGCTTGGACCGGTTGAGAATGGCCTGGGTGATTGCCTCCATATTGGCTAGTGTGCTGATTTGTGGAGCGCTAGAAAAGTGATGACGTTGACTGAGTTGATATGTTGTGTAAGTGAAGAGCTGTGTGCGATTGAGGCTGATTGATTGATTGATTGACTGACTACCAGACAAGAAAGCGAGGGGCAACGACCTTTATACACGCTTCCCATCTCATCTCACAATATCCTGGTCATTGCCGCGCCGCGATCCAGCCTCATTGTCGTCAGAACACATGCACACCTCCAGCTGCCATGTGCTACCGGGCAGCCACAGTCTTTTTTTGTTGTTGCTTTTGCCTCGGAACCTAAGTCTCGTCTCCAACAAGACCAGCCCCACCACAGTTCGCATAGCTCTTCGCATAGCTTTACTACCCTGCTACACGCCGTCAATATTGACAAGGCCCCCAAGTGTTTCCAGTCGGAGCTATCAGATGAAGATACTCGTCTGCTTGGTGAGCCCAACTTATCGGATAACACCCTCGCGCGTATGTGAGATCCACCGCTCGCCAGTCTCTCAAAACGGCAACTCCCTGTGCGTTGAAACACCTACACGGCAGCGGGGCGCCGCAACCAAGCAGTAGCCAGCCCACGCACACAACGCACCCGCACCCGCATTCGCACTGCTCACGTACACTACAACTAAGGTACCCAGCAATGCGCAGCCACTGTTACCTACATACTACTCCTCCTCAACGCCCAGCTCGCTTGGACGTCCGTTTCGGGAAGCATTGTGCACCTACGGCCCCAGCTCTGACTAACCTCCGGGGACCCGCGCGTCACGGCCGGCCGCCAGTCTCAGACGCACTCTCTTTCTCAAACCCCGTGTCAGCGGCGCCAGAAGGCCGCCCTTCGGGTTCCAGAAGTTGAACCCTAGGGGAGGGCTGTGAGCACTGCCTGCCGACTTCACCAAGGCTGACTCCAAAGGTTACGGGATTTCTTGAGGCGAGCAAAGGGGTTAAGCATGTATCCCCTCGGCTGCGTAAGTTATGGGTGACGCAGATCCTGCGGGGCGGCATGCTTAATCTCGGTACGCAACATCGAGCAAAGCTGTAAGGGTTGTTTTGACATGTGCTTCGTTCAGCCTCTCGTCGGCTCTCTCTCTTGGGACATCAGAGTGCGGGAGTGCGGGGCTGAGCATGACGTCTAGATTGGCGATGTTACGGCAGCGTCACAAACGTAACCCAAAAGGCAAGGTTCTCGTAGGGATGTGGTTGCATTTGGAGACGTCGACACGTGTGGAGGGACAGAGTAGGTTATAGCATGGTAGGCTTCGCCATCCATGTGGCGGCGACGCGGAGTCCTCTTGCGTAATGCTTCACTTAAGCCCTTTTGGCCGAGGAATCTTGTGGCCCAGCGATTCCTTTTATCTTGGACATGTCGGAGCAAAACTTCCAGCCTGGGCAGCTCCCTCTACTTGCAACGCGCAAAGTAAGAAACAGCTCTGGATCGGGATGTCATCAACGATGAGCAAGGTAGATCCACGGACCCAGGCGCGAACGGCAAGGCTACGATCGGGACTCGTGGTGATTCATCGCTCTTTCAATTCTTTGTTTTGAAGGGCGCGCTTAAGACTAACACCAAGCTTTTCCATGCCTTTTTTTTCCTCTCCACCTCCCTCTCCCGCAACCGCCGTACTGAAAACACACCCAAACCGGACTAAAATCGCCGTCGTCATTCCTCAACCGTCCAAAACACCTTCTCTGCGCCAACCTTTTGTGAAAGCTCAACCGCTCGCCTGCCCAGCCGCCAGCCGCTAACCGCTCACCATTCGACCCAGACAAAACAACAACCGCCGTTTCTCTCTACCTCTACAGCCGTCCCGCCAACCTCTGACTCCGGTCCGATGCTTGTCTAAGAAAAAGTACGAAATGAGATGAGCCCAAATTGAGACTTTTTTTCTTCGTGGACAACATCAAGCAACAACAACGACAACTGCGCGGGGGCAACTAAGACTTTTGTTTTCAAAGGGGAAAATGCTCGCTCCCGTGTGTGTGTATGCGGGCGGAAATGTTTTCTGTCATGCTGATGCGCACAGAGAGCGCTTACACTCCGGTAGCGTCGTCAAAGACGATGGCGGCCTTGATGGCGCTCTTGTTCTTGATGGACTCGAGAGCCTCGCCGAACTGCTCCAGTTTGAAGGTCTTGTTGACGATGCCCTTGGTCTTGACCTTGCCAGAGTCGAGGTAGTCGATGGTGGCAGCTGCGCGGGGGTCAGCACCAGGGGTCACAGCAAACACTCGGAGAGCTTGAGAGTAAGAAGGGGTACATACGGAACATGTAGGTCTCGGAGAAGGATCCGAGAATGGTGATCTCGTCACCAAAGATCTTGGAAGGGGGCCATGAGACGCGGGCGGAGCTGGAGTAGACACTGGAACAAGCGGGTTAGCTGGTGTCTAACTGCCTAGAGATGCTTACGATCTTACCCGTAGACGACAAGCTTGCCGCCACGACGGACGTAGTTGATGGCGTCCTCGAGAATCTTGACAGAGCCGGTGGCCTCCACAACGACGTCGAAGCCGTACGGGTTGTCGTTCTTAAGCTGGGAGAACTGGACCTCGGGGTCGGAGCGGGAGAGCTCAATATAGTGGTCGGCGGCGTCCAGGCTGCGGGCAAGGTCCATCTTGAGACCCTGAGGCGCGGCGATGGTGACGTTGCAGCCACCGTTGTGGCGCATCAGCTGGGCGAGCATCTACACAAAGGTTCGTTGGTCAGAGAATGGTGTCTATTCCAGTGCTCACGAGAGACTTACAAGACCGGTGGGGCCGGCGCCGAACATGAGGACGCTGGAGCCGAGACGGGGGCGGATCTTGTCCAGACCGTGGCAAGCGCAAGAGGCGGGCTCAAGGAGAGTGGCGTCGACATCGTTGAGGTTGTTGATCTTGAAGACCTTGCCGGCAGGGTAGGCGCAGTACTCGGCGAAACCACCATTCATGGTGACACCGTGAGCCTCGAACTACGGAGGGTGTTAGTCTTGTCGTCTCAATCATGCAAGTCGTAAGGTAGGCCTTACGTGCTCGCAGAGCAAAAGCTCTCCACGGCGGCAGTAGAAGCACTCATTGCAAAGCTCACTGTTGTCGGCGGCAACACGGTCGCCAACCTTGAAGTCCTTGACTTTCTGTCTATGATATCAGCATGGTTCGTGGTGGTTGTTGAGGACAGAGAGCTATACGTACGGGTCCAACAGCGGCGACGACACCGACGGTCTCGTGGCCGGGGATCAGAGGGAACTTGGCGATGAACTCTCCTTCGTGGATGTGCTGTCGAGAAGTATCAGTGATGCCACACCGGCGAGCACGTTCAAGAGTTGTGATTTACCAGGTCTGTAGCGTTCATGTTAGTCGTACAGGTTCCCCAGTTACTTGTTTCTTCTCTTGCTTGCACTACATACGTAGTGCAGACCGAAATGCGGAGTTCACTTACCAGTGCCACAAACACCGCAAGCTCGAACCTTGACCAGGACGTCGTTCTCCCGGAGCTCTGGCAGAGGGACCTGGACAATTGACCAGTCCTCAGGCTTCTCGTATCTGTATGAGGGGTTAGCTTATCGTCGATGAAGAGACAGCAGATCCAGCGAACAAAGTTCCGCGGAGAGCAGCACTATATTGCTGAGGCTGGAAATGCCGGATCTCGACACGGGGCAATCGTACCGGAGAGCCTTCATCTGCTTGGGGAGGTTCGACAAGTTCGCCATAATGAGTATGTTGCTGGCTAGGGACTAGGATACTGAATAAGGTGCTAGTGTGGGCTGTTTGAAGTCGAGTCAGTAGATGTTCTTCGTGTAAGTGAAGCCGAACTCGAACTCGGACAAGGGGCTGATTGGGCACGGAAGCTGGTAACATACAGAATCAAAGCTCACGAGTGAGGAGAAGGTGAGGAGTAGCTTGGATTCAACTTAAGATCGATAAGAAGGAGGCGGTAACGACGGCTTTATATACCGGCTCTCAAGCAGGGCCATGTTCGGTCAGCGCGGGGAACGGGCGCATTCTGGGATGGAGATGGGACCAGGGTCCAAGGTGTCTTTGGCTGGCGTGTCTGAGGTCAAGGTACCTACACCTAAAACCTCCCTAGGGCTAGCATTGTATGGTCAAATCGGCGAGCTTCTATGGCGACGCCGAATGTTTGTACCTCTTCACTCGTACAGTGCAATACACGGGAACGTGGATAGTATGTTGGTGTAACTGTATCCCGCATCCCGCGTCCACATCTGCATCCTTGTCAACATCCATCGACGCACCACTCGGCAACATATGACGCTACGTATACGAGACGGAATACTACGCCGTGGGCAAGGCCCAGCCTCATTCAGCGAAAACAGGATTGGTGAGAGCAAGAGGCACCTGTGAATAACGGAACTGTAGATGGAACCACAAAGCTGAGCAAAATCCCATCGCCAAACCAGCCGGCCCCCCGGTCCAACACGGTGCCCCGCCCCAGAACTCCCCGCCAGATTTGGCTGCACACTAGGCGTCATCACGCAGGGCTGGCACTAGTAGCGAGACTTTCTGGCGTGGAAAAATTGGGGTGAACATATGGCGGGGAGCAATCATACTGCAGGGAGAGACTTAGACTGGGAGGGGCAAAAGGTACGGCGACGCGCACACCCTCGAGCGTCTGACGACTGCCAGCCAGTTAGTCTAGCACTCCAGCTCATCCCATGGTACGGAGTCGATGAACTTTGATCGAGCCATTCAGAGAAGAGCGAGGCGGGCACGATGCATCCAAAATGGAAAGGAAGGGAAAGGGGAAAGGGGACCTTGGACTTGGATCGCAACTGACCGAACGGAACACTGACACCACCAAGACGGCAAGCTTGACCACCACCATCTCTTCCATCCCTTCTCCACTTGGACACCGCCGCGGTGCTTATCTCGCACATCCGACATCCTTTTCCCAATGTGCATCACCTCAACAAAACAACCCTTCCCAAGGCCGGCTCAGGGAGAGTGAGAATGTGGTGACACCTCACGGCACATGACATGATGAACTTCCACTAGCCTCCTGGCCTCGACCGCACCCGCGCCAGCGATTCCCTCCACGCGCTACCCTGGGCGTGGCCCTCTACCCGGCCGTTCCCCGGTTTGCTGGCCTCGTTGGCGTCGGCCCTTGGCGTGGAGATGCTCCCTCCACATGGAGCTGCCTTACGTACCAGGTTAGCATGAGAAAGCGGGATGGGCGGCTGGATGCTTTGACATGATTCTGCCACGGCCATATACAGCTTGGTCTGCGTTTGGTAGCCCAAGAGCTTAAATGTGTTTCTGTCCACTGTCTTGCATGGCAAGGTGTCGATGATACTGCCTGTTCGTCTCTTCTCGGGTAGCCTGCAGACTCTCAAGTGAAATCCGGATTCTGGCGCTATTGGAATCGCTCGGTGCATGGAGGTGTCATGTTTGGAAGAGACGCGGGGAAGGTGACTTTTGTGCAAAGAAACACCGTCCAGGATGTCTCCCTCTTCCTTCCTATCCTACGACTCGGGGATTTCGAGTAAACTACGTCCATAATCCGGTGTAAGTGCAGGAAGACCACCAAAAAGGCAGGGTAACTCGTTGAGGAAGGGGACTCGATCGACCCCTTCCAAGCCAATCTTTCACAGCCCACTCGCTGCGGCAAGACACACGGCAGCCTATGGTGTGGGGAGCATGCTTGGATTCCAACTTACGCGGGGCACGAATAAGACTCGCAAGTCGAGAAACCTGGCAGTCATGAGATTTACGCAGTCACCGCCACTTCTCAATCGTCTTACCAGTGCACCTCGGCATCCTCCCGGCTTGCCGTTCTGGATAAGACTCGAGACCGTCACGCATGTTTACTAAAGCACGGGAGCATCGCGCATTTGCTTCATAGACCGGGGCTGCACGTACACAACGGGACACGCACCAGGGATGCAACACAAGTCTGGAACCATACGTTATTCGTGCGAAGCCTGCTGAAGCTATCCTACTTGCGTCGGCGCTTACTCCAGGCTCTCAACATTCCTTCATAGACGGACCCCTTTCTCGTCCGTCCTCGACAATCGGAGAACACATCCATTGGCGTCCTCGTTTCTTTTTTTCTTTCTTCGGTTGCTCTCAACATGCGGGGAGAGTCTTGAACATGACCTCTCGAGACGTGAGCACCACCCCACGTGCTAGCCGGCAGACACTGCTTGCTCATCACAGCGTGGTATAGAAGAGAGACAAAAGGACGTTTCACAGTTTGGAGGAAGCAGCACAAGCTGCATGCTGCAATTCATGACCTTTTGATGCAAACGATTTCCGAGGATCTAACCTCCAAACTCCCACGATGTTTCCCCCGTAGTCTGTGACGTTAACAGACGCGCGACTGTTCCGGCCATCCACTTTTTAGAGTACATGTCGGTGCCTTTTTGTTTCTGCCAATGCGTCTCGAGAGTAAAAGCCGATAGGAAAGAACCTTCTTACGAAGGGGGAGCGGCACCACGGCCACGGCCAAAGCCACCACGGCTGCAAAATTGTTAGCAGGTATGTTCTCGGGATATTCCAAAGTTGCGCCAAAATGATATCGTGCGGCAACCTCCAAGGGGTTGTGGCTCACAATTGGGGCTCGAAACCACCGGGCGCACCACCCTCCTTGCCGCCCTCGCCAGCATCACGGCGGCGGTAGCCACCCTCACGGTCACCACGGTCACCACCACGGCCACGGCCGCCAAAGGGTCTTCTCTCGCGCTCGCCCTCGCCGAGCATACCGCGGGGGGGAGCGTGGGAGCGCTGCTGCTTGATGTGGGTGGCGGGGACAATCTCGGCGGGAAGGTGAAGCCACTCGCGGAGGTAGTCAAGACCCTCGGGGGTCAGGGTGTAGTAGTAGTATTGCCACGAGAACTGGGTCTTGACATAGCCGCGGGAGTTGAGCGACTGCAGGGCCTTGACGACGAACAGGTTCTTGGTGTCGATGTCGGGGTGCTTGGGGAGGTTGAAGTCCTTCTTCGCGACGAGGACACCCTCACGGAAGAGGTACTGTAATATTCGTCGTCAGCATCAGATCAATCCCCCCATTATCTGCGCCGTGCGCCAGCGAATTGTAAGTCTAACCTCGTGGATCTTCTTGCGGTCGGCCTTGGGGATCAACATCGTGGCGGTTGTCGCTGGTCGCTTGCTCAAGGTCGATGTTGGATTGTCGAGTTCGGCTTACGGTCGAGATCATTCAGCACAAAAAAGAGTGAAATCTTTTGGTGGGCTGGAGAAGGCAGGTACGCACTAACCAGGTTGCAAAACCCTACGGCTCGGCAGGAAGGTGGTCCGTGCCTTCGGTTGGTGACTTCAGTACGTACTGCTTCAGCCACACTGGGCGCCTCTCTCACGGAAGGTGCGCCGTGCCACCGTGGCTGTGCTAATTGTAACTGACATATCCGATAGAGGTGCGATTCGGCCAATAAACATTTGGTTGCAGCCGCTCTCTGCCTGCACGTCTCGCAAGTCGCAACCTACCTCATCGTCGTCACTCCCAGTTCCGCCAACGCTGCATCCAGTGATCTCGCGAAATTCAAGTCTGCAACGCAACAAGGCAGGCAATACTAAAATGGCTGTCAAGAACGTCAACGTTTTCGTCAGCACCTTCGCGGGCTTGGGCCTGCCGTCCACGCTGGTCCTGCCCGTCCCCTCGACAACCTCTATATCCGACTTGCGACACCAACTCGACGAGCGTCTGCCTGCGACAGACAACCGGCTGATTTTAACGACAGTATCAAACAAGGAGCTCTCTGCGTCATCAACAAGGCCTGTATCGGATCTCCTGTCGTCGATCAACGATGACTTTGTTTCTTTGCGACTGTCGGTGCCGCTTTGCGGTGGCAAGGGTGGTTTTGGATCCCAGCTGCGGGCTGCTGGTGGTCGTATGTCCTCCAAGAAGAAGCGCAACCAGGGAGATGCCAACAACTCCAGCCGAAACCTTGACGGCAGACGTCTGCGCACCGTCACCGAGGCCAAGGCCCTGGCTGAGTACCTAGCTATCAAGCCTGAGATGGAGAAGAAGGAGAAGGAGAAGCGTCGCGAACGCTGGGAGCAGATTGTCGAGCTTGCAGAGAAGCGCGAGGATGAGATCAAGAACGGCGGCAAGGGCCGCCTTGATGGCAAGTGGGTTGAGGACAAGGAGGAGTCCAACGAGAGAACCCGTGAAGCTGTGCTTGCCGCCATCAAAGCCGGAAAGTACAAGGACAACCTGCTCGGCACTTCTCATGCATCAGCTAGCTCAGAGGAGGCGGTTGAGGCGATGTCGAGTGATGATGAGGATGAGGAAGGAAGTAGCTCTAAAGAGTCTACGCCTCCATCAGAACTGGCAAAGGCACCCAAGGACAAACCGAGGACGTTTTTCGGATTTGACGAGGATGACGAGTTCATGAGCTCTGACGACGACGAAGCCGACGGCAAGAAGAAGTGAACCTGGGAATTCCTCTTTTCAATCATTTCGGTCTTATCAACATTTATGTTTCTTTGCGCAAGGAGTTCAGGATTAGTAGAAAGAGCGCACGGAGTTTCCGGACAACCGGGTTATTGAAATGGTATCAAAGGTTAGGGAATTGTACAAATGATCATATGGGCGGACACTACAGATAGTTTTCACGGAATCGTATTCGGCGCCCGGGAGCGCCCTCAGCTTCGTCGCACGACACATCCTCCGATGCTCTATTTGAGGTCTTGATCCATCTCGAAGTAATACAGACGCCCGGCCCCTCTGCCTAATCTGCTCGCAACCTAGTCCAATGTCGCTTATGCGTCGAGCTTGACGGGGAAGTTGCCAGCCTCTGTTCTTTGTCAGCATGCGCATCTTCGGCATATGGGTGAAGTGCTGACCTCGCTGCTCGTCCCAGCGGGTGTACCAGCCGGAGGGGCACAGAGAGCGGTAGCCGAGCCAGAACTGCGTCCCATTAGTTTCGCAGTACAGTCAAAGGATGATCGTGGACAGTCCGGACCTGGCGGCAAGGGGCAAAGTCCTCGCCCTTGGCGTTGATGCACTTGTGGTAGTCGACGTAGTTCTGCCAGCAATGCTTGGTCTGGTTCATGTTCGGGAAGCGGGCATCGGTGCCTAGTTAAGCTCAAGTTAAAAATCACATTTTCCAACATTATCGACATCAATTGAGTCGACGCTGTCGCGGGTTTCGGCGGTTCGAGCGGAGGGTCATACCGGCTGGGAGTCGTTGGTTAGCCTCGGAGAAAGATCAGGCCATACTTCGGAGAGGGATATTTCTTTCGCGACGTACCAGTAACGAACTTGAAGGGCTTGGTAACGAGTTCCTGATCGTCGGCCATTTTGACTGCGTGCGAGTGCAATTGACGGGGAGTCGGTTCTGGTAATGGGATGGGGTGGGCAGCGGCGTGCGATTGGTGTTGTTGCTTGGAGAGCAATTGAATGGTCGTTTCTGCACCGAGAATCAGGTGGTGACGGGCAAGAACCGGGTGGATGCCTGAGACGGCCAATCAGGCCTCAGGCATTGAAAAGGTGGGCCGAGCTCCGTTCTAACATCAGACCAGACTGATGGAAGCGCAGTCCAACTTCCAAACACCCATTTCGAGATCCAATCCCGATCAACTACGCTCCCTCAGCTGTACCGAAAGGACCGAAAAATCTCCCCTCTTCAAAAAAATAAATACCGCCATAATGCGTCCTACTCTCGGCCTTCGTGCTTTCCGCCCGACTCTGCGCATGAGGTCCCCCGTTCCCGTACGTTGAAATTTCGCTGGTCCGGACGAGCGCAACCGCTAATTCTAATGTTCAACCCTTAGACCGAGGACCAGGTCGGTATGTTTACACCCGCTCCCAGCCATTGAGGCTTCCCACGATACCGGACATCGATCTCGACAAACAACCCTTGGAGGTGCGAATTCACTAGCAGCAGCTGACATGCGTGGTTCCAGGCCACACCGTCTCCCAGAGACTGCGCAAGCTTCGCCAGATCCCCCCCGAGCTGATCCCCCTCGGTACGTCACATGGCATCAAAGGTCATGTTGAATTGTCGTTGACGAAGAACAGGTGTCGTCGTCGGCTTCGCTCTGGTCGCTGCCACCTACTCGGTCGGACGCCACTTCATGACCGACAAGACCATCCGTCTCAAGCGCCAGGGCAAGTCTGCCGCCGCCAGCTCCGGCCACGGAGAGGAACACTAAGCGGAAGTCGGGAGAATTGCGGGAGACAGTTTGACCAATGGCGCCGATGTGTTATTAGGGTGGATCAGTTTGTATATGTCAACGACAGACAGATGAAAAGGCACCAGAGACGCTGCTGCTTTCAGTTTCCTTTCTCAATATGCCTTCCGCCCCAAGTGTTAGAGAAAAGCCATGTCCATTTGTACATCAGTAAACCGTGTGAACGCCGTCGCTATGCCCGTTCATTAAGCCTCAAAACACCCTTCGAACTAACTCGTCCTCACTCCGGCCTTGGTCCTGCGACATCAAGCCCCTCCAGACCTTGCATGGGGTCGTCTCCACGCACTTCAATCTCCGTAGTTCGCTGCTCTGCGAGCCCGTCCTCATCACCAACGGCATGTTCTGCCAGCCATCCCTCCTTAGGAAATAGTCAGTATGGAACACATGAACACTCGAACGCAGGAGTGGTTTACCTGTTCCCAAACAGCCTTCTTGCTTCCCAGACCCTCGTCGGCGCTCTTCGGTACCTTGGCGGCTGAAACTTTGATGACTCTTCCGAAGAATTCCGACTGATCCATGTTGTCAATGGCTTCTTTGGCATCCTCCGTGTCCTCATACTCGACATAGGCAAAGCCCCTGTGAGGGTCGGTTGAGTTCGGCTTGTCGTTCTTCGGCAGCGACACATCAGCGATTTCGCCAAAGGGGATGAAGGCATCGTGAACGTTGGAGGCTGTAACAATAGAAGCCAGCCCGCCCACGAACACGGTTGCCTTCCAGCGCGCAGCGTCCGTCATCTTGACGTTGATATGGTCGATCTGCTTTTGTCTAGGCGCACTCAGTGATATTATGTGAGAGGCGGCGCGGCTGGGTGACGCTCAAGAGTGAATCTTTCGGGTAGTGGGGTTTCTGTGCAAGAGCTCCTCGCAACTCTCCATTGGCTGGACCATGGAGAGCTGTCTGCAATGATGCACGTGACGCCACTTTTGGTGCCAAATGCCTGGTGCACGGTCCAGTATCCTGGTTGGGGGGCGTGGACTACAGTTCCCTTGGGCCTTGAGCTAGAACCTGGATGTGGGCTGCAATCTGGCATCATATTTCCCAAGTGCCAGCGTATACTGTACCAATCCGAACAACTAACAGCCACCTCTCCCAAAAAGCTTGGCTGCCTTTTCCCAACTACAAAGAATCTCGGCACTCCTCGCCAGATCTTTTGCTTTCGTCTTCCCTAACCAATGCCATTTTACAGCCGCATTTGAGTTGTCTCGACTGGCTGACCTTCTCTTACGCAACGTCTCTCCCCCTCCCTCTGAGTGCAGTCCTGGGGACTGAGTGATTCTCGCAATCATGGTTCGCCTTCGCGAGATCCCGAGGACGGCGGCTTTCGCCTGGTCCCCCGACCCGTCGAAGCCTCTTTTGATTACCGGCACCAGAGCTGGAGCTGTCGATGCTGACTTCTCTGATGAGACCAAGCTGGAGCTGTGGGACCTTAACCTTGACAACCAAGACCAAGGCCTCGAGCTGCAGCCCATAGCTAGCATCAGCACCGACTCGAGGTAGGCTTTGCTACTGCTGCCACGCAACCAATCCCAACGTCTCCGCTCACGACCTTAGATTCTATGACCTTGCGTGGGGACCGCCCGATTCCGATCACCCCCGGGGCATCATCGCCGGTGCTCTGGAAAATGGCTCTCTCGACCTCTGGGACGCAGAGAAGCTCATCGAGGGCGCCGAAGACGCCTTCATGTCCCGAACGACGAAGCACACCGGTGCAATCAAGTCTCTCCAGTTCAACCCCCTCCGACCCCAAATCCTCGCAACCGCCGGCGCAAAGGGAGAGCTCTTCATTTACGACGTCAACGATGTCGAGAACCCGTTCCGACTCGGTACCGCTGCCGCCCGCGCAGACGACTTGGAATGCGTCGCTTGGAACCGCAAGGTTGCGCACATTTTGGCCACCGGAGGATCTGGAGGCTTCGTCACTGTTTGGGACCTGAAGACCAAGAAGGCTTCTTTGACGTTGAACAACAACAGGAAACCCGTCAGCGCCATCGCCTGGGACCCTAATAACTCGACCAAGCTTCTGACCGCTACCTACGACGATACCGCTCCCGTCATCTTTCTTTGGGATCTCAGAAACTCCAATGCGCCGGAGAGGACGCTTCAGGGACACGAGCAGGGCATTCTGTCTCTGTCTTGGTGCCAGCAAGACAGCGATTTGCTGCTTTCGTGTGGCAAGGACAACAGAACCCTGGTCTGGAACCCTCAGACTGGTGACCGTTACGGAGAGTTCCCCGAGGTCACGAACTGGACCTTCCTTACTCGATTCAACCCTTCCAACCCTAACCTCTCCGCTACCGCTGGGTTTGATGGCAAAATCACCATCCAGACCCTCCAGAACACCAACCCCTCGAATGCTCAGGCCGCCACCACGAACAACCTGGACGGCGAGGACTTCTTTACCAGCGCCCAGACGCAGCCTCAGGGAGCATCTTTCTCGCTGAACAAGGCTCCCAAGTGGCTCGAACGCCCCATTGGAGCTTCCTTTGGGTTTGGTGGAAAGCTTGTCATATTCAAGCAGAATGCCCAGCAACGATCCACCAAGATCTCAATTTCGCAATTCTCTGTCGACTCGTCGATCGGTCCCGCAACGGAGAAGTTTGAAGAGGCCCTGCAATCTGGTGATATTGTCAGCCTGTGCGAGTCTCGCAAGGAACAGGCCGAGAGCGAGGAGGAGAAGGCGGATTGGCTTGTCATGGAGACGCTCACAGGCGAGAACCCGCGAAAGCGCATTATTGAGTACCTCGGATTTAAAGAGGAGGAAATCACCAACGGAGTCTCGAGCAAGGACGAGGATAAGACCGAAGAAACCTCGGATGAGAAGAAGGAGGCTACCAAGGAGGGAGAGAAGTCCGACAACATGTGGGGCGAGGGTGATGGCGATGGCGAAGAAGACTTCCTATCCAACCTTTCGGCGAACAAGGGGGCGAAGACAGACAGCCCCTTCCATTTGCTCGCAGATACCGACACCACAGTGGAGAAGTCCATCACCAAGGCATTGATGCTCGGAAACTTTGCTAAGGCCACTGAGATCTCCCTCAAGGAGGAGCGCTGGGCAGATGCTTTCCTCATTGCTAACTGCGGTGGACAAGAGCTGGTGGATAAGGTACAGACTGCCTACCTGGCCAGCAAGGATGGCGTTCCCAGCTACGTCCGACTTCTTGGCTCTGTCATTGCCAAGAACCTGTGGGATGTCGTCTACAACGCCGATCTTGAAAACTGGAAGGAGTCTATGGCCATCTTGTGCACATTCTCGGATCCCAAGGAGTTCCCCGATCTCTGTGAGGCTCTTGGAGATCGCATCCTCGAAAACGGCTCCCGTAAGGACGCCTCATTCTGCTACCTTGTTGGATCGAAACTCGAGAAGGTTGTCTCCATCTGGATCACGGAACTTGAGGAGGCGGAGCAAGCTGGCATGCAGGAGCCAAGTGACGATTCGACGTTCTCTGTTCATGCCCGTTCGCTGCAGCATTTCATTGAGAAGGTCACCATCTTCCGTCAAGTCACCAAGTTCCAGGACTCTGGCAAGGATCAGAGTGCCGACTGGAAGCTGTCAGCTTTGTACGAGAAGTACACAGAGTACGCCGACATTATTGCCGCTCATGGTCAACTGGCTGTTGCGCAGAAGTACCTGGATCTGCTGCCTAAGAACTACCCTGAGGCCGAGTTGGCGAGAAGTCGCTTGGGGCGTGCTACCCAGAAGGGTGCAGCCACTCAAGCTGCTGCCAAGACGACGACTTCTGGTCGTCGCCCTGGACAGCCTCCCGTAGTCAGCAACCCGCGGGCCACTCCAGCTTACCAGCCTACAATCCCCACTCCGACCCCTGGCGGCTCTAACCCGTACGCACCGGCAGCCCCGTCCCTCGTTACTCCGCCTGCGCCGGCAGCTCCATCAAACCCCTATGCCCCGGCCGCCCCGGCCATCAGTGGTTACGCACCTGCTGCCACTCAGTCTCCGTATGCTCCGGGACAAGGCTACCAACCTCCTGCCGCTCAGTCTTACCAAGCGCCTTCGGGCTATGGGCCCCCCCCAGCAACTTTGGTACCGCGCCACCACCTCCCCGCAACTCTACACCCACGTCGACCTTCCGCCCCAAGGAGAGTTGGAATGACGTTCCATTGGTTGCCAAGGCACCCCCTCCTAGGAAGACTACCCCGAGCGTTGCTACTATCACCTCGCCCTTCCCTAACCAGGGCAACCAGCCGGGTCCTCCTCAGAGCCCTTACGGACGCACTGGCTCGACGCCTCCCCCACCTCCTCCCAAGGGTCCGGCACCGCCTCGTGTCACGTCTCCTCTGGCTGGTCCTCCTCAGACCTTCCAAGGGCCGCCGAGACCAACATCGGCTGCCTCTAACGCATATGCTCCTCCGCCGCCCCAGCCCGGAGCAGTTCCCTCTATGGCGCCGCCTTCCATGCCTCGCACTGCGTCGCCATACAACCCTTCCCCGTCAGGCGCTCCGCCCTCTAACCGCTACGCACCTGCTCCTTCGGCACAGCCGCAGACCAGCCAGCCCCCTATGGGTTCTTCTATGCCGCCTCTTGGAAGCCAGCCGCCGCCAAGGAACCCCTATGCGCCGCCACCCCAGGCGGGTACACCGCAGAGTCAGTATGCGCCCTCGCCGTATGGAGCTCCACCCGCCGGTGCACCCCCGCCGCAACCTCCAGACCCCCTACTGGACCTCCTCCCTCAAGCGGGCCCCCGCCTGCCGGCAGAGCTCAGCCTACGCCCCCTCCCCCGAAGGCGGCAGCCGCTCCGCCCAAGCCCAAGCATCCCGCTGGCGACAGGTCGCACATTCCGGCTCATGCTCAGCGACTGGTCGATGTCCTCAGCTCGGACATGCAGCGTGTAGCTTCCCGGGCACCTTCTTCCTTTGCCGCTCAGGTCAAGGACACTCAGAAGCGCCTTAACCTGCTGTTCGACCACCTGAACAACGAGGAGCTAGTCAAGCCCGACACGATCGACCAACTTTGTGCACTGGGTGAGGCCATTGAGCAGAAGAACTACGAGGTGGCCCACAAGATCCAGGTTGAGATCCAGCGGGACAAGACAGACGAGTGCGGCAACTGGATGGTAAGTTCGCATTTCCAGCAGTCTACTTGATCAATTTTACTAACGCTTATCAGGTTGGTGTAAAGCGGTTGATCAGCATGAGCAAGGCCACTCCATGAGCGCTTTTTAGAAGGATGGGAGGCGGATTGTTGTCGAATATGAGCAGTTGATGATAGCCAGCCAGTTGCGCTTTTGACGTATACACTAGAGCTTAAAATGAATGTGGATTGCTTGAGAACTTGCTTTTAAGACCGTAATACATTGAGGTTTACACCAGAACAGCACTCAAGAGAGGTATGCATGATTCGAATGCTACCACGAAACTTGTGTTTCCTGTTAAAAGATGTAAAATCAGCAATGATCAATATGAATTATGAAGTGTTGCATTGGCTTGTCAACTGATACTCATGACTTCAGGGTGTGAGAGCTTAAACAATGGCATGTCCAAGCGAATGGGGGGTGGCTAAACTCTAGAGCTGGTCGATTCACCGATAAGATAAGCACGCGGGCTAAAGCCAACATCATCCACAAAACGTCACTCCTTGCCAACCTGTCTCCCCACCAGCAGTCAACCACCACACAAAATGACGGAAGCATCACCAGAGGATGCGGCTGCTCAGCGCGCGGCAGAGCAAGTTCGACTCCGCAAGGCGAAGCGAGAGGCAAAGATTCGCGCTGGCGGCGCGTCCAGATTGAACAAAATCACTGGTCTAGGTGGAGGATTCCAGCGTGGTACGACCCAACCCTGCCTTGACAACTGAGCCTGCGCGGTCACGTTTACCGTATCACCCATGGGTTGAAAGATTCAGATGACTGATTTTATGATCCAGATGATCCCGCTCCGACACCCCCGTCGACCACATCATCACCAGCCCCGTCAGCTACATCGGGACTTCCCAAGCCCAACTCGAGCCCCGAGCACGCAGACCCTGAGGAGATCGACATCTCCCAGCACTACTACGAGCCAGCCGCGACTCCCCGCCCCTCTGCCACAGGCCCTCCCCTCGACCCCAATGCCATGACCGAGGATCAGCTTCGCCAGATGATGCTCGGCTTCGACAGATCCGGCCCGGCGGCGCAGGTGGGACCCCGCCCATGAACCCTTTTGCGGGTCCAGGCGGCATGGGGGCGGGTGGCATGCCCGGCGGCGAGGACGACCCCCTGATGAAGATGCTCTCGCAGATGATGGCCGGTGGTGGCGGTCCTGGTGGAATGCCCGGGTTCCCCGGCGCTGGCGGTGCGCAGGGTGGCTTCCCTGCTGGATTCCCTGGAATACCCGGTATGCCTGGCATGCCCGGCATGCAGACGCCTGAGCAGGCCAAGGCTTCGTCCTCCGCTTATCTCTGGCGTATCCTCCACGCCGTCTTCGCCATTTCCCTGGGTCTGTATATCGCCCTGACGACGACCTTTTCCGGCAGCAAGCTCGAGCGAGAGCGCACGGCGCTGGCGTTCAGCTACCCTGTTGGCAGCGACGAGGCGGTCACGGATGTCAACAGCATGGAGAAGGGCCGCGAGGTCTTTTTCTGGATATTCGCAACGACCGAGGCCATTCTGCTCACCACGCGGTTCTTCATTGAGCGTGGACGCGCGCCGCCCGGAGGCATGTTGTGGACTGTTGTGGGGTTCTTGCCTGGTAGCATCAAGACCTATGCCGAGACGGTGTTGCGTTACGGACAGATTTTTGCCACAGTCAGGAGCGATATCCTCGTCTGCGTTTTCGTCTTGGGTGTTGCCTCGTGGGTGCGCGGTTGATGGGAATCGTTTAGAGTGGGTGGCCTTTGCTGCGTAGGACTGAGGCATCGTGATAGGGGGTTGTAGCATATAACCTTAACCCACCCGGTTTTTCCCTGTTACTCTTGCTAAGTGCGTACAATCTCTCCCGAGTAGACAAGTGTCGCATAGGGTAATGGAACTTGGAACAGCAACCCAGTTTCCATCCCACATTGTACATGTTTTGAAGCCTACAATTGCTTCGATACACAGCCATCGCATCGGTAGAACCTTGCCTCGCCCACTGCTCCAGACATCCGAAGCTGACACGACTTCAGCTACGTAACCAACTTAAGAGGCTGCACTGGTGTGTTTAGCAAGGTTTTTGAAGAGGACTCTGATGACACGTACTGGTCATATATCAGCGTGCTGTCAACGTCTTTTTCTTGGCGACTTATGTATGTGCTTTCGAAGGTGAGCGGACTTGTTACTCATTGTCTATTCCATAGAAGTTTCTATCAAGTCATTCGCCTTAGAAACATTTGCTGAACCCTCAAGGATTCCTTTGGGGCTGGGTGTTCAAACCCTCCTTAATTGAGAGTGTTGAGAGGCAATGAATTGATAACGAATAAGAAAATCTATATATTGACAAAATTTGTCCCATGCAGATGATACTTAGATGTTTCTTTGTTGAGCAGGCAGACCACAGCGATGACAGTCTATCACAGCGAAAGTCGGTTACTGAAACTGACTTACTCCTGTAAATGGCATTCGATGACAGTAATAGCACCCGACATTTGCAGTGACAGTTAGCCAATAGTTGATCGTTGATCAATTATCAATTACAACGACCTCCAGTGGAACGCTAGTTTTTGCAGCAATCGTCATCTAGGGTAGTAAACCAATTGCACCACTAAGTCACGTCTTGTGCGTGCGTATGCCAGGCCAGTGTCGGAGATATTTATACCTGTGCTGCTGACTATATTAGTGTTACCAACAAAAAGACACAGATCTTGGTTTATTATGGAGTTCCGCCCGGATATTAAAACTAATGATCAGAGTGTAGCTCTTTGCGAATCAAGACTAAGCCGAAAATGTCCTCCTTAACAACACAAAGTATGCCTCTTTCGATGATACCTAAGAGGCGAAATTAATGAGGCATGTAGTCTGTGAAAAGAGCCACTGATCCGCAGGGACGGAGACAATATGGTGCGCCGGCACGCAGAAATAAGGAGAGAGCTGATCTAGTCTCCTGTTAAATCAAATAACGAGGCGCGTTGGATGCATGCTATGAATTAAGCTATCTCTCAATGTCGTGGAATCAAAATAATGATAGAGTTTGCCTCAAGATAATTATTGTATGAGTGGTTTGGCTGTCATCTGAGCTTTCTCCGAAACCTTTGGGATGCGTGTCATGGTATGCAGATAACCTCCAGCGCCACCGGAGGCCGCAGCCAGATATGACGCCTATAAAAGCCAGCATTCTGCCGCCTCTCAAGCAAACAAACGCAGAGTATCGTCCTACTCCCCATTACTTCTTCTCGCTTATTGCTCATCCTAATCCATACAATGCCCACACAGACAAAGAATAGCAACACTGTTAAGGATCACGCCCGGCTCAATAGTAAAATGGCTGCTTCCAGCTCCTACACTCAACAACATACACTAAACCAAGACCAGGCCGATGAAAACACTTTGTTCTTCTATATGCCCGATGCTGAAGGGGGGGAGTTTTGTCAATGGTACAAATCCAATTTCACCGTCACTAAGGCGGATATCTCTGACCTAATTGGTCATGTTGTCGACGAGGCAGACACGCAAGGAACCATCACCTTCAACTGCACCGAGCAATTCATGATGTACTGTAAGGCTGTAAGGTTCCATGATACTGCAAGGCAAGCTCGTATACTTGCAACAAGCCGCCTCAAGGAACAAAAGGCACTTGGAAGGGCAACAGCCGGCTTTACTCACGAAAGCTGGGACCAAATCAAGAGCAACGTTGTCGTGGCTGGCAATATCGCAAAGTTTGGACAAGAACCCCACTTAGTACGGAAGCTTTTGTCTACTGGAGATCGTGTGCTGTGTGAAGCCGCCTCCCAAGACCGCGTATGGGGTATCGGATACACAGCCAAGCATGCCATGTCTCAACGGCGACATTGGGGAGAGAACCGTCTAGGCAAGGCACTCATGGCAACAATAGACCATCTTAAAGCTGAAGAGGCTCGAAAAAGATAACCTTGGGACCTGTGGAAGGACTAAAGACTAAGTCAGCTCTGTCTACCCACATCTATCGGGCTACGATGGGAATGGTATCACAGCTTGTGTCAGGAGTAGATCAGGAGAAATGCATGGGTAACTCAAACACATGCGCACACGTGCGCAAGAACTCATTTGGAACTGTCGTCAGGGCCGCATCTTTCCCCGGAACTTGCGCAAGTACAAGCTGGCGACACTTGTTATTGGCACTATTGCTACTCGTCCGAATGCTGTGTACCAGCGTATGGATTCGCCCAACAGCGTCACTCAGGACTGTGTGCTCAGGGTCGATACCCTCAACCCCAACCCTGCGCCTGCGGTGCAGTATGTCTTCAGTGCTGAAGAGGGAGAGTACTTCCTCAGACAGCATGTCGGCGACAACATCCGCGTCACGCCATTTGTCAGATCTGATCTCGAGGACTGGATCAATGAGTTCCGCAGCATGCTTGGCTGAGGGTCTTCTTGGATTCCTCATCGATTCCCAGCATCAGCAGGAGCAGCCGCTCTAGCCGGTAAAACGACAACTGGAAAATGCAACTACACTGGCTGACAGGTACTACGGACGTTAGGAGAATGATGTTGGATGGGGAGTTTCAGGACGGAATTTGTCTCTTGTAGTCAGCATGGGGCGATTTGGGCAAAATGGGTTGGAAAAGACAGAGTGTTTACAAAGATTGGAGGTCAGATTCATCGAGACATTCCTGCTGAAGTGACAAAATATCATTGTAGCAAGTCATATTCAAAACCCAGAGTAACTTTTGCATCAATACCGCCCTGTCTTTTGATACCATAGGTACTTGAAGGTCGCGATCAGCCATCTAGGCGCCCTCTAGTCATAATATGCGACTGACAATATTAGCCACGAGAACCATAATCTATCGGTAAACGACTCTGGTTAATACCACTTCATCCCTCCACCCGTGTTCTGCGCTCTCCCGCATCCTACAACAGTCATGTAATAATCGACGGGGCCACCCACAGTAGTGACACTTCCAAAAGCTAGCGCCAACATTGGAATTACCAGCACGATTCGCTAGTTCCTGGCTTTGAAATGGCGGACGACACAGCATTAAGTTCCTCTTCACGGCAATCTTCGTCACATGCGTGACTGATGATGACGGAGGTGACTTCTCCGATAACCTGTTCTCAGACCTAGTGCCGTATGTCTTGTCTTTCATAGTGTTGCAACACGTATACTGGTGGCATACTGCTGATACCTAGGCTACTAGCTCTTTTTGGAGAGCGTTTCACCATGCAACTCATGAGCCAGTCGATGGGATGGGCTGACAATATCATACTGGCAATGGCTTCTCTGGGAATAGTCACAACTATTCGCCCTTCATAGCTCAAAGCCATCATAGGAAGAGCTCGGGAGAACCTTGCTGTGGCAGAGCAGGAGCTGATGTCTACTTCAACGGAAGTCTGTGAGCTCTGGAATGATAAGAAAGTGGTGAGATGTATGGGATCAGCTGCGATTGCAAATTTTATATGTTTATTGCCTGCAAATATGCCCAAGGGAGAATAGAACCCTGAATTAGTGGCAACCACGCTAGAAAGCGCGTTGTGTAAAGGTTTTGAGGAGTTTGGGTCCGACAATAAGTCACTGCATCGGACTTTTGAACCCAATCTTACCTCTCCATCAGAACGAAACAGTTGGACCGGTAACCATCGCAACTATGACGGAGGGAAACAGCTTCCCTCGTCTCCGACACCTGAAATCATCATCGTCCGGAACATGTCTCCCAATGCACCCAACATCTCGATAAACTCTCACAGTCAGTACGGGAGAGCAGAGCTATGGGTGGTAGCTGCCATCGGGGCCATCCTCCACCTGGATGGTATTGCCTACTCAGGATTCGCCACCCAACACTCGACCTGCAGGGCAGTTTGGTGGTCGCCTTTGCAGTAAGCCAGCCAGCCAGCCACTTAACCGATGACATCAAACGACCTTGATAGCTCGTTGCTTCATCTGGAGAGCCCTCTGAAGAAGCGCTTTGGCCTAGCGGAAACGCCGAGACGGTGTTGAATCGGATTTGGCAGGAAACCAAACGCCCATGTTATCCAGGTATTTCGCCGCAAGCCGGCCTCGAACTTTGTGGCGAGTACATTGATGGGCAGCACAAAGTTGTTTCCGGTAACTGCCAGCACACCATTCACCTTCTCTCCCCACGATACCGAGATTCTTCTTCTCTGCCTTGGAAAACAATCACATTTCCATGATCCCATGTGCGGATTTACAGCCAGACAACATCTGGTCTCGCTCTGGAGGCGTGCTGCGAGGCTTATCGCCTGACAAACGTCGACCCTCAGGTTGCCGCCAGAGCTCATGCTCCTCATCATTGGCTACCTATCACCCGAAGCGGTCTTGTCGCTTGCCCTCACCTGTTGGTCGTTCTATGTCTCCTATTTTCCCGAGTCGCCGATTCTCGATGCCCGATCAAAAGACGCACTTCTCACACTGCTTGAAAGGGATGTTTCACACCTTCTGTATTGTCCTGAGTGTACTATCCTCCACCCATGGCGGCGATACAGAAGATTTATGCTGTTTTTAGGCGCCAGAATTAGTCTTTTATGTAGACATAACGGCTTTTACTTACCTTTATTCTGTAGAGCAATGCCGCATCACTATGCCTAGTTAATATTAAACTGTTATCTGTATGGGAAGGCGCATGGTTTCCTAGTAGGAATACTTGATATGGATAGAGGACCGTCCTTCGGAGGAAGCGTAGACTGGGGGTCGACTTGGCGGGTGCGCATTATTAACAACGAGCTGTTCCTTTTCATGCACAAGACAGTAAACCATCCGGAAGGCGACATATCTAAGCTTGAAGGGTGGCTTAACAACTATGAAGGACGTATATGTAAACACCGGACCGTGTGGGACCTCCGTCGTCCTACCTCCTAGTCAAACTTGGCTCTTGATGCCGGGCCGGAGCTCCATAACGGATGGCCCCCTTCCATCTCGCTGCCCACATTCCTTGCCGGTATACAACGCAATACAATCCTGTCGTGCCCGCTATGCCCAACAGACGCGGAAATCAAGATCAAGTGGTATGGTGCACGCAAACAACGGTCTGTTGGAATAAAGATTTGGAGGCAATATGGAACATGCCGATCTCCCTCGGATCCAAGATTGGAAAGCTTGACAGACCCGGATTCTCCTGGGCCTCCATGGAAACGTCGGGCGGAGGAGAATCCACCGGGGGTAATCAGGTACAGATGGAGCGAAGCCGACAAGGAGCCGGTTACCATGGTTAGGTGCTTTCTTGATTCTACGAGCGACCGATATCCATTTCGTCGATCTTAAATAGGTAGGTATCTAGCAGGAAGGACACAACACACGCTCTTCGAGACTCGCCAGACGGCGGATTTTTCGCTCCTTCACAACCCGTCATACCTTTCGCCTCTCAACAGCTCTACCCCAGGCCCATCGACGACTCTGCTCAGGCACACTGCCCATTACAGCCAGAAAGCCAGCCAGCCAGCCAGCTAGCCCAGAGTACTTGTCAACATAAGGATGTATAGATCACGATGATACGGATGGGTGAATCACAATGATGCCGATGGATAGATGATAGGGACACGAGTACAGGTACAGATGATTTGAACAGGGATGCTAAGGTCTAGCAAAAAGAGCTATCACTATGATGGCGGGATGCTAGAAACTGGTTTCTCAGAGATAAATGAAGTGTTGGCGGCTGTTGACGTTGACGTCAAAGTTCACAATCACACTTACACTCTCAGAAACGTGTCACATGTGAGACTCGAGATTAGCGCCACCAAACAGCCTACAAACCAAAGTGACCAACCAAGTATTTTCAGAAATTACGCAAAAAAGAGAGAAAACAAGTCCCTTGATACACAGAGTAAACCAAGCCTCAAGGTCTTCCGATGCCATTTCACCATCAAAGCCACATCGCATCACTAAGGTGGTCGTCAAACATGAACCAACAAGGCCCGCGAAACCCGGGTTACCGTATCGGGAAACCCAAGGGAAAAAACAAGGCCAGATAAGAGACAAGACATTTACAGAACAAAGACGCGCGCAAACTTGGGCAGTTTGCTCTATTTGCAAAATCCAACACATCTCCCCCGCGAGAAGAGGAGGACTCGAGTGCCCGAATAATCCTCGTCCCCCTGTCCAGCCCCCATCCCTCCTTCTCCTCCTCCTCCGTCCGTTCCCCCCCTCCGCTCGCCTCCCTCCAAAAAGACCACCCCTCCCCGAGTCGCCGATCCGCCACCGGCGCTTCCGCCCCTACGACTCCCGCGCCGTCTGTCTCCGTTTTCCCACCCTGGGCAGAACAGACACCGCACTAGACTAGCACGACATCACACGACTAGGTAGCATCCAACTCGCCCAAATCCGCCCCCCTTCACCGACGGGCACTAGCCGGTAGTCCACTCCAGAACGCCCATCCAGATACGTTCGTTACTAGCAATAAGCCTGGCCAGCCAGCCAGCCATCCCACCCACCAACGCTTCCCTTATCCCGAGGAACTCGTTCTCCCCCAGCCCAGACCGACAAAACAGGTGTCCGTTTCTAACCCATCACGTCCACCGCCGCCGCTTAGTCCTCCCCCCCGTTCACGCACATCACGCCTCCGCCCTCGCCTTGCCTTATCTCTGCCAGCCAGAAGCCATTAAAACATCCTCCCGGCCCCGTCACCGCCAGCCGCTCAGATCTCCTCTTCCCCTCCCCTCCTCACCCCACGATTCCTCCCGATCAGAATCTCGCCCGCGCCCGGCAGGCAGGCGTTTCTGGAGGGGGGGGAGGGAGGACTACCGGCTTACCCCACCTTCGCATCGCTCTTCCCCCATCGTAGGCACCCACCGCACATGACAAGATACGGGAGAGACAACGACATGTCGCTGAACTAAGGCATATCTGTAGAATGGGGTGAGGGATTGCATCGCACTAGCACACAAACATGCAGCATTCATCTCCGGGATAATATCGCGAGATGGATGCAGGCACGGGCCGAGTGAAACAATGTGCCATCGCCAAGCGCTGTCGTCTGGGTCGAAGGTGGGAAAGCTGTACCCAGTACGCATACGCGATCGACGTCGAAAAAAAAAGAGGAACCTGCGGGGTGCATCCGCACCACGCGAGCTGAGCTTTCACATGTCAAAAATGTAGCTGTTGACTCCGAGGGACCCAAGTCTGGGCGCAACCAACCCTTGCAGATTCTTGTGTGTGTCAGTCGTTAGGGAGCAAAAAGTTGAGATGGCAGATCAGCTCAACAGTTGAACAGGATCAGAAAAGGAGCAGAGAGATTCTCCGTCACGAATGGCTGAGCCGTCACCAGGAGAGATTCAAGATGAAATAAATGGTTTTTTGAATTAGCAAACAAATTTGAAAATAGCAGTGTGAAGGGTATCAACTACAAGAGCCTTCCCTGATAAAAAGTGGTGAATATGGCTAAATCTGGTCCCGCATGTAAATCATCGTCGCCTCCCGTACACGGCCAGCAGCAAGGCCGGGATACTCATAAACCACTCTCATAATCATCCAACTCGCTGCCCTTCCGGAGAACCCCGACTTCCTTGGTGTTTATTCCTCCCATCTCATCATGTGGTGACTGCGCTCCGACGATGCAACACCATACTCGGTTTTCCGACTTCATCTCGGAGCGCAGTGAAGTGCACCAATCGTGCGTCCGTACATAGCTGTGTTTCCAGGGTATAGTGGCGTTCCTCACCGGATCGCGAGAGCGCTCTCTTGAGCCCTGAGCTCATCGTTGCCCTTCATTATATCTTCAAGCCACTCGGCTGCCATGGTCAGCATGGTACTCTTGCTGAAGCCTCCTCCCTTCAAGCCTGGCACGAGTTCGCAGAGGTCGTCAAAGCCTTCCTTGATCAAAGTTCGGCGCTTTTGCTCGCTCTTGATGTGGTTCTCTCGCTTCTGGGCTTCCGTGAGATTCTCACGGGGCGGCTTAGCTCCCGTGCCCGATTTGCGTCTTCGGCTAGCTGTGCCGTTTTCTGCTGGCGGCGTGGCGGAAGCCGGCTCGATCTTGGTTTTACGCTTCCTTGCCGCCTTTGCTGCCGTGCCATTTTCCTCATCTTCCTCGTCAACGTCCTCTTTTGTGTTCTTGCTCTTCCTCCTCTTTCGTGGCGGGGCATCTACGTCCTCTTCCTTTTTCAGGATCTCCGATGACTTTCGACTGTGTCCCTTCCCTGAGGCGTGCTCGCCATTGGGGCTCGGTGGGCGAGTGTTGTCTGTGCTTTGACTTGGCTCGAGGCACTCCATATATCTCAACTGGCCCTTTGATAAGGCGTCGTACGTTTCTTTGGGGTCTGGTACAAAGCTGTTGGAGCGGTTGAACCGGGCATCTGAACCCCACTGAACATCGATGTTAGGAACTTGACTTGTTCGCTGGGTGGAAACCCTTTCCCCAGGAGCGGTGCTGAAGAACATGTCCGCAAAGGTGCTCTCGTTGTCGTCAACAAGGCTGGCCTGAGCTATGCTGCCGCGCTCAGCGCGCTTGAAATCCTCCATGGGCTGGTGTCTGAGGTGACCGACTGGGGGTCCGAGAGAGTGTGGCACGTCTCTGCTGCTACCGCCAAACATCGGTCCAGACCCGCTTGCGTTCGATCTCGACGACGACCCGTTGTGTAGTAACGTGTTGGCAGCTTGGAGGACGTCGGCCGAGGCATGCTGTTCGAGCGATGGGTGTGACTGCTGTTGATGTTGCTGGTGGTGTTGTTGTTGCTGGTGGTGGTGTTGGTGCTGCTGCTGCTGCTGTGGCGGAGGAGGAGGCGGTGGCATCAGGTTCGAACCCATGGACATCATGTCCGAGAAATCGGCATGGGGCATGGTATGCCCGGGAGATGCGAGTGGCGGTGGTGCTGGCGACTGGCCAAAAGACGTGGCTGTCCCCATGAACTGGGGTGGTAAATCCAGCCACGCATCGCTAAAGTTGAGACCTTCGCCGAATGAAGGTATGTTATAGTGGTCCGCCGTCATGTCCTCGAAGAAGGAGCTAAGTAGTTTTGTGTCATTGTCGGAGAGGAGAGGAGCGCCAGGCGCAGGTTCGGGAGGGTCGAGGAAGAAGTCTTGAGAGGGATCAACGGCATCTAAAAGGAGGTTGTCAGTGAACGTTTGACTTTGGCGGGAGGCGGAGAAGAGGGTTGCTCACAGCCGAAGGGCAAATTCGGGTCTGACGGCTGCGTCGAACCCATCCTGGGACGTTGTATGGCGAGCATGGGTGCGTCTTGTGGCAAATGGACGGTAGTCGTCGAATGTGCTGCTTCTGGTAGGGAGAGACGTTGAGCGTTGAGGCTTCGAAGTATGAGGAAAGAATGAATGCGAGCGACTCGGAGGTGGACATGCGCATTCCTCTGGGAAAGTCGTTATACTAAAGGGACATGGCAGCAGGATCGGAACGTGTCTATCAAAAACGCAGCGCGTCTATGCGAACGAGAGGCTCGGCTGGCTGGGCTGGGAGAGGACGTGCGGAGGAGCGGCGGTCGTCAAGTATCGGTCAGTCGTTTGTCTGTCTTGTGATTTGGCGGGGTGGCGGACTGTTGTTGTGGCAGCAGATACCGCAATGGTGTTGCTTGATAGGAGTGCAAAGAGGTTGGTGGGTGGTTTCTGCCGTCTTTAGGTGCGCGCCGTGGCAGAGCAGCAAGAGACCAAAGTGGACGCCTGGCGGGTTACGTCGAGGCGGAGGTGGGGTGGTGGCTGCGCTTAGGCACCGCACCGGGCTTCTGGATCCCTAGTGCTAGGAGGAGGTTCTCTTCGTTCTCGTCTCGTCTGAAGAGCGGGGGTTAGGAAGCTTGAGTGAGGAGGGGGGGGGAGGATGGACGGCGACGACAGGGCGTAGTAGGAAGGTCGGACGGGTGCCGTGTAAGGTAAGGCGAGGTAAGGTACAACGAGGTAAGGTCGGGGAGGTAAAGTGAGGTGGGCGGAGCTGGGGGCAGCGAGCGGGATGGGATGTAGCAGAGCAGCAGAGGTGCTATGCCCGGATGGAGAGGGCTGTTCGTGGTGGTGGAAATGGGTTCCAAGGTCTACCCCGTACGGCGGACGTAAATGCGGACCATGCAGTGCTAAGGATACAGAAAAAGACCCTTGAGACTGGTTGAACCGCAGAGGCAGAGAGTCCCAGTAGGTGGGCAGAGGGAGGCTATGGCGACTCTGGCGAGAGCGAGCTTAGAGACGACAAGGGTCCGTGTATATGTCGAAGATGGGATGCGAGCCCGAGGCCCATTTGAAGCATTGGATTGCTTTGCGGACAGAGTCTCTGACGGCCGTAGGCGCGCTGCTGCGTGATGTTGAGGTCCCTCACCCGTGTACTTGCATATCCAGTCTCAGCAACCGCAGTCGGTACGGACAGCTGGGACAGCGACGACAGGCAAGTGTGAGACGGACCCCCAATCAGCTTCAAAGTTGGTGGCCAGTCGCAAGCTAAGGTAAGTAAGACAGGTTGTAGAAAGGACGTGACGGAAGACGGACGGGGTCACGGCGGGCGGCGACGGCAGAGAACGGAGGGCACAAAGACCCCGTGATTTTTTTTTTAGGCTGGGTGGGAAAATGCCGAGCCCAAAATCAAGGACGACGACTCGGGAAGAATGGAATGGTCTGGGGCACCAAGCAGCCAAACGGCCACCCCTGTTCTTGACCAGGGGTGGTTGAGAGCCAGTCCTGCCAGAAGAGGCAGAGACTGAGAAAGAGGGAGGGCAGGTCGCACGCAGGTCGCAGGGCAGGGCAGGTTGCAGCGCCGAGAGGGAGGGGTGGGGTTTGGCTGGGATGGCGGCACGGTCACCTGCATCGCCCTGCAAGCCTCCGCAGTTAGTACCAGCAGCAGACACAGCAGGCAGAGGCAGGCCAGAGACTTGACGCTGACGAGCCGGCCTACCTAATCTTCCTCGCTGCTACCTCACAAAAAGGCAATTGGCCCAACTCGCAAGTGCGTGCCAAGTGAGGTGCCGGTAGCTCTTGTTTCCTGCCCTTGCCTGTCCCAACATCTGAACAGGGACGGAAGGCCAATTGGCGAAAGGCCAGGATCGGCGTCGGTGCCATACAGACATGAGACAAGCCGAGCAATATCGTTGAAGCGGTGCCCCCCGCTGTTGCTGACAAAGACGAGTTGCGCGGACTCCGAGTCGCACAAAGGGCGGTCAGCAGACAGGCCGGGAGGCGAGAAGCGCGGCTGATTGGTTCGTCGAGCCCACCTCAACCATCTTATTAGCCGGTGCCTGGCGGCTTCGCTGCATGGGGGTTGACGCATCTCTCGGGCCTACTGAGCTTAGTATCCTAACGGGGCATCACATGCCAGCTCGGGGCTTCCCTCGATTTTTTGGTCTCCCCATTCTCAATCGCTCCTTGTCCTCCTCCTGCTGTCTTACGCTGCCAGTCATGTCCCAATTCCCCCTCCGCCCCAGGAATTCTTTGACACTATCCCGTTCTGGGCTTGGCCTCCAAAGTACATTGTAACTGGGTGCTCCGCACAGTCGCACTTCCTAAGCTTTCCCCAGCACTTTTCGTACCACATCTCAGCTTGGGGTAGCTTTCGAGGATCCGTTCCGCACCCGATCGATATGCGCTGGGCTGCTTGCTTGACTTTGCTCTCATCCTTGTCTTTCACGTTATTCCCGCTCATTCTGCTCATCCTTCGGCCAAACCCGTTGCTTCCAGCTGTCGCCTGGAACTGCATCTGTAACACCGCTTCGTTCCGTTCTGAGCCTCCCGGTCTCTCAATCGAATATTGCCGTTTCGACAGCTGCAGTGCTGCCTCAATCTTTGGGGATCTTGACGGCCTGGCGGCACCAGTTCGTACGTCTTCACTAGCGTCGACGGGTCCCACTAAGGCACCTTACTGACACTGAATGTCCAACCTCCGCAAGGAAGAGAGGGACAGCGGCCAGATTTTCGGAAACATCGAGACAAAGAAACAAACACAGCCTAGCCGATACGAAACGGCTGGTTATCCCGGCCTGTCTGTGTTGACCGCCCACTCAAACAGTCGACACTCAACTCTGGTCTTTTCTTTTTCGTCCTTCGAGAGAGCGGAACCAGCGTCGACGTCCTCGTTGAAGGCCGGCCGGTCGCACTGATCAATTCTTAAGCATTCCTTGTACCGCACAGGGACTCGTGCAATGCATCCCATGTTTGGCACCGCCTGCCACCTGCCGAGCCAACGCAAAACGTAATTCCCTTCAGATTTCATTCAGCCAGGCGGCCTTCAGACTCTGATGAACACCTCTCTTTATTTGACACTGTCGCACTCGCATGGATTGCCGCGCCTTGGCTCCTTCTGGCTTGGCTGCGGGTCCAGTTTGTCGCTGTCGTTTTCCTTGGTCTACAGCGTGAATCTCAGCGTGACAAGCCAGCTGATCGAAACGTTATTCTGCGGCCAATCATATCCGACGGCCGTCTGTAATCTGCGCTTCGGTCACGTTTGCCAGATTCGACCTCTTTTTCGTTGTGTGCCGAAGGATCCAATCGTCACATTGTCTTCGGGCTCAGTCGACCGTCCCCCCCCCCTGGTCCCCCTCCTGTACTTCCTGCGCAACCTACGTCGCTCATCTCTCCCCAGGCCCTCCCCCCATCACATCGTGGGACGCACTATTTCCCCACAATTCCCGTCCGCTTCATCTCCTACCACGCAAGGTACGGACACATCATACTTTCGACGCTGGAGCACAGTTCCGGCTCTGCCCTAGGCGCTGGACAGTTGGCGGCAGAGGACCGGTTGTTGTGAGACTCGACGAACCAATTGAGCAATCTGGTTACCTTACCCCGGTAAGACGCGTTCACTACTCCTCGAAGCTCCTTTGCGCGTTGTCTTTGTTGTTCTATAATGCCTTACTCCGTACATGCCCAGACTCTCTCCTGCAGAACGTGCCTGGTTGCATCCGAGGTAGCTGGTCGACTTCGAGTGAAGACAAGCCCGGGCAATGCCGAACCTTGTTGGTAACCAAATACCTGTCATCATCCGGCTGGCCGCGCAACTTGACATGATTCATACCTTCTATGTGAAGCGGACTGGCTGTCCCGCTTGCCGGGCTTCTTCCCATTCATTACCTAAGGTAGCTCATGCACTACCGTGGTCCAACCGCCCGTTACGCCTCCCTGCCTTCACACTTCGCTGATCGAGCCCTTCGCCCAGAGCAACAACCCATGTCTTCAGCCACTTGAAATCCCTTCCGTTGAACTCAGTTTGATCAATCAGTCTACCATCGAACCTGGCGCCGTTGTACGGTTACATCATTACCATACCCCCGAGTGCACAGACACATCGCTTACTGGCTCCGATGCGCATCGCTGATTCTCTGCCCAGGAACCGTTCCGATTTCACCTACCGGCACTTGACGCCGAAACCTCATGGCTGCTGTTACACATCTTCCATCCGCAATGCTACCTCGGAGTCAGATGCAAATTCGCCGGAAAAGCCTGGTTGAGCTGCACGGAGTTCCGCCCATCTTACGGCCCCTCCTCCGGGCCTATCTGCTTGGCTATGCTTCCGCTGTCGCCCCAAGGATCCTTACACTGTTGATGCAATACATTACCAAGAAACGCCGCAGAGCCTCAACAGAAAATGGACAGTGCGTCGGGTTTGTGGCACAACTCAGGCGGATAGTCCTTGCCGGTCTAGACCCCCAGCGTTTTCCAACCTTTTGCGCCGTGATAGTTGGCGGCAGCACCTTGCTGGAGGTATGTCCGACCCCAGTGAACCGGAGTTGACGCCGGCTATATAATGGATGTGGGGGCCAGGCGCTGTCAACGCAGTAGCAACAGCAACGGCAACAACGAAGGAAACCTTTGAGCTTCAACTCCCTGTTGGCTCAAAATCTCCGAAGCCAATAGACTCAACCAAGTGGTTGTAATGTCTTGTGGAACAGCGTTGTCTTCCCACTAGCTGAAGGACGGTCGCGCCCCTTGCATACTGTTCTGCTGCTAGGCCGCCCGCTACCTCACTACAATAGCCTGGCGTTCCAACTGCGTTGCACCAGATAACTTGACCCGTATCTAATCACTAACACGTCCTCGCAGGAGCCTCTCCGGCGTTTTTTCGAGCTCAATGCGAAGGGCCTCGCCGAGGCAACGCGTATCAGGTTGGTGGGCCAGATACATCCGTTGCGATGCTGCTCAGGATCCATGGTTTACTGACACCAAAGCCAGACTTGCCAGATGGAGCGCCACATTCATTGCTGCGTGGTTTAGCCTGCAACTTCTGCAGTCCAAGAAGAGCTCAGCCTTCACAGAAAAAATCCCGGTCAAATCGGACATTCCTCCAGGGGCCGGGCTGAAGGAGATTCGATATGCCGGGCGAACTCTAGATTTGACCCTGTTCACACTGACGCGGGCACTTGATGTCGTCGTTGGAGAGATATGGGCCCGTAGACGCGCACGTCGTGTTGCTGAGGGGAGATGGACCAAGGTACGCACGCCAGTCCTCTATCTCGTATGCCGATTTGATTACTGACTTTCCACAGGCGGAGTGGATCATAGGCAGATTCACCGACCCGTGCCTCTTCGTCACCTCATGCGCCTTCATCATGTGGTCGTGGATCTACCATCCCTCGCGGCTCCCCAGCGCCTACAACAAGTGGATCAGCTCGGCTGCCAATGTCGATATGCGGCTCATCGAAGCTCTCCAGAAGCTGCGCGCCGGCGAGATGGCCTACGGCCGGAGCGGTCAGGCGGAGCTACTGCAAGGCATGTGCGAGAAGTACAAGTGGCCGGTGGAATGGGGAGACCCGTCAAAATCCATCCCAATCCCCTGCGAGATGGTCCACATGGGCTGCGGCCCCTCGTGCGAGCTCCACGCCATTAGTCGCTTCTATCGGTCGTGGAAGTGGTCCATGGCCATGTACCTACCCCTGAGCATGGCGCTCCTCCTCAGGGGGCCGATCAACAAGAAGAATGTATTGCGTGTGCTGCTCTCGGCGTCGCGCTCGGCGGCCTTTTTGGGGACGTACATCACGCTCTTCTACTACGGCGTCTGTCTCGCCCGGACGAGGATCGGGCCTCATCTCATCGGCAAGGACATGGCGGCGCGTCAGAAGATCGACACCGGCATCTGTGTTCGTACCGGATGCTGCCTGTGTGGCTGGAGTGTGCTCGTCGAGTCCGCCAGCCGTCGCAAGGACATGGCCCTCTTCGTCGCGCCGCGGGCCATGGCGACGTTGTTGCCTAGGCGGTACGGAATGGACAAGCAGTGGAGGGAGACGCTAGTGTTTGCCGCCAGCACGGCGGTCGTGTTTACCTGCATCCATGAGAACCAGGCTCGTGTGCGAGGCGTGTTAGGTGGTGTTTTGGGGATGGTCTTGCGTAATTAGGTAGACAAATACTGTCGACAAGGTGCGCGAATCAGCATCGTTGTGGGCTCGGGAGGCATTTGTGTTAGAACACTACGGGTAGAGGGGCTTGGAAATGGTATAGAGAACGAGATACATGGCCGGCTGTTGGTGCACTTTGTCTGTTGTGATATTTGGATCGGGCAGAGCAGTTGAGTAGAGTGTTCGAGTTTTCAAGGTTTAGAGAAACTAAAGGTCTGTGACAGTAGAGAAGAACGGGAAAATCTAGAAAACTGACATATCGCGCTTGTGCGGTTCTGGATGGCGGAGTTTTCCGGTTGACAAGTGTTCCACGAACGGCGGATACATCGTGATCAATGCCTAACCTTACATGCTCTCGCGTTGCGTTTTCCCGCAACACGACGAACTCGGAGAGAGGAACACTCCAAAGTGGGCCAGCAAGAGTAGTTGGATGACGTGGTTGTATGGGATATAGACTTGACGGCCGGCCGTTTGCGTAGCTCTATGCAACAAGACACTCTGTAATTGTGATGTCAAGGGGTGTGGCTGAACAGGCGCCTTTGACCTTCTGCCTGCTACCAAGGCCATAGAAGACGAGGGAGAAATTGCCCACTTCCTCCCCTACTCTTTCTAGAGTCTGCCAATGTTCTTCATGGATAAACGACGGCTTGAACAATTCTGACGGGATGGGAGAGGTTCGTGTCCGGCCGGGGCTTTCATCGCCTCCATCGTTTCCGGGCCGAGTGAATGCCAGCCTGATTTTGGCTTAACACCTCATGGACCACGACGAGCATCTGTTAATCCCCACCCAACGCACCGGCCGGCCTTGCTCAGGATGATACGATATGCCGAGCCTTTGCATATGCTCAGGACGCGCTGGGACGCAGTGCTGGTCAGCGAGTTGCGAGGTCAAGCCGTTCATGTTTAAGACTGGGAGCTGGTTTTGGCCTGGCTCCAGCCATTGAGCATTGCAGAGCTTTTCGATAATGCGATTGCTGGAGGGACGTCGTATGCGCTCAATGCCATGCAAGCCCCCGTCAGGAGAGCTATAATCACAGGACCAGAAACATTGAATCAACCAAACGATCACTCCCATCACTGGGAAACCCCGCCAGCCAACAACGTGCCGGTGCCCAAAGCCGATAGGATGCTGACACAACGGAGCCTGAGGAAGCCTGGCTGTATGATATACTTGGAATAGATCCCGTTACTTCACGGGTCATAAATAGCAGTGGATTTCCGTCGATAAGTTAGCACAAGCCAGTAAGGGTTTGAAGTCGTTCGTGAGCTTGCATCATGGCAGCGGACTTGAAAGATTTGACGGGCATCAAGTAACATACTTGGAGGCCTTGGCTGTGAGAATGTTCTGAAAGAGGATTGATTGATACCTCTGGGATTAAGTAGCCCATATTGACAAATCTAAATTGCATTGTAGTGAATGAAAGGTCCGTGATCGCTCTTATAGGTCTAGGCAGTTCGGCGCGCGGTAAAGCCGGCAGCCATTCGTCTTTGGTCCGGACCCAACGTTCGTGGATTACTGTCCGAGGCGGAGCCGCCCGGGCGTCTATGGGCGTCCACCGGAGACAGACTACCGGACCGGGTAGCGTTAACCCCACCTGTCATTTACCTCAGTCCGATCCTTCGGCTTGGCCTTCCTCCTGGCAATTCAACAGCAAACCTTTCTCCATGGGTTACCGACTTGTCGATGCCTCTCGTCAGGCCAACTGAAATGTCTCAGGTGGACTCCAATGGTGTTGTTTGACCTTAAAGCCCCAATGATTAGAAACTTTGCTTCGCTGTCACTCCGACGTCTCCGCCTCCAGGATCCTAACGTACACATCCGAACCGCCAGTGGTCAAGGTCCCCCAGGGAACTGTTGTCCTTGAGAGACGCTCATCGCGAAATAGCCAATAAGCGTCCCAACGCGATATTAAACAGCAAAGCTTGGCAGATAGTCCCACGAGGAAACCCGGAACCTCGTCCGCCGCAATGACACCCCCTTTCGACATCAACCGCTGCCTGTTTGCAGCTCTCCAGCCTGTTTCCTTACAGCCAAGGCCTCATCCCGAGCACGCCTTTGTCCACTAAGAACGGACACAAGGTGTCACAACCATGCAAACCCGCTTACAATCCACGGGTTTGCGCAAGCAGGCAGACGACGAGAGTGAAAAAAGAAAGGGGGAAATCAAAGAGACCCCATAAAACATGCTCGAATCTGCTCAGTTCTCTTCGGGACAAAAACAGTACCCTGTTTCGCCTTGAGCTGTCAACTCTTGGTTGGCTTGTCCCTGGTGTGCTGCCAAGCTGACATCTTGGGACCTTCTAGGTCGATATTATGTTGCGTCTATGTTGCAGATCCCCCCTCCGCGTGGATCACGCCGCGCCGTTCCTTCGGGATCGGAATGCTACACCCAACCCCTAGCATCCTCGTAGGCTCAGTCGTAGAGCCTTTGACGTTATTGGCTTGGAGCATTCGCGGGTCTTGGGTCTATCAGTTTTGATTTCTGGTGTTGGATGCTGTAGATGGAAATGACATATATTCCATAGACTGCCGGCTTTGCATGCACACAGCTCCGGCGCCTGGCAGTGTCGATTGTTCACGACTCTTCAATACCACCACGTTCTTTTCTCCAGCTACTGCCAGTGTCTCTTCCATTCTTCACCAGAGATCTCCAAGTTTCTCACCTTCATCCTCATCCTCTGGCTTCTCCCTCACCTTCCGCACCACCATCACTAAGAAAAGACGTCAACAAACCCCTTCAAACCGGCAAAAATGCGTCTCACAACCTTTATGACTGCGACTATACTCACGTCCCTTGTCGCCGGGAATCCCTTCCTCCACGGAACCCGCAATACCCTCACCCCGCCCCCTTAATCCCGACGACAAACATCACCTCGCCCCCTATGAACTTCGGCACCATCGTCTTCCGGGCCATGGACATGCTAGACATCTTCGGGCCCCTCGACGCCCTCCAGCTCGTCGCCCACAACCGCCACCTGAACCTCCACCTCATCGCCGCGACCCTCGACCCAGTCACCACCGCCCCGCAGGCCGCCGGCATGAACGCCTACAACTCGTCCTTCTGGCCGACGATCCAGCCCACCGCCACCTTGGACGACGACCTCGACCTCGACGTCCTGGTTGTCCCCGGCGGCCCCGGCATCCGCGCCCCCGGCCTCGAGCCGATCGTCGACTACGTTAGGAGGTACTACCCCAAGGTCAAGTATCTCATCACCATCTGCACGGGCACCAGCTTCGCGGCCAAGGCGGGCGTCCTGGACGGGAAGAGGGCTACGACGAACAAGGCGGCGTGGGAGCTGATCACGGCCATGGGACCGGATGTGAAGTGGGTCTCGCCGGCGCGGTATGTGGCTGATGGCAACGTCTGGTCTTCGTCTGGTGTAAGTGTGCCCTCATATTTTCAATTTCAATGAGTGTAGAATGTCTGGATGATGGATTACTTAACCGTTTGTAAAACCAGGTCACTTCAGGTCTGGACTTGATCATTGCCTTCATCAAGGAGGTCTACGGCGAGGAGCTGGCCACCAAGGTCAGCAGGATCATGGAATACGTGCCCAACCCGCCGACTGGGATCCTTTTGCGGAAGTCAACGGCGTCGATCCCACGAACAGCTATTGAACAAGAGCATGTAGAAGGGGCAGGAAAAAAAAGTTGGAGTTCTGTTTCGAGATATGTAGTACATGTTAAGGGCATAGCACGGCGATGTCTTTTCCGAGTGAAGAAGCTATACCAAGATGGCAGACTTTAGATGACATGGCTAAGAGGGCCGTCGAGTTTGTAATCTATCTGATGATTTCATTACGCTACCTGTACTCCTTGCTACTGAACTAGGGACAAAATGGACTTGCTAACATGAGCCGAGGACTTGCTAACATGAGTCGACATTATCTTAAGAAGACTTGGGAGCCTTCTCGACCTCGAACAGCTGCTTGATGGAGTCCCTCAGAGTGACGTTCAGGGGCGTGTACTTCAACCCCAGAACCCGTTCGGCCTTGCTCCCGTCAACGGCATACCGCTCCTCCGTCTTGCCGTATCCCGGCCGTCCCTCGGGGACCCTGCTCTTCGCCTCGGGAACCTCCTCGCGGATGATATCGGCAGCCGTCTGCCAGTCAAAGCCTTCACCGACGAGGAACCGCTCGCCCCCTGCGGCCGGCGTCTCAATCGCTCCGATCAGTGCCCGCGCGACGTCCCGGACGTCGGCATACCCGCCAAAGTCCGTTGGCGGAACCTCCTTCGCGTCGACCAGCTTCCAAAGCAGACCCATCGACTCGCTCAGGTGACCGAGGTCAGGGGTGCCGAGGTACGGTCCAAACACCCAGGGCGGGCAGATGTTGGCCAGCGTGAACGTCACAGCCTGGTTCTCGCCCACCCAGTGCCACATGGCCTTCTCGGCGAGGGCCTTGGAGGCGCAGTACGCCGCGGCGCCGCTGTCCGTCTTGGATGCCTCTTCATAGGTCATTGGGTTCCAGTCCTTCTCCGTGTACGTGTATCCCGGACGGTACCCCTGGGCCATGTCGACGATGGAAGCAAAAGACGAGACGTTGACGATGCGCTTCACTTCAGTCCCGTACAGCCTCGCAGCCTCGAGGATGGCGAGGGAGCCGTTGATGGCGGGCTGCAGGAGGTCCTTTTCATTGCTCTTGGGGTTCAGGATGAAGGGGGACGCGGCATGGATGATGCCCGAGACGCCGACGAGAGCATCTTGGTAGGATTCGTGCTTGGTGATGTCCGGGACGATGGCAAAGGAGAGGCGATCCGAGGAGTTGGGGAAAAGGGCGCGGAGGCTGGCAAAGGAGGACTCGGAACGGGCGGTTGCGCGGACATTGTAGCCACGCTCGAGGGCGAAGCTGACGATGTGGGTGCCGATGTAGCCGTTGGCGCCGGTGACGAGAAGGGTTTGGTTCGCAGTCATCGTGTTTGCTTTGATTCAGTAGTATGTGTTGAAGTGAGATGAAAGTCCTTGTAGGTGAGTTGAGTGGTGTTACGCGTTGAGTTGATGAGATGTTGTGTTGATATGGGGTTCCAACTTTGTTGTTGATAATACTTCTAACCTCAAACTTTCGTGACAATCCTGCCTACCTTTATACCTGCGAAGGATCCCGCTGGCATCCGAGTCCATAGTAAGACTCGATGCCATGTTGATTTCAAAGACTGGCAAGGGCTTCGGGCGTCCCGCAATTTCGTCAGAATAAGTCACTTACACCGAGGGCGGTGGGCTAATCGCCGCTGCACCTTAACGGCGCTCGCGCTTGCAAATCATCTCTCAAGGTTGACATGGATAATGCGAATGACATCATACAGGGTAAGCAGACGATTTGGGTAAGAACCGTGTCAATGGAAGGATCATGACCCTCAACTATTTGCGCCGATGCCTTGCTTCGGTGATCAATCCACTTGAAAGTCGGATGCTGAGGGAGGAGCTTTTCGCCGACACCTCTCAAGGTGAAAATGCGGCGTTAAGATGTTTCGTGGGGGAAACCGTGGGGGTTACGCTGACAATTGATTCGAGTTGGCGTAGGCATAACCTCTGCACAATGGCACAACTGCACATGGGATTAATAATGCGCTGAAAGCCGTTGTGCCGAGCTTGGGCCGCATCGTAGGTGGGGGGTTTACGTCAAACTTAACAAACGCAGCACAAATGCCCGGCAGGGCAGGTCGACTCGGTGTATGACCCACTTCACCGAGGTGAAGGAAGTTCACCGACATCTCAAAGCCGAGGATGCTTCAACCATAACGGCAATGCTACGGGTTCGACCCTTCCCCATCTGAGTCGGGGAATGGGGTCTTTGAATATACCATCACCAAATGGAAAAAACACATAGCCACGTCCGGATTGTGACCCGTCATAGGGGGATGCACAATTCACTGCCAGCTTGTCCTCGAGGCCACGACATCTCACAAAGGTTAATCTCGTGCTGCTGGCCACAAAACACCAACCTCTGCGCGTTAGCCGTAACAGACAGAACCCACAGATTATGCAAGTCAAGGCGTGGATGGCGATTCGTGGGATAGCTGCCAAAATGCTTCTGACTGCCCGACTTACACGCCCGCAACCCAACCCTCAGCTAGCTCATGACGCGGGTTGCCCATTGACCCCACCGACCCGAACGCGAACCCCGGGTCTTGAAGAATCTTTGAGGCTAATCGCTGCTAGATGAGACGAGGTCCCAGATCTCCAGGCACGAGGTCCTGTACCCCGGCTCGGCAAACTGTGGCTTATGTACGGCATCGGGGCGGCGGTCGGGAGGAACCGGAGCGGAAATCTGGGGTAGGTCGGGTCGAACCTCGACGAGGGCGCATCATTCCGGGGCGGCTGGCGGCAAACGGGGCCTGTAGGAGAGCTTCTTGGTTCTTGGAAAGCTACGCCTGCTGCCGTGGTCCATGTAAGTCGTGAGTACCCAGTTAACGGTGGACTTGGGACATAAGAAACGGCCAGCCATGATGGTGTGGGCTTCCAGACGGCACGAGCATCAGTGACATCCTCCTAGCCACGAGGCTGATGACACGGCTGATACTGTGCGCCCTTGACATGACAGATTGGTAAGCCGAAGGCGAACGTCAGCGTTGATCAGTCTCATGACCTGACAATTTTGTCGTCAGATGTTGACTAGTTTCATCAGACTGCGACTACAAGTGCTGAAGGATCTTCCCCGAGTGATAGCTCATTCACGTTAGTTAGGCCGTAGTACGGCCAGAATGTCATTCAGGGGCCTGTGCCGTGCGGTGCCAAAAGGCGGGAAGGGGCGGTAATGTCATATCATGCCAGGTCGATCGATGTTGGGACTATGGAAAATGATCCGATCTTGGCCTGTCGGGCGCCTGGCAACAGTAGATAGGCAGGCCTCCGGCGGTAAACACATAGGCCGCGGCATTGACGTTGGCGGGTATTTTCGGTAGGCACATCGTCAATTCCGAAGTATTCGGAAGCTCCAGAGACGATATAGGCGAAGCCAGGAGCTCTTGGGGCCGACGAAGCCGTGATACTCCGGCGTATCGGGTCAACCGGGCTGGTCATTGGGTTGGGTGAGTCGAGAGGCAGATCTCGGGCCCCACCAACCACCGGAACACCCCAGCCCTGTTTTGATGGACCGGGTTTGCAGTTCAAGCAGCAGGCCAAGACCCCCCAAGGGCAGAATTGGGTGGCATGCACAACTCCCGGCACCCTTGATAGTCGATGGCGCTTGCACAAAATATATGAGTTGAATCGAAGGGTTTGGACGAGCATGGATGGGTATTTTTGCGCGGATCCTGCCCTTTCAACACGGACGACGGAGCCAAATATGGTGCGGTCCATATGGGGGGGACCGAGAACGGAGTCGTAAACGGCCCTTCTCGATCATTATCTCTTTGGAGCTAAAATCGGCCGAGTCGAGGCTGGAAGTGCCTCATGCACCAGGCAAAGTGTTTCATTAGCTGGGCTCAGTCGAGCTTGGCGGGATGGGCAATGGAGCATTGAGTGATTTATGGAGCTGGGGGGGGGGTTTTCGTCGATATCCATTCACAGCTAAGCCGGACTTGATTAAGACTGCAAGAGAATGCGGTGGCAGGGACCCCAAGATCGGACCCTGGGGCGGAGAAGGAGCTTTGGCGCGGGATGGCGGGATGGATGGATGGACGGCGAGAGGTGCAAGCGAGCTGTTTGAACCAGGTGTGTCTGTGGCATGTCGTGTCTTGAATCCAGTTGAGAGGGATAATAATAACAATTCACAACATCCACCAAAACAAACTGGAACGGTGAGCGAGAAGCTTGAGCATCGAAGGTGCCAGAGCTTTTTGGCGTGGACCACGGTCGTCGTGGTTGCATGAGGAGGAAGGAGGTGGTGGCAGTGAGTGAGTCCACGGGGGTATCGGGCCTGACGCTGTTGGACCAGGGGGTAGCTGCGAGTGTGATGTAACGAGGGGCAAGCCAGCAACTGGAGCAGGGGCCAGGGATAAGGTGCTGTAGCTGACTTTTTTTTTTTCCCGCGTTGAAAATCAAGTGAGCTGCCCCTCCATGCCCCTCCATACCTCACCTCACCATTCCCGACCCTGATAATGCTTGTAGTGCTCGAGTCGTTGTCGGTCCGGTGGCTCTCGTGAAAAGTGACACCACCACCACCACCAAGCCCCGCCGAAGAATGGACAGGAATGAGCTGGGAGTGTTGCAAGAATTGGGGGGAACAACGGGTTGATGGCTAGTTTGTCATAAGATACGAGATGGCAGAGACGGAGCACAGACAAAGTTGAGGTGTCAGGGGAAAAAAAAAGTAGTGAGAAGGAAGGGGACGTCAACGCCACGACCCCATCGTTGTCAATCGATATTCGGAGGTACCGTACTCCAGCACCAGCACCAGCAGCAAAAACCAGAACAGCACATCCCACCTTGCTCTAGTTTCCCATCATGCCAATTGGTCCGAGAACCCGGAGGGTATCATGCTAACGCCACAACATTGGAAATGGCGGCAGCGCCTTCCCGCTTGACGCCCCGCCTCGTCCGTAAAAAGACGCACCTGCTTGGACCGAGTGGATGAGAGGCAACGGCGGGCATGGCATGGGAAAGAAGGGGAGAGATAGAGAGAGAGGTACGAGACACGCGTTACGGGCAAGAGCTATGCGGTCTGAGGTACTGCCGGGCGAGAAAAAGTGTGTGTCATTCATTCGCTCACCCACCGCTCACCACCTGGCGTCGACCAGGCAATCACCCGTTCACCACCTCGAATCACCGAGTCACCTCACCCGTTCTCGGGGCCTCACTGGAGTCTGGAACCACCCCTGCGGAGTGGCCGTACCTGGTACCTCCCTAACTTGCCAAGTCCGCCTTGGACTCTCCCACTCCTTTCCTTGCCTCGCCTCACACTCACCTCACGCCTCTCTTGTTGCTGTGCTCCTGGCTCCCGGCATCCTGCTCCTGCCACGGCCGCCGGCGCTGCGTTGGAAGACCACCCCACCATCTTTCCCTCAACCAAATTTACTATATCTCGCGCGCCCTTCCACCACCTCCCCTCCGTTTCGTCCCTCCTTCTCTCTCTCTTTTCTTGCCATTGAAAACTCCCCCACACACATCAACCCACTTCTGATCTCGTCGAACACTCCGACGTGATACCTATTCAAGGTGAGACCTAGCTCCTGACAGCTCCCCTCGAAGCTTCTGCTTTGCACATTCCCCCCTCCCATCACCCCACCTTCTCGCAACATCGATAAATACCCCGCCTACACGTCGGATCTCCATTACTGAGCGCCGCCCCGAGAAAACTCTACTGACCTAAACAACCCTCAGAAATACCCCAAATACACACAACAACAGACGCCATGGCTCCCATCAAGGTCGGCATCAACGGCTTCGGTCGTATCGGTCGCATTGTCTTCCGCAACGCCGTCGAGCACCCCGACGTCGAGATCGTCGCCGTCAACGACCCTTTCATTGAGACCAAGTACGCTGTGAGTATCACCCCACCTTACCCCTCCATCATCATCATGATATCACGTCTGCCATGACACGAACTGTCTGCTGCTCTCGCACAGCCCGCGTGCTTGGGAGGAGGAAAGACATAGTCATTCAGCTCTCGGATCCAACGATTTGAGACTGAATGTTTGTGAATGGCACGACATGACTGCTATGAGCATCAAACGCTAGTAGGATTTTCGTTGCTGACACGTCGTCCCTCAGGCCTACATGCTCAAGTACGACTCCACCCACGGCATCTTCAACGGTGACATCAAGCAGGATGGCAACGACCTTGTCATCAACGGCAAGAAGGTCAAGTTCTACACTGAGCGCGACCCCGCTGCCATCCCCTGGAAGGATACTGGCGCCGACTACGTCGTCGAGTCCACTGGTGTCTTCACCACCATCGACAAGGCGAAGGCCCATCTCCAGGGCGGTGCCAAGAAGGTCATCATCTCTGCTCCCTCCGCCGACGCCCCCATGTACGTGATGGGTGTCAACGAGAAGACCTACGACGGCAGCGCCGACGTTATCTCCAACGCTTCTTGCACCACCAACTGCTTGGCTCCCCTCGCCAAGGTCATCAACGACAAGTTCACTATCATTGAGGGCCTCATGACCACCGTCCACTCCTACACTGCCACCCAGAAGACCGTTGACGGTCCTTCCGCCAAGGACTGGCGTGGTGGCCGCACTGCTGCTCAGAACATCATTCCCAGCAGCACCGGTGCCGCCAAGGCTGTCGGCAAGGTCATTCCTGAGCTCAACGGCAAGCTCACCGGCATGTCCATGCGTGTGCCCACTGCCAACGTCTCCGTCGTTGACCTGACTGTCCGCATTGAGAAGGGTGCCACCTACGACGAGATCAAGCAGGCCATCAAGGAGTCCGCTGACGGTCCCCTCAAGGGTAAGCTTCTACTGCCCGTCTACGATGTCTTTTCGTGAACATTAGCTAACCTGACACAGGCGTCTTGGCTTACACCGAGGACGACGTTGTCTCCACCGACATGATCGGCAACCCCAACTCCTCCATCTTCGATGCCAAGGCCGGTATCTCCCTGAACAACAACTTCGTCAAGCTGGTCTCCTGGTACGACAACGAGTGGGGTTACTCCCGCCGTGTCCTCGACCTCCTTGCCCACGTTGCCAAGGTTGACGCCTCCAAGTAAATGTGCGGAACACATGAGGACGTCGTGGAGAGGAAACAGGACCCAACGGGTCTTTTAATGAGATGATAAGCAACGACCAACAAAAGCAGTAAAATGAAGATGGGGCAGTCTTTACTTGGGAGGGCGACGAAGACGATGAGTCTCCAAGGCCTGGGGAGGATGATGGTTGTGTCTTTCCCTACAAAACAAAACTCCCAGAATACATGTCCGTATGACGTCTATGAAATAGATTATGCCTACCCATCACAGTCCACGCCTTATATTGAAATGCCCAGTGAACACGGTGAAGAAATATTGAAGCACAAGTCCCATATCTGCATCATGCTGTAGAGGTTCATTTGTCCCGCATCATAACATGTGGGCTGGCCGGTGCTCGAGCTGTGAGGGGTTGTGTGGGTGCGGGGTCGTTCCCATACAATCTCCATCCCGCCTTGGCCGGGGATCGCCGATTCGACCAGTCCCGTGCCGTGCGCATCACCACGTCACATATCACAAAAAAGTAGAGCGAGCCTCTTTGGAAACGGGTTCCGTTTTCTCATTCGACCAGACGTCCGAACGGCGTCTTCCCGAGGATCTCTTTCGTCCTCCGCGCTCCGGGTGCTACTTACACGGCGCGCGCTCAACCCCGAAATGAGCATTTCCGTGTCCCTGCAGAGCCCCAAACGAGGCCGGCCTCGACGTAACATGATGTAGGATACAAGAGCAAAAAAGGAGACAATGTAGCGGTATTCGCGCGCGCACGCACACATATACACGTACGAGGGGATATCTTTTTTATGTACCTAAAAACAACAACAAGAAGTCCACACACACACAGAGAGAGACGGAGAGTCCTTGCTTATCCCGTAGAACGCCAAGCTTGAAGACCGAGATGTCGCTGTCTCGAGTTCCGAGGTTTGATGAACACACACACACACACACATACACACACACAGGAGTGACACTCGTGCGTAGTTCTCTTTCGTCTCGCCAGAGAGAGATTTTTGTCTCCTCATACAATTGATTTCTTTTTCTTGCACACAATACGGTTGGGTTGCGTCCCAGATCTCCCTTGATTAACCCAGACGCCGAGGCGGCTATCGCCGGCGTGGTCGCAACCGTCTTCTTACCAGCCATTTGCAGTAGGCATGATGACAGAGGTCGCTCATAATACAATCCACGAAGGAAGCCCTTAGTGTCCTTCGCCTCCTATCTTGTGGGCTGCGGTGTGCGCGACATGGGGAGGCGATGAGCTCTCCGCCGCAGTAAAGGAGGTGTCGTCGTCGTCGACCCGACTCTCTGCCGGCTTCTTGCCTCCGTCGAAATCCTATGACGACGCTCCGTTGGCCGCCGATACAGTGACCTCGGCGCGCCACGAGACGTTTTCCTCTTGCGTCCACCGGCGCATGATTCTCAGTGCCGACGCCACGGCATCCTCCACGCTCGTCCACGGGCCCATGGTGGTGCGCATCGCAGAAGCCTCCACGCGCTCAGCGGCGTCAAAGGCCGATTTCCACACGTTCGCCCGGCCCCGTTCCGCACCGATAATCTGCCCTGCGTGGGATGCGGGGTCGAGCGACCAGTAGCACTTGATGAGCTCCTCGTGGATCACGCCCTGCAACTGCCAAAACAGTGCCTCCAGCGGCTTGCTCTTCCGTACATCGTGGCGCATGACGTTAAGTAATGGCAGAATGCTACCCCATTGCTTGGGATCTTGCGCCTTGTTCTCCATTCGCCGCGACTCGAACAGCGCCCTGAAGCTAACCATGAATGCCAATGCGGTTTCCAACCCCAATATCATGCTGAGCTTGCTATCCGAGTCGGATATAGGTGCGCCGCGGTCGCTGTTCTTGCGCTCCAATAGCATATCGCGCTCATGCTTTAACTTGGTACCGAGTTTGCTGAATCGGCTCCAACGGTCGCGCAGCGATTGGACCCTGGCCGGGTTCGCGGCCTCTCTGCTGTCGTCTCTTGTCTGTGGCCGGTCACGGTCTGATGAAGGTGGCGCAGCGGGGGTGAGGCTGCTGCCGTCTCCAGGGGTATTGACCGAGTTGCTCGATGCCACTCTTGACATCGTCGTGGCCGCCTTCGAAGGCGTTGAAGGCGTGACCAGCTTTATGGAGCCTGTGATGTCCGACGTCCTGGGTCGCTTCACCGCAATCGAATCGCCAACATGCTCGGTACTGCTGATGGGTCGTTTCCGCGCCTGAGGCGGCGCCGGTGGCTCTATGCTCACTGAGCGCTCCTTCTTGATCGCATCTTTCCTGGGCTGCAGTGCCAGCAGTCTCTGGACAGACTTGGTGTACTTCTTGCTGTACTTGAGCGTGACCATGAATCTGCGAGGCTTGTCCTTGGCCTTTTCCTTTGGTTCTTTTCGATCTTCATCCTCTTCCTTCACTACGATATTTGGTCTCTTGCCAGTCGTCGGGGAATCTGGAGGATGTGTTCTTTGGCCCGTAGTTGAGCCTTTGGTTGGCGTCTTCTTCAACCGTGCCAGTTCCTCCTCGACTATCGGGGGCAATGTCGGAGAGAGCAGCGCCGGAAGCTTGAGGGGGGATTTCGGTCTCTTGATGGGCGGCGGCGGCTCCGACTTCAGGGACTTCTGGGATCTGTTGTGCTCGCCGACATCATCCCGCCTTTTATCTTTAGGACGAGAATCGGACTCGTTCGGTAGGTGTAGAGGAGACAGCAACGGCGGGACTGCTGACCTCGACGACGCAGTTTCAGCCCTAGCTCTACTGCCCGAAGGACTAGGCCTGTTGCCGTTGATGGAGTCGCCTCGCGCTCGCGATACAGGCGACTTGTTGGCGCCTGAGCCCGAGCCAAGCGCTGTTTTCAGAGCCGATCGTCCGTTGGGTAATGATGATGAGCTTGTACCCAGTTTGCCATCTTTCTGCGGTGTCCTGTCATGTGATGACTGCATCTCTTTCCTCCTCGGGGTATCGTCTCGGGGTGTTCGCGATCGTTCATCTAGCGGGGTGCTAGCTTCAGGTCTCGCTCGCTTCTGAGGTCGCAACTCATTGTCGGCGTCCGCAGCCCGCTTCCTCTTCTCTGGGGTATCATTACTTTCTTGAGCCGCCCTAGGCTTGTTCTCTTGCCTGCTCGTTCTACAATCAATCAGTCAACGCGCACGGCTATGGCGCAAGGGGAGCGCGTATATAATATATACCTTTCATCGTGGGCGAGTTCGCGCGTTTTGTGCGCCTTGACGTCTTTTGACGCCTCGGATTCGCGATTCCTGTATGCGTCCATCTTTTTGGGTTCTCGATCGATCCGACCATCCGCCGCTTCCTTCTCCTTCCTCGAGGCGTCGGGCCTCGGCGTCGTTCCAGTGTCGGGAGGGGAATCCGACACTTTCTTCTGCTTGTTCTTATAATCACTCAGTGATAGCTTGGTCACGGCCTTCTTCTCCATCTTCGCGTTCGATTCCTTGGGGGCGGTGGGGTTCGGAGGTTCTTCGCGCATATCATAGTATGGGCGAGTGAGTAGCATACCGCGATCCGCGTCGGACAGCAGCGTCATGTACTGCAAGCGCGGATGCTTGAACTCCTCAAAGAGCTTGCTATGTTCGGGCGGGACGCGAAAGCGCTGGTCGGGGGATACGGAGAGATGATGCGGTCGGTCGGGCAGGATGCGCTGTGCCAGCAGTTGGACCTTCTTCGCCGCTGCTTCCATGGTTTAGTGGCGTTTGCATGCCGTGGGGGCATGAAGGGAAAGGAATCGCAATATGCGCGGTTGGGAGCGCGGAACAAAAGAGCGGGACGGAGCGGGATGGAGAGGTACGATGGTGGTGGATGGGGGTATTGTGGTTGGGATAGCGAGTGTCGGGGGTTGAGGTTGAATAACAAAGGGTCGCGATGGCGACAGCCAATGCGAGGTCGATGGTTGATGCAGATGATGGAATGGGCGCCGGAGCAGAGCACAAAGCTCTCTCCGCAGCCCACGAAGGTATTGATTCGAGCCGGCGGCAATCAGCGCCGACAATGAGGTGCTTGGGTGTTATGCCCCGGGCGGGCGTTGGCGACGATGTGTCGTGATAGCGTGACGTGGGTGTTGGGTACGGCCCTTATCTGGGCGACGTGCAGCAAGTGCCGAAGTGTATCCTTGCGAAGAATCGGGGGAAACGCGAGCAGGTGGCCTGAGACCAAGCTATTGGCGATTGATTCGGCGGTGGCTAAGTGCAATGATTGCGATCGCGACGTGGTTCATGTGTCGGGGGAGATGATGGTTGTTCTCGAGGAGTTGAGTGTCTTGTCCGGTATGTCGTGGACGTGGTCGCTCTAAAGGAGGAGGAGGAGGTGGTGGTGGTTGTCGGGGTCAACGTCGTGTTCGTGGTCGTGGGAGTGGTGCATGCAGGCTCCGAACATTCAACCCTTGCATCAGCAGTAGCGGAGATGAGCCGCAGCGCATTTCCCAGCGTGACCCGCCGCCGCTGCAAAAATGCGATGGGATGGGAAGCGACGCGGCGCTCAAAAGGTGCAGGTCAATCGACGCGAGTTTTGGGTCGGGTCGGTGCGAAGAGGTGTAAGAGCGTCCCAGCAGAGCAGTTGCGCGGGATCCAGACGGGGTTGAGGACGGGACGACGTGCCGCAGGTCGATGATACGGGGTGGGACAAGGGTCAAGGTAGGAGTTGGTATTGGAAAGGGTCAAGGTCGCGCGGGTCGAGTGGTGGACGACGGGGAGACAGACGGGTGGATTTGGACGTGGATTGGAGGTCCAGGTCACAGTGTGAGTTGCAATAGCGCGAGAAGGGAACAGAAAAAAAAAGGTGGATGCCCGGCCTGGCCCAGTCCAGCCCAGCAGTAGGCGAGGTGAGGCAAGGAAGGAGTTGGTTGGTACGGAAAGAAGAGGTCAAGGGTCAGTCAGTTAGGGAAAAAAAAGGAGTGCTAAAGGTGAGGAAGGAATGGCAAGGCCGGACAGGCAAGAGACGAGGCAAGACATGCGCGCTATCGCACAAGCAAGCCAAGCCAGGCCAATGGAAACTGCGGACGACAATTGGACACAGACGATGCGAAAGGGAGATGGTCATTGGAAGTCAGTGACGAGCAGTGCAAGGTGAGAGAGAGGTGAGAAGGCAGGGAATTACTACGTAGGTGAGGCGCGTGCGGGCTTGCTCCCTAAGCCATCCCATCCCGACTGCACCATCGGCACCCAATTGCGCGGTGCAAAGGTTGGTGCCGAGATTGGTCTCTGGCACCTTATCCGCACTGCACGCTGTCCTCTTGACTGGGAGGAGGGGGGCACTGACTGGGAGAGGATGAGATGATCATCTGGGCGTCTCTAGTTGGCATGCTGGTTGGCAATCACTGGCCACTGGCCGCCGATACGACGGGACCTTGGGGACGTACTGGAGGGGAGGGGCTTTCCTTGAGCTACCTTGCTTTACAGCTCGCGTGGTCCACGTCTTGCGGCGCAAACCGTCGCCGGTCCAATGGGTGAGCGCAACGGGAGTGGAATGGGCCATCCAGGAAGGATGGGATGTGCTCTCCTGGGCTAGAAAATGCCCGATGCCTACGTACCTCCCCATGCGTGCGCCTAGGCCGGGTCTGCCCAGCGCCAACTTGTTTCTGCGGGACGGCAGCGTAGCGGCCACTTGAGCTGTTAGCGTGAGGTCAGCCACAATGTGCCCCCAACCTTTGCCTCGGACTGCGCGCGTGTGTACAGTGTGTGCTACCGCCAACACCTTTTTCCCGCTCTGCCGAGACCATATAATATACCCCGTCTCATGGCTGTCTGTCCAAGTACCCATCAAACCAGACAACTCAGCAAAGACGGGCGAGGCAGAAAATGGCAATCGTTCACAGGTTGGGTTGCGGAAATCGTAGAAGCCGCGAAATAATTTGCAACTTCGCCAGCACTGGCAAGAGCCACACATTCTGAGTATGTACTGACGGAGCAGTGACTTACAAGTGGTAGGATTCGTTACCGAACCACTTGTCAGTGACTCGACAATCATTGAACTTGGACAGTATGAAGGCTTTGATTCAACTGTTTCTCAGTCTTTCAAGGTGAGGACCAGAGACGTGTAGATGGTGATCTAGTGTTGGCCCACCCTTGAGGGCAACTAAAAAGGCAAGAGAGAGTGGTGTCGTCTCTGACCGTATTGCCCATCTTTGTAGGCAGGGGTATGCAAGGATGCCTGCCTGGAAAACATATTTACATGTGTTGTGTAACACACTTTGGTATCTTAAGCCAATCCGATGCGCCGTCGCCGTCCTTGTCTTTGGTTTCGCCCACTGGGACTTGAAAGGAATGCGCCAACTCCGTTACTCAATGCCTTCCGTTCGTCACGCCCATCTGCCCCATGTGAGGGCTCGGCCTACGCTTTTTGGTTGCTGGCTCATCGCTTGAGGCCGCCGACAGCTCTAGCACCGCCAGTCGCTGCTCATATGCACTCATTTGTTGGGATATTCTCTCGATCTTGTGCCCGACAACTGCCTCACCAGGTTGGTACCTGTCGATGTATTGGACAATGGCCTGGAAGAGGTTTTCCGTTGTGAGGTTATTCATCTGCGAGTCGAGACTCGTAAAGTTCTGCTGCATGAATTCCAGTCTTCTCTCAAACCTTTCTTCAGTCGCTTGCAGCGTTTGTTCAGTAGTCTCTACTCGTCTGCCTGTCATGCACAGCTGATGCTCTAGCTGGCTGATCCGTTCAGCCTGCGACGCCTGGCTATCGCTAGCAAGTCTGGCCGATTCAGATACAGCGTTGATAGTTTGGCTCGACATTGCCACCTGAGCTTTCAGTGCTTCGATCGTGGCATTCATCGACTCAATCGTCGGCGCGCGTCTCTGGGCAGGTGCGCCGACAGCATCCGTCGGCTCGGAAGAAGTACTAGCGGAACGATATGGACTCTTACTAGACATAGCCTCGAGAGCTTTGAGTCGCGTATCGTACTCCCTCCACTTTCCCTCGTGCTGGATGCCCCTGGGATCAGGGGCTGGGGTGGGTACGCGACTGTTGCCCGAGTTACGAGTCATCTTTTGATCTGATCCTTTCTCGAGTGTCTGGACTTGATCTTCTTTGGCCTTGATCTGCGATGAGTGGTCGTTTTGCTGCTTCGAGAGGGTCTGCAGTGTTGGAATTTGGCCCTCTACAACATCGACCCGTTGTTTCAAGTCGTCAATCCAACCACTGAATTTCTTCAAGACGGCAGTGTTCATGTTGGTAAAGGTTTTGACAGTAAGAAATGAGTCCCCTGCCGATGGCACCTGCATTGCTGATCGTAGTTTCTCGACAGCTAGCTGCGATTCCTCTGTGCCCGAGCGTAGTCGTGTCATCCCGGATTTCAGCTGCTCTTCATTTGTTTTGAGGTATTCAGTTTCGGACTTGAGTTGGTCAGTTGCAAGCCTGAGATGCTCCACGCTCGACCGGACTTCAACCGTGTCGGACCGCAACTGCTCTGTGCCTGACTGAAGCTGTTGGATTCCAGACTGAAGAACATCTGTATCCAAATGGAGCTTCTCGTTGTCTGATCTGAGCTTGCCATAATCTGTCCGGAGCACAGTGATATCATCTGCAGCCCTCTTAGCATTCTGTTCGAGTCGTGGCAGAGTAGCCGCAATAGTATAGCAGCCTTCGGTGATGAGGTCAACGTCCATCTCGCCAAGTTTCTGGTCGTGTGCCGCCATTGTTGTCTCCAAGTCGGCCAATTTGTCTCGACACTGGTCTACCATTCTCTTGACTTGAGTCAAATCTTCAGAGGTAATCGCGGTGTTTTGCGGTGGTGGGGGCAGCGACACCGCCTTTGATTTCTCTTGCAATCGCTTGATGGACGTGTCATGCTCGTCAATTTTTGTCGTCAAAGATGTCTTCTGGTCCTGTAGGTCTTGAACCTTCTTTTTGAGGGATTCATTCTCGATGCCCAGTATCTTACGCAGAGCTGTTTCGGTCGAAAGTCCCTTTTGAAGGTCTTCTATCTGTTTCTTTCGTTTTGCCACATCTTCTTCGTGTTGTTTTTCAAGTGCATCCAGGCGGGAATTGAGCCGCGTCTCGAGATATTCGAAGGAGCGGGAGCTGGACACAGCTGAGCGGTGATCTTTGTCTTGCTGCTGAAGCTCGGCAAAAGCTTGTAGCAAGGTCGTAGCGAATCCTTCGGCCGAAGTGAGCCACTGCTGGTCTACAATGCTTACTTCCTTGTACAATGCGTTCAAGTCTTCAGTATCCCTCTTCTCGAGCTTGTGGTGATAATCCTTCAAGGATGGAAACTCGGCATATTTAGGATGCGATTGGGCGTGCTCTTTCTCCCTGGCCTTAGCACGCGCCTCGACCACGTTTTTCCGTAACTGTAGTGCACCCTGCTCATTGCTTCGTTGCGATAGCTGCCGTAGAGCCGCGGTAATCTTGGCGATAGATGATGCTTCGTTCGTGGAATGAGGTGTAGGCGGCGCAGAAGATGATGGCGTTGTCGGCATCGGTGCTCTTTGAGGCACTATTTGTTCAAACAGTTAGCTGCGCTACTCTCTAGGGGAATAAAAAGCATTCATACGTGGTTCTGGGCCACGGTCGAAGCGTGGGTCTATTGGATTGCTGGGCTTGCTGTGTACTGGCGAAGACAGTGATCGATGCGAGAGGCGATGATCTCGGGGCCCTGTCGGAGGTCTTGGGTTCTCAAAGTCTCTAGATCGATCACGGTCCTTTTCTCTATCGCTGTCCCTTTCCCTGTGGCTGCGATCCCGACCTGGAGAGGGCGAGCGAGAGCGTGGGCGATTGGATTCTCGGGGGCGGTCTCGACGATCTGTTTCGCCATCCCGTCGATTATGGTAGTCATAGTGGTTGTCAAACCTGTCACGGCCGCGACGACCTTCGTTGCCATCAAAGCGCCTATAAGACGACATGCTGTGAGGAGTATGTGCTTCAGATCGAAGCTCGGATTATGACGCCCGTCTTATTCAATATGAGGCCATACCCACACCACATCCTCCAGGTGTGTATGTATGTATGTATGTGTGCCGTAGTGAATGTGAAAAGGCAGAGACGGCAAACTTAGGAGGGGAGGAGTAAGAATAAAATGAAAAAGGACGTCTTGGGGGAAAGGAAAGGTGGGATGTCGAGAATGTCGTCGTCGCGTCTTCTTGAAAAGCTGAAAGGAGCGAGCAGCGCTAGGAGTCGTTGCCGTCTAAGAGTGAACCTTTTGCTCCTTTGAATAGGCACCTCCTTGCACTTGGGCGGTCAGTCGCGTATGGTACCGGATACCGTGCCCACCTTCCTCTCGCGAATTGTGTGCCTGTTCAGATCGGCAAACCCCAGCTTAATTAATCTGCCAAGGAAACTACAACGTGCTAGTTTGCAGCTTCTAGGGGTAGCGATTTAAGTGAGATGAGGGGCCTTGGCCAGGTGTGGCAACGTATTTTCGGTGTTTAGGTGCACTATTCCTGGAGGTTTGTTTTCCCAGGGCGTGGAAGATGGACGCAATTTTCATCATTAAGTGAGATATGAGAATTGCTCAAGAACAGTTAGCATCGAACGGTGGTGAGCGATTTGAGAGAAGAGTTTTCTTCTATTAAAGGGGGGAGCCACACCCAAGAACTAGGGCGCTGGATATCATGCAGCGACCCGAAGTGGTTTTCTGATCGAATGTTTATGCACTGACGCGAATACAACGCCGGCGCGACTTTTACACCTCTAGTGATGGAGGGGTTATGCTACCTTGGGCACCTGAGGGTAGCTTTAGCGCGCCACCAGAAGGGTGGGTGGGTTTGAGGGTGGAGGAGATTGAGGGTCCTACCTAGTTTTGCATCGTTTGAATGCTGTGTGTGACTGTACGTACACTATTGATGATGACGGATCGTTTGCTGTCCTTGTTTGCTTTCTGACCGGGGAGCAAGACAGAGAAACCGGTCCAACGACAGCCGATGTAGGCAGGCGATGGTGGGGCAGCTGCACCTAAACGAGCAGGAACCTAGCAGAAGTGGCGCTACCACAACCGTTCCTGCTTCGACTTATTGTTGGACTGGGCCTCTAAGCTGCAATGTTTGTGCCTGCTCCCTTGTCTCCCATGGCCTCTTCCACTACCAGTACCTGATGTAACTTGATATGATGATGTTAGAAGCTTCCTTGTACCTAGCACCTTGCCAGAATAGCACCGTACTTCTTTGTCGACCATCGATTGAGGTTCTCGCCGTCGAGAGAGCCGAAGGAAATACTAAGTGTATTCGTTGCCTTACACATCCCATACTGGCTGGCACACATGTCACTTACAGGAGAGACCAGCTGCGCTGACTGTTCTGCATGAAACAAGTTTCTTCCATGGCTTTCAAAGTATTGCGGAAGAGAAGATGAGTTGCTCTCGGTCAGTTTAGACTATAAAATGATCACACCTAGATAACCCAGTCTGATCTCCCTAGTAAGTTATCTTGGGTACTGTAGTGGTATGATCAGCGTTGCGTCAGTGCACATTTGGGATTAGGATCCGAAGGGTAATTTGGAGCTTAAACAGAGGTGGCACAGTGCCCGGCTCTTAGACTGTGGCGTTTAAGCGCTAGCCGCGCCACGCTATGCCTGTGCAGCCTGAGGTAAGCGCGTTCCCAAATTTCTGAACGCGCATGCCCAGCTTCTCAGCCTTGATCGCAACCCGTCCGCCGACGAACTGTTTTTGCGCCTCATCAACGAACATCAATACCGCACCTCCTCACCTCCATCAAAACAGTCAATTGCCAACACGAAAACTACACCAGTAGTAACCCGAGCCGATCGGTAATCCGTATTTAAGATGGCTACGGTATGCTGTGTTCTTCGTCCAAGTCCTTACCATCCATACTAACATAACCCGCAGCCCGTCATGACCGTCTCCGAGAGCAAGGAGCTCAGAGGGCTCAACCTCATTGCGGCTCATTCCCACATTCGCGGCCTCGGCGTCGATGGCACAACATTGGAGCCCAGAGCGGCGTCCCAGGGTCTGGTCGGGCAGGAGAAGGCCAGGAAAGCCGCTGCCGTGATCCTGCAGATGATCAAAGAGAGCAAGATTGCTGGAAGAGCCGTGTTGATTGCCGGCCCCCCCAGGTCAGTCTTTTTGCGGTGCGCATAGTCGACGAAGGGCCACTTGACTAACTTTGTGTACCCCCCAGTACCGGCAAGACTGCCATCGCAATGGGCATGGCGCAGTCCCTTGGACCCGACGTCCCCTTTACGTCCCTCGCATCCTCCGAAATCTTCTCCCTCGAAATGTCCAAGACCGAGGCCCTGACACAAGCCTTCCGAAAGTCGATTGGTGTGCGCATTAAGGAGGAGAGCGAGATCATGGAGGGCGAGGTCGTTGAGATTCAGATCGACAGAAGCGTCACCGGCGGCGCCAAGCAAGGGAAGCTGACGATCAAGACGACCGACATGGAGGCCGTCTACGACATGGGCGCCAAGATGATCGATGCCATGACCAAGGAGCGTGTCATGGCCGGCGACATCATTTCCATCGACAAGTCTTCGGGCAAGATCACAAAGCTCGGTAGATCATACGCACGCTCGCGCGATTATGATGCCATGGGCGTCGACACCAAGTTCCTGCAGTGCCCCGATGGCGAGCTGCAGAAGCGCAAGGAGGTGGTTCACACCGTCACGCTGCACGAGATTGATGTCATCAACTCGAGAACACAAGGTTTCTTGGCGCTGTTTTCCGGAGACACTGGTGAGATCCGTAGCGAGATTCGTGATCAGATCAACACCAAGGTCGGGGAGTGGAAGGAGGAGGGCAAGGCCGAGATCGTCCCCGGTGTCCTGTTCATCGACGAGGTTCACATGCTCGACATTGAGTGCTTCTCATACATCAACCGCGCGCTGGAAGACGACCTCGCGCCCATTGTCATCATGGCCAGCAACAGGGGCAACTCCCGCATCCGCGGAACGGACTACCGCAGCCCCCACGGCCTGCCCCTCGACTTCCTCGACCGCGTCGTTATCATCCACACCAACACATACAACCAGGAGGAGATCAAGCAGATTCTCACCATCAGAGCCCAAGAAGAGGAGGTCGACGTCTCGCCCGACGCCCTGGCGTTGCTCACCAAGATCGGACAGGAGGCGGGTCTGCGCTACGCCAGCAACCTCATCACGACGTCCCAGCTGATCTGCGCCAAGCGCAGGGCGAAGACGGTTGAGATTTCCGACGTCCAGAGGAGCTTCTCGCTTTTCTACGACCCGGCCCGCAGCGTCAAGTTCGTCTCCGACTCGGAGAAGCGCTTGATCGGCAACGACGGTGCCGTTGACTTTACCGTCACGAACGGTCACGGCGATGCGATGGAGTTGAGTTAGGCGCGGTAAAAGGTCTTCGTGTTGGGCGTTTTTTTTGGGCAGAAAATAAGGTGGCCACCCCTGGGACTGTGTGATAGATTTATGTACCATAAATGTTTGAATGGTAGCATCGCGACGATGCCAGGAATTGCAAGGCTCTTTGATTCATTGTTTCCATTACATTTTGGTGTCCCTTGTGAGCACCCCGACCCGACGAAGGGGTCATACGAACGTGGCAACCCTAGTCCAGCCTTCATCGCCTACTGGCCGGAACTCGACCCCTTCTCCAAAGTATCCGGCGTCTTGCCACGCCTTCATCGTCGGCCCGTCATACGGCCCTTGCTTATCAGCATTGTCGCGCCCGTCCGTCCACCGGAACTCCCACATTTTGGTCGACAGATCTTCACTGGCATCCTCCTTCGCCGGCTCGACCCACTGCTCGCCCGTTTCCCGCTGCCATTCACGGACGAGCACCTCCCTTTCCTGATCATAAATCTCGGCGTGGTCTCGGCTCAGCAGCTTGTCCGCCGCGTCGGTAATGGCCTCGATGGCCTCTTTCCTCTTTTGCTGGTCGGGGGTGAGCTCCTTTTCCTTGTCGACGTCCATGGCCTCCTCGGCACCCTTGTTTAGCTTCTTGAGCTTCCACTTGGGTATCTTCTTCGGCTTCGGCTGCCCCTTGCCCAACCTCGCCAAGGCCTCGAGCGACGTCTCACCCCTGTCTAACCTGACAATGAGCGCCTTGAGCAGGTCCGTCGTCAGGATGTCGTCGTTTTCCATCCGTAGCCTCCGCGCCTCAGCCTCGCGCCTCTCGTGCGCTTCGGCCGCCTTCTTCAGGTCCTTTTTGCTCAGCCCATCGAGCCACTTGTCATGCACCGCATTCGGATCTGCCGCTTTTCTGATGTAGTTTCCGTCCTGATCGAAGGCGCCCTCTTCCTGTTCTTCCTTCATATTGAAGGCCTCAACCTTGGGAGCATTGCGCTTAAGACCGCCGAGACCGACTTCCTCGTCGATGCCCTCTTCTTGAATCGCCAGCTCCCGATCCACCTCATCGTCGCTGCTCTCCTCTTCATCTAGACGAATCTGCCCTCCACTTTTACTCTTCAAGTCTTGGCCCTCGATTTGTTTTTCATCCAGGAAGCGCACAGCCTTATCCTTCCCTGCGGGCTTGATACCCTCCTGCGCCGCCTTCCCTTCTTGTTCTTCATCGTCGTCCGCAGCAAACATGTCGTCATCCTCGTCATCCTCGTTGACCTTGCCCCCCTTCTTTCCTGTGCCGCTGCTATTCTTGGCATCGTAGTTGTCCAGTTGATCGAAAAAGTCCGCGTCGCCACCCTTCTTGCCCCTATGCCGCTCGTCGGCTCGCGATTTGAAGTTTCGCTCGTTGTCCGAGTCGCTGTCGTAGCCGTCGAGGTTCACGGCGCCGCGCTTCGTCGCGCCCGCGCCGACGCCAATGACGTCGGCATCGAGGATCGCATCTTCTTCAGGGGCGTCGGGGGCGAGAGCTGAGGGGTTGCGGACGTCGAACTTGAGCTTCTTGGAGTCGTGGCCATCGTCCTCGGCGTCGTGGTGATGTGTTCGCGCGAATGTCTCGCCGGCCCTTTTGGGGCGCGCTGCTGAGTGTCTTGAAGACATTTCGGGATGGCTTTGCCGGTGGTGTGTTGTAGGATGTGTGGATAAGCAATTCAGTCAGGTAAGGCTGGGTGAGCTTGTCTTTCAAGAGCTCCAAGGTGGGCTGAATGCATTTCGAAGCGGGTACCTGGTAGCTCCGTACAAAGTGCATGGGCATTAAAGTACCGTCTGGGGTCCAAGGCATGGGATTTTTTAGTGGAACCTTACCGAACCTCCAGCGGGTTTCGTCATTCATCAGTTGCCTTTCGGCCCCACGTAAACCGCGGGTCCTCCTTCATCGCTCTCCCAAAGGCAAAGCTACCTCTTTCACCTCACACGCCAGCCCGCCTGCTCTGATTCAAGAGCTTCCTACCGAAAGACTGTTTCCCTCCTTCAGCGACCAGGGCTTCGCATCGCAAAGCCTGCATCTTCTTTTTCCCAACCTCCCAACTACACACCCATCCAGACCGCCCAAGATGGTAAGCTAACCTAGCGGTCCAGTTCACCTCTTCACCGCGAGCTAACGTGAAGCTCCCCAGTATCGCTTCGATCCCAACGAAGCAGACATGTATAACTTTGCCCGCGGCGGCCGACGCCCCATCGTCCAGCGATTCGATGAGTACTACCGATGCTACCCCATGGTCATGGCCCCCGGTCCCGAGCGACCCGACCTCAACTACGGATCCAAGATCTTCCTGCCTCCCTCCGCTCTGGACAAGGTTTCGAAGCTACACGTTCAGTGGCCGTTGCTTATGGAGATCATAAATGGTGAGAAGGGAAAGCACTCGCATGCCGGTGTGCTCGAGTTCGTCGCAGAGGAGGGCAGAGCCTACCTGCCCCACTGGGTTCGTGGTTTCCCTACACAATGTTCGATGTGCGAGTGGCGTTGCTAACATGAGACCAGATGATGCAAACCCTCTCACTCGACGTCGGCGACATGATTCAGATCAAGACAACATCCCTCGAGCTTGCCAAGCTGGTCAAGCTGCAGCCCCAATCAACCAACTTCCTCGACATCAGCGACCCCAAGGCTGTACTGGAGAAGGCGTTTAGGAACTTCGCCGCTCTCACCAAGGGCGACGTCTTCAACTTCGAGTACAACGATGAAATCTACCACGTGGCGGTCCTCGAGGTTAAGCCCGAGACGGAAAAGATGGGTGTTTGTATGATCGAGACGGATGTCGAGGTCGACTTCGCCGCGCCAGTCGGCTATGTTGAGCCAGAGAAGCAACAGAGGGGAAGCGGAACCAGCACACCTAGAAGCGTGCGTGGCGGTCTCCCGGCTGGCGGTCTGCTCCACAGCCAGGGCTCCATGGCCCAGTCCATCAACTACAACGCCATCGCCCCGTCGGCAACTACGACTACCTCCAGATTCTACGGCGAGGGACAGAAGCTCAACAAGAAGGGCAGCAAGACGTCGACACCGAAGCCTGCAACCCCCATCGCTGGTGGTTCGGCAAACGCGCCTGCTGCTGTGCCCCTTCCACGCCGGACGAACGGACCCATGCCCCTCCGACTACCGCCCAACAAGCTTTTCTTCGGCTACGAAATTAAACCTGTAAAGACCGACGCCGACAAGGAGCGCGAGAAGGAGGAGGCTAACCGCCCGCACTTTGCTGGCCAGGGACAGACTCTGCGAGGCAAGCGTAAGGGCGAGGCCGAGGAGAAGGAGAAGGCTCCTGAGAAGAAGGGCCCCAATGAAGGACGCAGACTCGACGGCCGTGGTCCGAAGCCTCGCGGCATCGAGTGATCAGTGTTGACGAGGAACCTCGGATGATTTGGGCGGGTCCATGGCGTTCAGGAACAGGCTGGGTAGTCATTCAGGGCGCATAGTTGTAATTACGAAGGCACCAACAGGGACAGTCGAACGGTGATTAGATTCCCGGATATGAAGAATGATTGAGATCTAAGCGAGAGTCTTCCGCCTGAAATGTTTCAACTCAGTGATTCCCTGCCCATCTTTGGTAGGGTGGGAAATGACTGGCGTCTGAACTGTAACATTCTCGAATCGGCATTAACCTTCCCCGACATCCAGTGCCTTGAGATTCATCATTGCTGTAAGCCAGGCGATACACTTCCGCCCAAGTCTGCTTCAGTTCACGTTGGAATCAAGTTGCAGGGAAACCCACGGCATGGGAGACTTCACTTTGTGATCTGGGACGCGAAGTTTAGAAACCTTTGGTTTGAGAGCTCTCTACGAGAGATAGACAAGCTAGCAGAGAAAATCGCAAGCTTGCTTTCCATGGAGCCTCATCACCAATCGTCGTCAATCGTTGCCAGCTTCCCGATGTCCATGCGATGAGCCCTACTAGCCACCCTCCATACCCAGTGCCACAGACGCAGACGGCAAGAAGCCTAATCCATTGCAGATTCAATCCTCCATCTGTCTTCCTTCCGTTCCCTGCCCCTTTCCCAAAATCTCTTGCGAGACTGAACCTCTTTTGCTCCATGCCACTTTTTGAGACCAAACCAAAGACGAGTGTATCAGTCGGTGACATTGCCGCAAGAAGAGGAAGAGGTAGCAAAGAGTAGTGACGACCACGTCGAAAAAGAGCAGAAAGTCGAAACAAAAACAACAGCAAAGGAAAAGCGATATTTTTTGCCTATTGACCGAAGAATGAAAGAAAATAAGCCAGTTGCTGTCCATAACCGCCAGCTGTTAATTCGCGCTCAGTAAGTGAGGAGGTGCATAGTGACTGTTCTTCGACTTTGTCGTTTCCGCCCGCCGAGGGGGAGCAAGATGAGCCGGGAAAAGGGAGAAGAAGCAGCTAGCGATACAATCTCTCAGGTTCTGTTGCAAAATGCCATTAGAAATGGTTGGCGGCGGCGGCGATGCGGGCCTCGACGCACTCCTAGATGGAATCGTCAAGCTCGCGTTGTTGAGAGGGGCCCACGTCGTCGGCAGCCGCGTTGAAGTAAGCGGCGGAGGCATTGGGGGGAGCAACAGTCATGCTGGAAGAAAATGTTAGTCCACGTTCTCCATGTGAATGCTCAAGGTGATATATATGGCTAGGTGGATAAGGACTGGAAGGCTTGTTGCAGCAAAACATCCAGCTCAGTAGAAATGGCAAGACCGTCCCAAGGTAATGGGATAAATCTATGGGTCTAGGGAGAAGGCAGAGAGGATGCGGTGAGATGATATATCACATACCTGCGATCGCGGCCGCGGCCACGGCCAAAATAGCCATTGTCGCCCTCAACCTTGATTTCATCAAAGATGTTGAAGTCAGGCATGTCCACAGGGTTCTGGGTGGTCTGGAAGTCCTGAGAATCATCGGTAAGGTCGATTCGCTGACCATTGAGGCCAGCGACCGTACCATCGTTGGAGGTTTTGGTACGCTTCGCCTTAGGCTTGACATCCTCAAGCTCGCGCTCGGCGTCATCATCGCCGTCATCAGCAGCAACGGCGTCAGCAGCCATCTCATGAGCGGCTTGGCCACCTCTACGACCGCGAGCTCCAGAGGCCCGGGTACCAGAGGCGGGGGCTCCACGCTTGCGGGAAGCGGTGGGGGTAGTGAGAGTGCCGGCCGACGCCGAGGTGGTAGCGTTACCGACGCTGTTGACGCGTTGGCCGTAGTTCTTCACGATAGTCTTGGACCAGCGCTGGCTAAAGACGGAGGGGCAGTTAGTTTCATGTCTGGCCTGGCAACATGAAAGGGACGAGAGGGTAGACGGTAGTAGTTGTGTTAGGACAAGGAAGGGGGCTTACCTAAGAGCGTTGATAGTAAAGCTGTAGCCCATGGCGGTCATCATCTCAAGAACGAGGTTCCAGTCGGCCTTGGGCATCTTGCCGCCATTGGAAGCCTTAATGAAGGCCCAAATCAGGTCCTTCTCGGCCTGGTCGGTCCAGGTGTTTGGGGCCATGATGGATGTTGCTGAAGTGAGTGGCTGTGTATTGGTTAGCAGAGATGACATGTGTTTTTGGCTGTAGAATGTTCAGACACAAGAAGGAAGGGACAAGTAGTACGAAAAGGTAGACTTGATGAGAGAGCAGTGAGACTGATGAAGAAGAAAGCAAGAGCGACGTGAAATAAAAACCTGAGTTGGGCCAAGAGGATAGGATGAGTTGTTGTATGTCTTGGAAGTGTCAACGGTGTTGGGGTTGCTAAATATGGTGGGAGGAAAAGATGAAAGAGGTGATGCGAAGGTGACATGTGGCAGTGGTACGAGAAGAGTGAGGTGACAGATGAGTTCGAAATGAGGGAAATTGGAGGGAAAGTGGTGAAAAAGTTCAAATGTTCTGTTGTTCAAGCCAAGATGGCGAGCTTCATCCTAGGTACGAACGAGATTGGAATCGAAAAAGCATCGGTGCTAGGGAAGACGATGTGAGTACACATACCTGTGTGCTGTATATAGTAAGGCTATTGATGTTGATCTTCAGTTACTGAAGTCTCGCTTGCAGGATGAGTGGCTGTGGAGTAATGAAGCAGGTAAAAGAACAAGAAGATCTGGAGTGAGGGTTGGAGAGGTGGAAGGTTTATATAGCTTTACTTCAAGTAAAAGGACCTTGAAGCTGGTGAAGCAGAGAAGGAAGGAGTGTGTTTTGGAACAAGCCGGGCACCCACCTCGAGGGTTTTCTGACAAAACTGGCCAGAGGTATCTTGAAGCCGGCGAGATGGATGGGAATGAAGTTGGTGCGGCACCCGCCTCGAGAGGGTTCCAAACAAAACGACGAGGGGGACCAGGCTTTACACGCATGTTGAGAAGTTAATGCAACTGACTGGAGGTGTCTTTCTTTCAGTGAGACTGGGAATGAAGGATGTTATATTTGAACAAGATGAGCACATGCCTCAAGCTTTGTTGCAGAACTGGCGGGAGTGAAACAAGTTTGTGCTCAGGTTAAGGGGCTTCTGCAGCTGGTGTCAGCGTTGAGGCTTTGCATCTGCCTCAAGGGGGTTGTGACAGAACGAGTGAGAGGGATGAAGTCCTAGGAGTTCATGAGAAATCTAGTGAGAGAAACGAGTTGAACATCAGTCCTTGAGCGCTTTGGAATACCGTCGAAAGGCGTGGCCTCGCACTCAGCCCAAGAAGTTACTCACAGAACCGACAAGGGTCATGAAGTTTGGCGCCTGTCTCAAAGAGATCCTCACAGAATTTGTGAGGCTTCGTAAAGCTATCCCTATGTGGTTCATCATTATGATGGAGTGAACTTGTATCTTCAATCTCGTGGATCAAGAGTATTGGTCCCGCGTTGGAAACTGTTATCATGGTGGCATAAATTTGATGTCCTCAAGGGCTAGCGAGACAGAAGAGAGAGGTATGTGTGAATTTGCACAATCCGAACACCCATCTTCGGTAGCCTCTGTCCCAGTTGCTTGGTGTTTGGTACAGCTATAGTGAAAGTTAAGGGTAGGTCACAGGACGCAAGAGCTTGTTTCTGATTTAGGATTCTCATAGATTAATGAGACAAATATGAGCTGAGTTCAACGTAAATATGTTAAGGAGCTCCTGGCAGATTCGCCCCAGATGGGAAAGCAAAGTAAAACCTGCTTTGGCTGTTGCTCTAATGTAACGATCAGTATTGTCATAATGCCCTGGATGAAGATGACATTTGTAGTTAGTCTGAAGGCCAAGGGGCTGAGATTGAGCTAAAGAGCAAAAGCAAAAGACGGGAAAATTGTTAGAATGACCAGCGGATCAGAGGAGGGGGCGTGGTTGATGTCAGATGCAACACATTGCAAGACTGCGAGAGAGGCATTCAGATTGGAGAAAGCAAGCAAGGTTTCTCGATTTCAGTAGAACTTTTCCGTAACCTAAGGCAAATCATAGCCTATGATGACTGCTGAAGCATAAAGAATAAAGCATTGTCTGTAGCGATGCCAGAGGCATGTGCAATCCAAGTCTGTCGTCTCAACTCATCATCGATCCAAGTCGCCACCCTATCCCTCGGAAAAACGCGTGTCCTTCTCGATACGTGGTGGTGATATGGTTGGGTCGATGTATTTAGTCAACGACGCTGAGTTTGGAATTAGATACCAGCATCTTTGGTCTCGAAGCTGTCGCCCATGTCATCGGTGTTAAGGAACTCGTCAGCCTCCGCCGTCATGCTGTGTGTACATTGTCAGCCTAACTCATGAGTACATCCACGACGGTGCTAACCTAGCCTTCTTCGGCATACGAGCCTTCTTGGTGGCAGGAGTCTCCTCCTGCTCCTCATTATCCTCATTATCCTCGGCCTCGGTATCCGCCTTGGTCTTCTTGGCCGGTGACTTGCGCTTGCGGGGAGTGGTGGCCTTTTTGGTAGCCTTCTTGACGGGAGTGCCGCTGCCCTCGCCGCTGTCGCCAGCGGTTTGCTCCTTGCGCTGAAGCTTCTGAATGTGCTGCCTTTGATAACAGTTAGCATTTCTCATGTATGCATGTAATAATGCGTAAAGTGTGAATGGCAGCGATGATAGGTACGCGAAGGCGAAGAGTCTGAGGGAGGAGAAAGGAATGAAGTACATGACAGCGTTTGCGTTATAGGTGTAGCCCTTGTCGTGGACAACAGCCAGAGCACGGTCCCAATCCTCTTTGGAAGGCTTGTTGACTGTCAGGAAGGCGACCAGCAGGTCAGATCGGGCCTTGTCATCCCAAACGGTGACTGGGGCCATCGTGACTGATGTTCGTATGAGTGCTGGTGGTGAGAGGGATGCTGTGGGGAAGTTGTAATGAATGGTGGAGTACGCTATGTCGTGTTGAACATAAATTCAGGACGGCGGAAGAGGAAGAGTGAAAAGCGAGAGGCGAGAGCAATTGAATTAATTTTGTAGAGGAGTGGTAGGGGGTCTCGAGAGCAAGGGCCTTGTAGGCAGAAGTGAAAGGAAGGGGGAAGGAAAGTAGGGAAGGCGCACTTGAGAGCAGAGGCTGTGAAGCTGTAGCCTTGAGAATGAAGCTCCTCGATGATGGCAGAGTACTGTTCACCGCTTGGGATCATGGTCTTGACTATGGCGACCAAAATGTTTTGGTCGACCTCAGGAGTCCATCTCATAGTCGCGCGAGACATGGTTGTTGGTGGTTTGTGATCTAGAAAATGTGATGTGCGGTAGTGGGTGTGAAGTCGAATATGGGTGAGGTAGGATATGAGGGGTGAAATAAGAGCTGGGTTTATTGACAAGAATTGTAGGAGGGAAAGAGAGCAGGTTCATGTGTGGAAGCCGCAGAACGCAGCGGGCAGACTCGCGAATGAGGGGGATAGAGATGGAAGCGGTCATGAATACGCAAGGTGCGAGAGCAAGTCGCGGGGGAAAATAGAAGAGAAGCAAAGGAAACGCTGCAAACCTACCGGATGGCATCCCAAGTGACATCCTCGAAGCCGTCGCGATGCATCTTCTCCTCGATCGCGTCCTTAGTCTCCTTGTTGAGGTTGGTCTTGAGCTGGCCGTAGAGAGCGAGCATCAAGCTGTGGAGGAACGACGGGTTGTTCCACTTGCCGGTTGGCTGCTTCTCAGACATCTTGGCGGTATTGCTGCGACGAGTCCGTTGATGGTAGTCCAAAACGAAGAAGATTGAAGGCAACGTGAGTTCTGCGAGGGCTGAAGATTCGAGAAGACGGAAGTTGGTGTTGAGGAAGAAGATGTCCAAGGGTCCAATAATCCAATAAATCCTTTTGCCGGAAGAAGGAAGGGGAAGTCGTCGGAAAGGGAAACAGCCCAGTGCTCTGCTGCCTTCTACCGCTCTTCAGACTCTGCAGACATTCACACAAACTGGACATCTAGTAGGCTGGACAACCGCCGTCAGGTACCGGCCTCACTGTGACCAACACATATGAGGCAGTCACGGCCGCAAGACTTCCTTGATGCTCCGTGCTCCTCGGTGCCTGCTGATTGAGCCCGTCAGACAGAAACACCATTTGGCAAGCGCAGAATGCCGAAGCCTTTTCTGCAGTGTATGAAACCTCCTCAAAACTTGGGTGGCTGAAGGACGAATGTAGATGATTGGTTCAGGTATCAATACACCCAACTTGTTGATGCTGGGCGCAGGCAGACACGTCTCATCACGGATGCTTTCAAAGAACGAAACAACATGTTGTGGCTAGCAAGCTCTGGTTTATTTCTACTCCTGTCAGAGACTTCTAATCTCGACGGAAACAGTCGGCCGATGCCAGCCCGAGACAGGTTCTTTATACGGTGAATGATAATGAAAGAAACAATGAAAACCCCAATCAACCGAACTCCAAGCACCTAGTCGTATTCATTAACCTCGCTCCTGATGCCGCTACCGCTTTGATGCATAACGCCTTGACCTGACAAAACTGATACGGGGTAGGAATGTCAAGCTGCCTGGCTCTGTTGATCTGACTGCAAGTCTTAGATTGTACGACTGCCACGGCCTGGGCTCTCGGCCAAACTAGCAGCAGCCAAAAGGGCCAGGTTTTCATACTATGTCTCGCCACCGTAGCTGAAGCTGTGCGGGTCTGACCCGGTTAGGCCAGCTGTAGGATACTCGGAAGCGTAGCCGTCAACAGAGGGAGCATCACTGTGGGCGGCCAGAGCTAATACGGCCTCATCGTCAACAAGGGAGGGATCCTGAGGGGGATTGTCGAGCTTAATCCTCTTAGCATCGTGGCCATCCTGTTCGTCGTCGTTGTCTTCCTTGAGGGACATGTCGAGAGAATCATCCTTGAGAGGGAGATCCAGGGACTCTGGCAAAGCACCAAGACCATCAGACATTACAGACGGCGGTTGATGGGATTGATCGTTTTGGATGGACTGGTCGTGGTCGGGCTGATGGTCGTGCTGCTGAGGATCAGGCTGCTGGGGTCCGGGCTGATGAGAATTGACCTGATTGGGATCGGACTGATGGTCGTGCTGGTGTTCGGGTTGGTGTTCGGGCTGGGGAGGTTGAGCGGCTTGGAGTTCTTGGTCAGGTCCAAGCTGATCAGGCTGACCGGGTTGGACGGGTTGGCCGAGTTGGCCGGGCTGGCCAGGAAGAGCAGGAATAGGCATCGGCGTAGGTTGCTGAGGCTGCTTCTTGGGCCTTCCACGACCCGGGCCAGGACGACGAGTAATAGGGTTTTGGGTGGGATCAATCTTCCGAGGGTTGTCCGGGCTGCCCCCGTTAGTCTCAGCCTTGTGTTGGGCGCGGCGAAGTCCTTGAAAATGTTGCCTGTGGTTTGTTAGTCGCCGTCGACATATGTAGCAGGGCCTGGTTTCTATGAGGAGATGATCGTGTACATGAGATAAACCGATTACTAGCGCAAGACGTTGACGATAGAATAACCCAACTCAGAACACGACCAGGAATTGCTTGACAACTACATTCTATGGAACACAGGGGTGTAATGAAGGATACATGAGGGCGACGCGCAGGCAAAGAGCCATAGTGTGTTGAGTTCTCTCGGCTTTCTCGAAGCATTCCTCACGGAACAGACGGGGAAAGAAAAGAGCACCTGAGAAAGGGAGAAAGGGAAGAGTGAGTAGCAGTATACAAGAACAGAGGGGAAGAGGTCCTGGTAACGACAGAAGGAAAGTCGTCAAAGAGGGCCAATACGTGCAATTACGTTCTCTCGCTGACGTTTCCCCCGTTCATCTTCATCGCAGTATCCCCAAGGGTATGCGCGGCCGATGACAGGGCGAGAGAAGGGCGAAAGACAATGACAGTAGGAAAGAGGGCAGAGGCGGGGACAATAGAGGGGTAGGACAGCGCGTGCAATTGCGCCGAGAAGACAAATGCCTCGTCTGCCCAGGAATTCATGTCGGTGCAGGTAATGTTGGGCGGGCGAGAAAGTATGAGCGACACTGATAAAGCGCAGACTTACCGACAGCCCTCGTTGGTAAAGCCATAACCCAGGGTGCGCATGTGGTTGCCGATGGTGGTCCATTCCGAGCCGCTGATGACGCCAATGTTCTTCACTGAGAGGATGGTGAAGAAGAGGTCCTTATCGGCCCTGTCATTCCAATTTTTGTTCATGGCGACAGCGGCGGAGAGGGTTGACTGTCTGCGACGATGATAATCGCGACTTATACAATTGAAAGTGGATGAGCTGGTAGCTGTCTATCGCGGTCAAAGACGAGAAATTGGTAGTGTGCTGACGACTGCACCGAAGGTGTTCGTCCCCAAAGTCTCCATCCGAGGGGAAACACTGGAGAAATGGTGGCTCCGGGTCGGTTTAACTTTTTGCCGAGGAAGAGGTCTCTTTACATGCACGCTTTCTACAAGTTTCTAGGACTCAACACATGAGGTAATCTGAGGGCTATGTGTTCCAGTATATTCCCTGAATTCTCCCGAAGTTATTTGGAAGAAAACCATCGTTATCAACCGGCCAATTGCCTCGATATTGCGAGGTTTAGATGCTAGTGGAACCGTGACGGGCCCGTTCCCTCCAACAGAAACCGGGCTGCCCGAGGTTTAACCGTGTAGCAGCACTGGATGTGGACTAATCCCACTAAGATGGACGGTAGCTGGCCCGGCGCCAATGCAGCCAGCCCATTGGTGAGGGAGACACGTAGCTCACGATTTGCTGTGCCGACTTTGTGCAGTTGTATTTCATACTGAAGCGACCAATTTGGACATCTCAACCTGCAACCTTTGTGTTCATCTCGTATCTATGCTCAGCTAGTGAAGGGAAACCCTCTGCGCCAAGTGTCGTATGATTTGTTGAGACATACTAAGAACCTTGGCTTGCTGGTCACCTAAGACGACTCGTCGAACGATGCAGCGTTTCTGTCAGAACTTTGACTGTAAGACACAGGTGGGCAATTGTCACCTCCCAGATGGCCATTCTGGTTCAAGGGAGATCAACTTCAGGACGCACCCGATGGTGCAATCCGCCGCGCATGCGCCTGCCTCAAGCTGTGTTGCAGATGTCAGCAAGATCTGCCGACGGCCATGAGCTTGACAGCGCTGACGTACAGTCGCATGAACAGACTAGAAACATAGACAGACCTATTCAGCAATTTCTTGACCTCTTCTGCTACAATATATGATCTGCTTAAAGAGGTTGCCAACTGGGAAGCTCCTTCCAAATCCGCGGGAGGCCCCCCCTCGTCCCCTTCATCCAGGTCATCCCCGACGCTGCTTTAGCGTCCGGTCCAGCTCTCGACCGGCTATGGTCGGTGTGGAGATCCGATGCCATCAGACCTCAGGCAGCAACCACGGATTGGCCTGCGAGTACCGTGCAAGGTGCGCGACATGGTCCCAGCTGCCACCCATCACGTGGTTTCGTGGAAACCTGGCGAAAACTTGGTCGCACAGTGCCCCTCCCAAAGTTCGCGAGAACGCGTCTCCCAACCACCTCACCTCATCCCACCAACTTCATCGCGTGTCGCCTGGGACAACAACCCAGCTGTTTCGCGGTATAACTGCCCAAATTAGAGCTCCAATATATGCCATTCAATTTTGCTACAATTTGACCAGATCTCTAAAGGGCTTTTGCTCGTCAAATGGCCATCTCAACCATTGATTGTCAGGCTGGTCCATTATCTCGATTGACCCCTCCCCTTGCCGGCTCACATCACCAGCATCCGACAAATGTCCCGGTCCAGACACGAGATTGAGATTACGACACCATGATTGACTGAAGCACGAATTCAGGGGGTGCTAAATCGGGCCAAGAGGCTCAAACTCTGTTTGTCATTAATCGCCGTATCTTGCATCGCAGCAGCCCGGCGCCGCGAGCTTCATCAATCCTTCACTAGCATGACATCCTCCCAGGTACGGGGCCAGCTCACTTTTTTTTGTCGCAATACAGGTCTGCCTACGTGTTGGTAGGCGTCGTGCGTCGTCACAAGTGTGTTCGTCAACCCAACCAGAGGCGGCCCAAGTTTGTTTGACGACTCGGTGCGGGAAGGCCGCCAATGAATAGTGCGCGAAATGGATGCTGCAACATGGACGTAGACAATCGCCCCAACCACCTCCATTTCCGAAGCTACACTACTCGAGAGGTGAGTCACACACACCCCATACCGCGCTTCTGTCTCATGCCATTAAGATCCCTGCTCCGTTTCCAAGTGGTGCGCTGGCCGTTCCTGGATCTTGCATTGGGGGTGGCCGACAAGAAAAAAAATCCTTACCCCAGCATCACCAAAGTTGCGTGTGTCAATTGACGAGTCAATTCTGCCTGCGAGTGCAAATGGCAGCGATCAATTAGTGGTTGCATGTCAGTGGACACGCTAGCCCGGACGCCTCGCAATTCCTGGTCTTCCGCTCGAACCTTCATTCGCCGAGCAAAGTCAAGTCGACTCCATTTCGTCGGCTGAGTGCAGGGGAGGGATCTGCAAACAAAAAAAGAGGAAATCAAAACCACTTTACGCGAATGAGAGATGACACGGCCCCGCGCCGCGACACACCCACGCTTGCCTCGACTCTCTCCCCCTCCTAGTCTTAGCACCCCTCCACCGTCCATTTCATCAGCGCTCGGCTAAGCTGCCATCAAAACTTCAAACCGCCCATCTCGTCCATGGATGTCATGCACATGCATCTTTACTCTACCACACCACCTCTCCACCCCTCCACAAGCGTCACGCCCCCCTCCTCAAGGACATGCGTCCCTGTCAAAGCCTGGCCGTAACTCCAGGCAACAAGGGACTATTTTGATTCCTTGTGTCTCAACCAAGGGGTTTGCCACTTTTACACCTCGATAAAATGTCGGCCCAAGCGCCGCGGCATCTTCCCTGAAAGCATCTTCGTTCGCCTTTCTTTTTTCTTCATACTGTACTGGTCCAGCTCCGCTGCGCATCCTCCTACCCACAGCTGCCCACGGCCTGCCCCATCGAGTTCGCTCTTAGGGGCAGCATCAAGCCGACTTGCATATCCCATTCCCTTTAGCTCCATAGTCCAAGGCTCCCCAAAGCACCTATAACTACCGTTGATGTTCCCGGGTTGTTGTGCTGACCTCTGGCGAATCCCTCCTTGTCTGCCTCTTTTGTCCGCCTCACCTTCATTGACCTCCCACACCAACGGGTGACTGATATCGCCCCCAGTGGTTGCACCATTACCACATCGCAACCTGCTGACTTGGCTGCCATATATCTGGCTCTCGCCTTGCCTCACCGATCTTCACAGTGACTCATTTCCCTCATTTCACCTCCACATCTGCCTGTCGTGTGCTGGTCAACTGGGTCGAGCCAAAGCCCCTGCATCCATCGCTGTGCACTTCAAATTGCTCCCCTTCCTCGAGCTCACTGGCCTCGATATCGGCTTTCACCTCCATCTCATAGCTTGGGCAGCTTGAGCCGACAGACCACTTGACGCTTCCAACATGTCTTCCAACACAGACAACCAGATGACGAGGTTTCTCTTCGCCATTTTGAAACAGAAAAACCTCAAGGATGTGAGTGCTGCTGATAACAGAACATATCCTTGGCCCTTGACTTACGTCGTGTCCAGATTGATTGGAATGCTGTCGCCCACGATCCGATACTGGCACAGCCCATCACCAACGGACACGCTGCTCGCATGAGATACTCTCGTTTTCGCTCTGCCATGTTGGGTCTCGAGCCTCAGAAGCGCAACAGGGCCGCCGCAAACAAGAATCGGGTTACGAAGAACAAGAAGGAGCCAAAACCACACAAGAAGGAGGAGGATTCCGAGAACGAACGGGTCAAGCCCGAACCAGGGACGCTCGAATCGATCCGCCACCACGCCGATGCTCGCGCCAGATCTCCGGTCAAGGTTAAGCAGGAACACAACCAACCTACCTACCGGCAACAGTTCACACCGACCTCCATGGCATCCCCTACCGCTCCGGAATGCCAACCGGCCTTCCAACCGAGAATGCTCACCCCCTGCAGCGACGACATGTTTTCGGCACCTCACAACCTGCAGTTCAGCCCGTCCGCCAGCCTCATCAGCGCTCACCCGACCTTCGATCTCCCTCAAGCCATGTCTTGTGCTCATGATCAAGATCACCATCAGCACGATCACGACCACAATACCTGGGCCCCTAGTCCGATCTACTCGGCCTTCGACGCAGCTTATGACATTGAGGGGTTCGGTGTCGGCTCCTTGTGTGACCACCAACATGTCCAAGGGCATACTGACGACATGCACGGGTCGCCTGCGCTTGGCTCCCTGATGCCAGAACACATGAATATCAAAAACGAGCACTGGGACTCTCAGTTCCTCCCCTAATACGTGGATAATACCCAGGGACAAAGCGGTTGTTGTGGGATGAGGAGGGTCATCTTATACGAAGTCGGGTTCAGGTTGGAAAAAATTGGTCGTCTCACAGTTGCTGGCTTTTTGCCATCTCTCTCACTTTCTCATGTCTTGTGCTGGTCACTCCGCTCCCCGTCCCCAACGTTTGGATTGCCAGATGTACTAATGATGTTACGCACACCTGGATGGCGTCTGGTTTTGTTTCTGGTTTCGGTCTAGAATGCCATGCCTTCCCTGGAAGAAAAGGGAGGGCTCTTTAGAACTTTTCTCCAAAGACATAAAGACATACAATGATGATTTTTATGACGATGTGGTCTTTTCTGTTAGTGTTTTATCTACGTCCTTTGTGAACGCCAAGGTTACATCCAAGATCATTGTTTTACAGCCTCGAACGTTGTAAGATGGGTCCGCGATATTAAGAATCGGTCTCCAGGTTTGTGGCATCTCGCGCTTCCAGAATAATGGATAGGAAAACGGGGGCGGAACTACTGTACTCATCCTCCTTTACAATACTTACATCCGATTCCGAACACTTTCAGGCCAGTACTTCTCCCCGTCTAGTTGCATTTGTCTTACTGCAGAATTTGTCGCATCATGGGTTTGGAGAGGGTTGGGTGTTCCTGTATAGCAACGCTTAGTATCTTTAGGACAAAATCGTAACCATCTCTAACTGACATTCTAGAAATTCATTTCAAGCCCCCAAGTGCATGCTCGAAACGGTTCGATATCTGCATTGAAATGCGCCACTGCTCGTAGATCTCGTTCCCTGCAAGATGCAATCCGCGGCTTGAAGGTCACATCTCGCTCTGGTTCATCCGGATCATTGGTGTCATCGGTAACTGGGCCTCAAAGGAAATGAATTATAATTATTTGATAAGATAGAATAAAATAAAAAAGAAACCCACGCACGGATTTCGCGCTCCCATGACTCCGAATGGCTTCCGGGGCTCTGGAATTTCTCATTTTCCTCCTCCGATGACGATCGTGATCGGGTTGTTTTCAGGGGCCGGTGAAGGCGTACGTAAGCATGTTATGTCAGATGTCGAAGCTCGTTCTCCCCCGGGTGAGGTGAGAAGGAGGTTATCGTCCAGGGTGTGGGCATTGAGGCTGTGCAAGCAGAAAAGTGCTAAAGGGACTGATGGGGGGATTAGTACGTAGCGTTCCGTTTTTTCCTCTCCAGATCTGATGAATTGGCGGGCTGTGTGTGATGCGAGGCGCGAATACATAGTCTCAGTTCCTCAAGGCCGCCAAGCCAAGAACGTTGCTGTACCGGATGCCAAGAACACATCATCTCTTGTCTTTGCCAAGAAATATACCGTCCCACATTTTGCCAAGACATGGTGATACCTTCGTCTTTTGATGCTCACTTTAACGGGAAGATGTGGTCTTGCTCTTCGCCTGCGCTGTTATAGTATGAAGCTCGGCGCGGCTTTAGACGGTGGACTTCCCTTGAACATTGGTACGTTGTGTGACGCTGGCGGCCAGGTGAAATCGGACAATGTCTACGTACCGGAAGTGTGCGAAGAGGCTTTACTTACTAAGACATTTAGAAAGATATAGCAGAGAGTCGCTCTCGCCTCCCTCCCGACGCTGACTTCTAACGAGGTCGAAATCGGCGCAAAAAGGGAATTGGCAGGGCTTGGCGGTCTGGGCTCCAGAAAGCTTCAGCTGAGACGGATAGTTGGTGACGTGCCTGGTAAGATCCTCACGGTTAAGACCCCGGCAGGGTACACGAACGTGGCCGCGCTAAAATACGATTGGGCAACTGAGGCTGTACGATGTATGTAGAAGAGGTTAGTCCATGCCAAGAGGGCTCTCACGCCCTACCTAGAGAAGAGACTCTATGCCAAGAGGTTGCTGCACTGAGACATAGCATGGTCCTGTCGGTTTGGTGTAACCCTGGGTTTAATGGTTCTTTCGCTGCGACCACTCTTTCGCACATATATATCAGACAACATTTCCCTTGACTTTTTGACAACTTTTGACAGCACATCTGCATCATGAACTTCAAGCTTCTCAGCGAGCAGTATCCTCTAGTCATTATCTTCTTTCTTCTCCTTCTACGCCCTCTCCCTGCATTGTTCTTTGCATTGCCATGGCGCTCTCCACTGAAGTCACTGTCGCCATCGTCTTTGGCGTTCCAGGCTTGATCGTCGCCGTTTTGTCAGCCATGTTCGCACACATGGCGGTGCGAAAGGCTCGTCGGAGCCTGACTGACAGAAACGATGTTGAGCTGCAGACGAACACGTACCCTTACTCTCTCATGCCTACACATACGGGAACCGACTATCAGCATCACCAACCTCGACCTTACCAATGTTTTGTGCGTCCGAACATGCACATGTCATCCGAGATACTTTACGCCAGTAGAGACTCGTTGATCCGTCCCCTCGAGCAATGGTACCCCGGCCGTGTACCCGCGCCGATCGAATTCAGTGTTCGGCGTCCACTGCGGTAGGGCCCGGCTCCACTGCGGCATCGGCCCACGGGAGCACCGGGGCCAATTAACTGGTTTAGCGTCTTCACCAGTGCAAGCCTGCCTGAACGTGCCTGGATCACCGTTGCACTACTTCACACTGGCCCCTTCTTAGGGAACTTGACGTCAGACCCAATAGAGGTCTTCATCCCATCCCGCCGTGCATCCCAAGTTGCAAACATCTAATGACATACCCGTCACACCTCACTACTTCGCATTCGATCGACCCCAAATCCTTTCCGAATTCTACCTATAATACTGATACCCACACGCCAAACAACACTCTGCATTCTGCCCTTTAGCCATTAGGGCTGCTTACTCTGCGCCAACATACAAATCCGCAGCGTCTCTATCGTCTTCCTGCCCTTTGACATTTTCAGGCAGATCTCAGCGTTAAATACAACAATATCCGTTTTGTCCTCTATTATTGCTCCTCGCAGCTATATCCACCGACCACCACAACCGCAACCGACCGAAGCTCCGCATCAAGATTTTCCAGGACCCTGCCTTGTACTTCTCTCTCTTCAACATCCCACTCGCCCGCTCCCTCGCTGCGGATTTTCTCGAGCTCAGGCATAATATCTGACACTCCAACGAGTAGAAGTACACGACCTCATTCTAGCTCAGCTAAAGTTCTCTTCAAAGAAAATGCTGCGACTCTAATCTGAAACCCGTCACACACCTCCTCCACGAAGCTGACGGACCAACTACTTTTTTCTCAAGAAGACATTACCGACGGCATACTAGCCCGAGAAAACATCACAGAGAGACATTTCAATGAGCTCCCAGATAAGAATCAGGCTCCTACAGACAGAAGCGGGACTTACTCAGCCATGGGGGGGTCGATACTAGGCTTTTCAAGGAACAACGCCGTCGACTACTCCCTCATTTTTGTACTCCAACTTTAACGCCATTGACAAGTCGCGCAACAGTCTCATCCATCTAGTCCGACGTGTACCTCCATCGTACCAACATCCCCGACGTTGACGGTACTTGTGGCTACTGCGTCATCGTCCTCGACTTCTTCAAGGCCAAGTAGACGTTCCTCACCAAGCTTGTGACCGGGCCTGTCGACATGTACAATATGGCTGCTGACCTCGGGCCGGAGAATCACGGCCGACATCACCGAGTCCAAGAGGACGTTCTTCGACGTGGTTCGGGATATTGTAATTAAATATTGACTCGGTCGGGTAGGGAAGCAGCTGCGCGAGTAATCACCTTTAACTGTACTACTTCCTAGAGCGCAGCTTTTGCTTGGTTTTTTCCACATAATTCACGCCCATCTTGTACTATACCATCTGTTCTTCTTTAGAATACCACATGAAAACAGCAAGGACTTGTCTCGACTCGACTCTGGATGTTGGTGTATTTACTCGGGCCCAATACTTATAGCAGATCTCGAGCCATGATTTTGTATCACAGGCAGCTCGTCGTCCTGAATCTAATACCAAAAAGCGCAAGCTAGTACTATCTAGACCAGAGAGAGTATCCTGTTCCAACAACAATACTAAAACTTTGAACTGAGGGCCAGTTTCATCCGCCTCACATTCACCTATGCAATAAATAGATAACAACAATATTAACCTTAGCGCTAGGATAAGGATTCAAGGTAGAGTTGACCAGCTAAGTTGTGGACATCGTTCATGAGTATCGTCTAGAATGTCCGGGATTGGCGTGAAGGAAGCGACTCGCTCGATCGTTCCCCATGTCATACCATATAGTTCATCAGTATCATCGCTCACGACGCAGGTTTCAAAATCCAAGGGAAAGCCAGACACTCCCTGGTTGTACCCCTTCCCATGACTTTACATAACTTGATGATGGGGTGTATGGTATCATTCGAACTTGACACCGCCCCAAGACAACATCTAGTTGGACCAAAACCGTGGTCTGCATAGATAGGTTACTTGCATCTAGTGTATATACGGAAGGTGTTATTCATGATTATTGCAGGCTCTCTGAACAAGGAGAAACCGGATGTCTCGTCATTCAGATAACGAAGCCGATACGGACTTGACTCTATAGACGAATGCGAACATAACCTTGACCTATTACCCAGCAAGAAGACCAGAGAGCATACTTGTTTGCTTGGCTTCTGAAGCCAACAATACTGCTGTCTCCGTTATGTAACAAAAATTGAGCAGGAAATACAATTTTTTCACGGGATAGAAGAGAAAAGCCCAGGCAATCTGAGAGTTTGTGTCAGAATATTGGCAGAATGGCTTCCAGGGTCCATCGAAAGGCGAGGATTGGTCTTTTGTCTTGTTTCTGACCCACTGAAATCTGGAATTTCTGTTTCTGTAACAAAAAAATACCGGTTTTACTGTGACGAAACTAAGCCAATACAAGTCTCTTTCTTGGTTCTCATTCCGGGCCTTCAAGTGTGACCATTGCTTTCGAAACAGATACGCAGCATATTTCAAGCCCGACATTTCCTTTATGAGGGAACTTAGGTCTCGGCAGTTTTTAGCCACGGTGCGTTGTCTCAGAGCCTGTATACCTATCAAAGGAGTCAAATCTTCCAAGCGTTGTTGAGTTGTAGCCATTGTAGTCTTCGGAGACCAGGATTTGGATCTACAAGGATGATCGGGTTCGCGGGTGAAACAATACCCGTCAAACTTCTAGCTCGCTGTATATTCCTAATGCAACTATGCTATTGTGTTCAGTGTGGGAAACACATATGGCCAAGACGCGAGGGGTCCTTCACTGTCCAGTGACTCGAGACTGGAAGGCAGGCACTGGTTCCTCTGTTACATCGTAGGGCTCCGCCTAGAACTTTCCACGCTCAAATTCTGAAAATTTCATGTAAAATAGCATCAAACTGGCTTATGTCTTTCTTTAGAGTGCGCCTGGCTTGGGCGTCTCAATGCTCCCGAACCAGTACTCTTGACGAATGGGGTTGAATAGGCCATTGGAAACACGGCTCGACCATACTTAAAGCCAAAAGACTAGTGTCCCCAGAACAAGCTTTACGCCCCCGCAGGTATGATGTCAAAACAAGCCGCGGGCTGTTAGAACCGGGCGGGCGGATACTGTCTAAGACCTCCCCGGGCCCCGCACAGACACGGAACGGGAATAGAGTGGAGCCCCGGCAACCCGGGCAGTGAGCTGGGGGACGGGCATTCCCATGTTGGCGGCGGCATTCTGGTGGGAACAGGTGTGCCATGCTGCACCTTGTGCATAAATCTGAGAGCTCACACCGATGCGCATGTTCATCTTGCACCAAGATCTGGGTAGATCCAATTCAACGAATGGCCCTCTGTTTGAGGGCAGGGACGTTTCCGGACGGTTTGTGATGGCTCTGTCCGTGAGAACCGCTCAGCGCAACAAAGACGGCAGACGTGGCTGACCGAGTTCGAATACGAGATCGCACGTCTATACCGAGTCTTGCTTCGCTGGCTCTGCATACGCGCCTGCGTCTAAACCACACCGACATCGCAAACCCCCAATCCCGCCCCAACCCTCGTGGGAAAGCCCCCCCACAATGCTTCCAGAAAGCCCAAGTGAGACATCGAATACCACTTGACTTACACCGGGTCGCCGTTTTCGGGCATGGCGCCAGCTAACTGAAATACCGGCGTGTGTCTCTCAGGTACGGGAGCATGACGGAAGAATCGTCCGTCCATCCCAACCTCCCCCCCACGAACTTCTGTTCCGACACTTTGCAACTTTGCTTCACCCGCAGTGCAGGTCACACAAGACCACGTGCCCGTCAATGGATGGGGGTGGTTGGCAGTCGAGACTCCACCACGGAAAGGGAAAAGCAAAGAGTCGTTTAAAGAATGCCCTCCGTCGTGGCGCGAATTATCGCAAGCGAAAAACCTCTTTTGTTTCTCGCCCCCAGCCAGCTCCAACCGCCCGGCCCCAGCCAAATAAAACCCCCTCATGCGTTGTACGAGGGACACATGACCACAAAATATGCATCATGTCGCTCATTGCGCTCACCGCTGCACTGCTCAGCGCTTCCAACCAACATAGTTTTCCCCCATGGTCTATCTGTTTTGCCACTGCTGGCAAAGATACCAGACCCTCGCTTGCGATCGCACTGAGTCACGCATGCTCCCCAGCCACATGATTCAACTCCCTTTGGCACTCAACAAACAGAGCCGTTGCAGGGAGAACCTGGATGGACTTTGCCGATACTAATGTTGCAATACGAAAGCAGAGGTGATGTGGAATATGGTTCTCCTGGACTCGGTTATGTAAGTCAGCCAAATGTCAAGCGCCACCAGCGACGCCCAAATCCTACCATCACATCTCCAAACCAACACGCACCCCCTCGGTCCGTCTCCCCTCCCGTCACGCAGCTACAGATGACATTGCCCGTCCGCCTCTCCAATCCAACAGGCCTTCCGCATTGCCCCGCGCGCGTGAGGAGCTAGCACTAGCGTGCCCGTTACCTGCGGATGTTTGTCTCTTCGCTCATGGCTCGTGCCGGCCGTAAACGGGGGGTGGTGGGACGGGGGACCAACAAGTCACAGATAGCGCCGTCCGAATCACGCACCTAGGCCGTATGCGGGTTGTAGGGCGGCACGGCGGCCGGCTTGCCCCCCAGGGGTCCAAAGGGACTGCGGGCAAGTAAGCCAGCGCAACGCGGACATGCCGATTATCTACTCGCGTCATCAACACCATTATGAATGCCCAAATGTGTGAAGAAAGGGTCGCGGCCATCAGATCTTGGTCCGTCTTGCCGTGTGGCTAGAGCAAAGTTGAAGCTAAGGTGTGGGTGCAATCGGATGTGACCGGACGAGCAAGGATTCCCTCGGTGATGATCTCTGCAGATGGGGCAGAAGCTGTAGTCAGAGTTGATCGGACGGTTTGACTGGGGGAGGAGTGAAGCCAGGATCTCTCATTCACGTTTGTGCCCCTGTGAACTGCCAACTAGGGCCAAGTTCAGGTTGATACGATGCCACAGTTTTGCCATTTTCGCATCTTTTTGGCCGTCTGTTTCGGGTGATTGAGGGATAGAGTCAGTTGGAGTTGTCACTCCGCCGCTGGTCCCGAAGGATGACAGGACAGGGTTAAGCGAAAGCTAGACAGGCTCCTTCACGGCGCAAATTCCGTGATGCCATGGGGTGGTGTGTTACTCATCTACTAAGACGAATCGGGTCTTCCAATCCAAGTCCAAAGATGGGCTTTCCTTCACAAATGCTCGCGATGGTCGAGCAGGCAACCTTTATCACATTCGTAAACACAGAGGCCTAGGCCAAGGCCGCATCGACTCAATGTCACGGGATGCGGGCTTTCCGATAGGTAAAGGGGATCTGGCGGCCTGGTTTAGTCACAAAGCAGAAAACGGTTTACCGTTCTGACGTTCCGGGAAACCTATTTGCATGGGCTTCCCCCTCATTGTGGATATATGAGTGGAGGGCTCCAGTTCGGAAACCTGAGCTGCAGAAAACTGCGCTGGTGAGGGCCAGTTATCGTCGATTCTATGACGGTCATTCTGTATGCGAGGGACGGCTAGCTGCCAATGAAGACGCCAGAGCGGCACAGTAGCCTCTCATTCGTTGCAAAACACTCTCCGTGACCCGGGCCAGGCATTCCCAACCGGCGTGGACGCGTTGCGAATTGCGCGGTATCCTCGAATATATTGTCGTTATCAACACTGCTGTGTCGCCTCAGAGGCTCTATGCTCGTCTATTAGAGATGCTGGGCGATTCCAGGAAAACCTTTCGAGATGGTGGGACGGCTTCCGCGTTTGCCGCTGCGGCTTCAGGGGCGAACCATGCGTAGCGACGGCTGTCCACTTTGAGTAAAGTGAGCCAATGTTGAAGCTGCCTCTTGCGTACTGGGCCACACAAGAAATGTAAATGCCGTGACGCCTAAGCAATGCGTTGTAGTCGATCGTAATGGCACAAGTTGCACACAGCGCACGCATCTTGGTTGGCCCTCGGTTGCCTCTTGGTTGCTACCTGGCGTGTGAGATCCTGACGTTGATCTGAGCGATCGGATGTAAGATGGAGCAGCAGTACGTGGGGCGACAGCTGCCAAGCATTCAGGGCCCCCTAGCAATGGCTTCCCAAAGAGCATCTCAAGGCGAACTGTGATTGTGATGAGTCCGGAATTGAGTTGTGATGAGAACCCGAGTCAGTTCCTTCCATACAACTGGGTCGGATCTCT